CAAGTGAGGGTGGGTGCAACTGCTAGATCGGGGATCACGGGACATGGACGCCATTTAATTGCTAAATTTTGCTGGGAGTCTATGGGGCAAAGGATCGTTTTCTTTCCTAACTCAGGTCATAAGAGCCCATTAAGGTGCTTGGATAATTTACACAAGGTATAAATGATTACTTTTCCATAGCCACCAGTTTTGTTGCGATAGGTTAAGTATTTTTTTAACGCGAAAAATGGTAAATTCCGCCATCTTGGACGTTGCTCCTTGTCTGGCAACCCTGCTTTCTCCTCTCGACGTTTGCAATTCTCGGAGCGAGAAGGAAGCGAGAGGGGCTTCGCCAAGGCGCTCGTTGCTTGCAATGGGAAGCGAGAGGAGGAAAGGCGCATGGAGCAACAGAGTTGCAACAGAGCGGGCGCCTACTCTCGTGCAGGCAACACTGGCGCATATCCTTTCTTGAATCCTCTCCCTCAGGCGCCGCCATTAAATTGCAAACGCTCTCCAGGTTTTGAGTTGCGCCCACCCTCACTAGAGCCTCCCTACTGGTGAGCGGTCGGGCACCATATAAGCTGGGTCCCGTTGCCGCACTCCACTCGAACAGTGAAAAGTCTGTCACAGCACTAAAAGAAAATAAGGGTTCCCCTGGCTCTTCTTACAGCTTTTAGTTGACCGGGACCGGGGGCGCACAAGTGAAAATACGATGCGCGTTGTCTGCACGGAGCACTTGTCGTCTGCTCGCGATGGTACGTCACGGACGCCGCTGGGAGGCGTGCATGAGCGACAAGGCGTTGTTTTCGCCCTTTTAGAACTTTACTTTGCAATTTAGTAGCTCTATAAAAATGACTTGTTAGCGAAATAATGACGGTTAACGTGTGATATACCGTAATATCCCGAGTCATCGCCCACCCCCCTACCGCCTGAAATTCATAAAAAAGTGGGGTGGGCCATGTCTCGGTGGGTGAGCACAAACAATTGAAAAAAAGCGGAAAAAAACGCCTATTTTTCTCTGCGTATCTAGCGCTGATGCACAAGAGATACATCAAACTCAAAACTCGATTTAGTTTCATTGTTTTATAGAAAAAAATGCTCAATAAAGAATATTTTACTATAGCGAAGTCCGTTGCTTGCATACGCGCTAGAAACACCGCCGATCTGCATATAGCGCGAACGTTTGTTCCGCGAAAGAATGTCACCACTATGTTCTCCTAGTTAGTAAAAAAAAAAAAAAAAAGAAAGAAAAGTCTACAAGAAAATGGAAAAACCAACCAGGCGCAACGAGCGAGCGAGCGAGCGAGCGAGCAGACCAAAGAAGCGACCAAGAGCAATGCTGGGAAAGCGGGAAAGCCGGCGGTCGTGTTGGCAAATACTTTGGCGTCGGGCCAAGTCGGGCGCCTTGTCAATTACAAGCTCTTGCGCAACTTTCTTGTTTGGTGCGTACATACGTGCGTCGGTGCACGGCGGGCTATCAATGCACGGTTGGGACGCTCTGCAAACGTCTACGTTCCAGCAAAGCTTTATTTACGCGTTGGCTTTGCCTAAAATATTGCACAACCGCGGTCGCGACGGGCGGGAAGAAGGAGCGGGTTCGCGGTGACCTTACTTCGGCGGAGACAGACTGACCTAACTAGGGTGCCTTCATGTGCGCTTCGCATAGGGTGATGCCAACTGCCTGTTTCCCTTTCCCACACCCTCGTCCATCGCCATTTTGTTCCTCTCATTGTTTCCCCGTGCGCCGGAAAGTGGCCTTTGTGTCCATCGGTAATCCCATCCGAGGGGGAAAATGCTAATCCTCCCTCCGTGGGTTCCACAACGCTGCTCCGAACTTCTGAGATAAGGTGCTTGTTTCCGGGAGGGTTATAAGCCCCACGGATTATCGCCGAGGAACAAAATGGCTGCTGGTCTGTCGGCGAGTGGTATTACAAAGGATGGCATCACCCTAGCAAAGCGCACATGAAGGCTCCCTAGACCTAACACTCCGCGGTTACATTAACAAACTCTTATTTTGTTATCTCCATCGTTTTCTTTTCGCACGGATACACAACCACTTCGGGGTCGCTCACGGAGGAAATGCGTAAACAAAAAGAAGTGTCTTTCCCTCCTTCGTTTTACTTTGTCACGGACGTCCTCCAACTGTAAGGTCCGCGGCCGCGTCATTCGGGTAGCATGAGTGTTCACGGATCGCTGAGTCCGCGCTGGGGTATTTGAAGGGGTGGGCGATGACTCGGTGTTTTTTCGGAAATCGATATTGGCCCAAAAAATGGGGTGGGCGATGGCTCGGGGATGGGCGATGACTCGGGATATTACGGTACTTTATTTCGCTTCAAAATTCCTGGTACGGCTCTCGCCAATCACGAAACCCAGAGAATGTGACGTATAGTGAAAAGGAGCGCCGTTATGCGCGCGCATTCGGCACCTCGCGGCGCCACCGTCGGAGGAGGTGTTTCCGAGTTGTCAAATGAAAATATGATGCGCTAATATTTTTAAACTCTTTCGTTGTCCACTGGGTTTCCGGGATCACTAGCGTGTAGAAACCGCAAAAAAAAAGTCGACGCTCAAATACTGTTGGAGGGCCCCTTTAAATAACTTAAATGTAAATACTTCAGGAAGAGTTATTACCTCAAACTATGAGATGCATATCTGTCCTCTGTCAATTTTTGAAAACCTAATTTTTTATCACTGAGGAAATAAAGTAGATAGCCCGATTCCTGAGTAAATTTCAGTTCAGAAACATCTTGATTGTGGTATCAAAATACTTTCACCTTCGAACAAAAGATTCCTTCGTATGAAATTTGCAGCAAAAAGTGGAACTGAGAAAAATGCATTCGAACATTGAACTCCTTTACTTCGTTACTGCCTCATAATGTGTTGAAAACATTTTATATCAATGTAACTATTTGGCGTATGTTTATCCAATTTGGTGTAAGGGTGTATAATTAGTTTCTAAAACTGAAAACCTCAAAATTAAAAAATTAATTTTTTCGAAAAAATTTTAAATTTAGGCCCATGTCCCCCCTTAAGCGCAGCGTTTACGCCCCTAGACTCCTTTGAGCTATTTCGAAATGTGCGTCTATTTCGGGGCGTGAACTCCGAAACGGATGGACATTTTGAATCACTGCCTACTCAAAATATGTCTGGTGACGTAAACACTGCACTAAAAAGTGTTGTTACAAGGAAAGTTCACTTTGTGACATACGATTCCTATCCATGCATTAGAAACATGTGCATGTGTGTAAGGGGGGGGGGCTTAGCAGTCTTTTAAACTGAGACACAAGCCCAAAACAACGGCCTCAAATCCATTCCCGGGATCAGGGGGTCCCAGCAAATCCCTGCCCCTGTGGCTGTGCCCACCATTAATCGAAAGATAGTCGTCTGTACCCACAAGCTGGGTTTGTGTACAGTGCTGCAAACTGGCATTCTTCTCGCAAAGAAACAGTTCAGAAGTTCCCAAAACGTTAACAGCCTTCACCGGGAGCGCAACTCTATGCAGCCTACCAGAAAGGAACTCCCATGGCTCGCACCAGCGCTGCAATATGCAGCTCAATTACACTTCAACTGCCGGAAGTACAGGTAAATATCACAATTAAATCTGGTTCACATGTACAGCATAGCGAGGGCAGATGCAGGCATTTCTAGAGGACCGGGTTTAGTGTATCAAATATTGGTTCCAATGGCTCATACCCCCCCCCCCCCCCCCTTTCCTTTGCTCCGCACTAAATTTTTACATATGCAAAATTCAAGGGCGAGGTCAGGAATCTCTCAATCCGCCGCTCCAAATCAGCAACCGATGCTAGCGCTAAGTCAACACTAAGAACAGCACTGATGCAGCGCTGTTCCACTACTATACCGCAAAGTCAGTGCTGCTTCAGCAAGGTCAGAACTATTTCCAGTGCCGACTAATAACTTCGCTCCTTACTGGCGATCAAGCCCCAGTGCCTGAATAAAACCGACGGGCGCTTCGAACCTTTGCCCCAGAATGATTGAGATCCTGAAACCCAGTTAACTTTGCAATGAGTACATACTAAGGCTGGTTTACACACTTGCGATTTCTTATGACAAGAGAACACACTGGCATGCTGGCGCCATATTACGAGCCGGCCCCGGAACTGCAGTTCACTAGAGCGAAAGTTTTATAGTACAGCAAGACCAAATGTACCTACTATCTATGAGAAATTGTCGTTCTTAACACTGTCAAAAATTTTCCAAACTGACAGTTACGATCGTGCGCAAAAAAAAGCATAAAATACACAGATATCGTAAGTGTTCCACAGCAAACCAACCGACGGCACCGGACCGTCCTCTCGTCGTAAGAGACCCCAAGAGGTCGCAACACACCCGGTTGTAAGCAGTCGTAAGTGCGTGGACGAGCCTTTACCACATCGTACGGCTCCTTTGCAGGCAACCGTTCGAACGCCGGACAACTTTGCATTACATTGTTAAGGCTGGTTCGCTCATTTGCATTTGAGCGGGGTCGACTGCGTAGCAAATGCTCCAAGCCCTTCACGACAAGGCAACACCTAGCGAACGCACTGGCGCCATCTATTAGGTAGCCTAGGAACAATTCTGATCCATTTATAACTAGAGTGAAGGTCTCACCGTATATACAAGCTCCAATTTACGCACCGTCAACGAAAAATGGTTTCTCATAATATTATCAAAATTATTTTAAGCAGGCCGCGAAAGAATCGTGCGCAATATATACGAGGGCTGGAACTGTTCTGGGGCTGCCCGACGAACGGAGCCGCCGTGCTTTCTCGTCGTAAGTGGCCGCAAGCACTGCGACGCAGTCAATCACGCTCAAATGCAACTCTGGAAACGGGTCTTTACCGCTAAAAATTTTACGCATGCTCGCGCAGCATAGCACCTTAGCCGCATCTAATCTGCTTCCCCGGTAGAAAGTGACGCTGCAGAGTTGGAACTCTCAAGGCCGAGGCCCGACAGGAGGATGCCTCAATGCCCTCGAGAAACTCCGTAAGGCCCCTCCGGAGTTTCTGGGAAAGCCGGCCACTCACTTGTGGAAAACGTTGATTACATCCCGGATCTTCAGGTGGTCTTCCTCAACCTTCCCGGCGAGGTACATGGCCGTCGCTGCCACCAGCTGAAAACGACAAACGACATTGTCACACTCTCGACATACCGCCAAGGAAAAAGTATAAGGCTGCCGTGTTTTCCAAGTTTAGTTTGTACAAAAATATTTTTTCTCAAGAAATGTTCGAGGATTTTTTTTTTTAAGAAAAGCATCTGTACACTGTCTCATCATTAGATGCGACAGCTGCCAAGGCCTTTGTGATATGGGCTATTGGCCTTTCTGCGGTGCTGCGGCTTTCCTGAACCGAAACCAATATTGCTATTAGTAAGCCATATCGGTAATTTAGGCCCATGTTGCAGTACAAGAAACTCTGTCCGAAAATGCAAACTAAAAACACACTTTTCATGTACGGCTCGTAAAAACATTAGGCGTTGGAAAAAATCAGCCATCAGCGTTAAGTCTTTATCTGGAACTCTTTTTGTCCCCGTTCCGCCCATTAAAAAGCACAGGGAGAGAGCCCAAGTGCGCACCTGATCTCACTACACAGCGGTCTCCTTCCGCACAATAAAGTCTGTCTGCCATGGTCAACATCACTGTGACAATGAAGCGTCTTCAATATAGAAAAACGCGCACCAGCAGCGGGAGATGCCATCTTTTGAAGCTCGTCTGCTGACATGAACGCCGCAATGCTAGCCAAAGTCAGCTGCACCGTTGTGGAGGTGGACGCTGGGGGCGGAAAGCAGCCGCCTGGCGAACCCTTGCCAGCTTCAGCAAGGCTCGATACACGCTTGGGCCCGAGATTATATTAAAGCTTCCACGAGCAAACTAGTGTTGCAGCGTTGGTACCAGACGACATTCGGAAAATGATGCGGCTGTAGCTGGCTTCAGACACTGTGTTTGTGTGCAAGTCTATACACCGGCTCATGTTTACAAATAAACCGGAGCGCCCCTAGCAGCCCGCCGCCACCGCCGCCGCGTCAACAAACCATTAAAAAGTCACGTTGTCAACGTCCGTGTGAGTCTCCATACTCTTTTTGGCATTGGAATTGTCGATTCTACGCCCTCATAGCAATGTCTCACCACTTTAGTAGCCTGAGCAAAATTATCAAGGCTCGTGACGCCACAAAACTTTGCGTAAATAATTTGACGTGCGGCGATTCATTCGCCTGAACGCTGCAGAATGGACGCCAAGATTATGATGAGATTCTTCTCGCTATTTTCAGTCACCACGTCACCCGTCCTGCAAAAGTGTTGATGGTAGCAGCAATGATCGACGTCGATACTGAAAATCAGAGGCAGAAACAAACCAAGTGAACCAGGCGCAACAAGTCAGTGATGGCCATTGGTACCAATGATCAACATCTTGTATCTACTGTTTGCACCGAGCCTACTAAAAAGTCTTTTGAGGCCTGCAATTACTTCTTATCGCAATTTCCGGGTCAACATTTGGTCTACGGGCTGCTTTTGTTTGAATGAGCAGATGACAAAAAGCAGACAAGTTTGAAAGAGCAGACAACAGTTCGAACAATCAGGCGGCTGTTTGAATTTCAAGACGCACTGAACCCACGGGTGGTCCGGACAATTTGGCGGTTTTCCCTCGTTCATGTTGGAACAAAACAAATGAATCTGACGACCACAAGTACCCGAGAATTCAACCCAAAGTGTTTCTCGCACAAGCAATCATATTTAGACAGCGTCTGGTTTGTCCTTTTCACAGCTACTATCCAGAGGCATGCAGTTTAGCGAAGCTCGTTTTAGCGAACGCCGTTTTACCGACCGCAGTTTATCGAATCCCTTTATAGAGAAACCCAGTTTAGAAAAAATGTCAATGAGCCTCCTTTTAGCAAATTCGGCATCCGCGAAGCGGCGTGTGCGGACAAGTCAGGTGAGTTAACTATTTTGTAATGAGCCGCCGCAGACTGCCGCTGCGAAGCTGTGGGAACGTAGCGGGGGGCCTGGGTTCACACAGGCACCGGTGATACACGCGCCAAGTAGGAAAGCCTTTTTTCAATAGCATCCCCTCTTCGATAAACGGCGTTTCTCTAAACTGAGGCCCTGCTTTCCACAAACCATGCATCGATAAAACGTGCTCATTCTCTAAAACGTGGTTTGATGAAATGCCGTTCGACCAATTGTAGTAGAACTTTACTATCCAAGTGCTTGGACGAACAGAGGAGGCAAAAAGCATGTAAAAACTGATTGTCAAACCTTTCCCGACTCATTTGGTGCAGACCCCTCGCGGTGTTTTGACGAAAGCTAGGTTTTTGTCTGGTTTCTTCCAAAAAAAAACCACAAAAATGCATGTCTCACATGGTGACTTCGGCCCAGAGCCTTAGACCGGAAGTGCTTCTGACGCGCCACCACTGCGGCGTGACGTAACAGAGTTGATTTTGCGCATTGACACAGATGGCTGATTTTCTCCAACGCCTAATGTTTTTACGAGCCTTAAAGGTTAACTCTGGTCAAAAACAAAACCAAGATAAATCAATGGTATCGCTTTAGTGGCATGAAATAGGAAAATATTAGGTCAAAGTGAAGCAGCATACTCCAGTATTAAAGATGCAACCAGCTGCTCTTTAGCGGGCGGCAAGCGGGTTAGCTTTTAGTCAAGCAATGCTAAGCGACGACGTAACCTGGCGTCACGGTGGTGTCTTGGTTCTTCTTCCACGCTTCCCCTTCATTGTTTAAAGCAGTGATTTGAGCTGCGTCCCGCATTTTCCCGTCTCTTTGTTTCATTTTAGCAGTTTCCGTGAGCCTTCTTTTCTATATATTAGTGCTCCTGCGTGGCCGCACAAAACAGTCCGAAGTCCGCTTTCACCTAGCGACTCAATCTGCTGGAGAGGCTGGCCTTGTCGGCCTCACGAGCGAGGAACGGGAATATAGCAATGCAGCCACGCTGCACGTCTTGTGCCGGTGCCCAGTGGCCGGCACCGAACGCGCTCTTTCCTTCAGTTAAACGGCACGCAGAATTCGCTTTTTAGCTGCTAGCTCTATGAATACGCCGTTATCTTTCCTACATGCACTGTATACGAACGACGCAAACGACCAAAAGAGAAGCAGCTTGCCTTACTTCTTGAAATTGATCCCCCAGATTGTACAGCGTGCCTCAGCATCATTGTGACATACGTCACAGCCCTACAGCTGATGGTCAGTGTTGCTATCCCCATATGGCAGACAGTTTCGGTTTTGCCGTAGACATCAGAAACCAAACTTTGAGCCACGATAATTATAACACTGCACACAGTATAAAAAAATAAATAAATTATACCTTGTAATTTAGGGACATTGATTCTGTTGAAAACAATCGTAAATCAATATTCAAAAATATATTTTGATTTTTTGGTTTTCATTCTCTGGAACATGGGGCTAAGCTATCAAACTGCCATCACTAAAAGCACAGACTTAGACCGAGCTCAAGCCAGTGTGCCTTTGCTTCAATAAAAAAAATTCCAAATTATATAAAAAAAGAAAAAAACATTTTCTTAGCAAATTGAGAGTTTTAAAAGGTTTTATTGGCTCCAGATTGCCAACCTTCATGCTCTCATGCCAAAATTGATGAAAAAATAAAATTGACATGTATTAAGCACGATGTAATCAAAGTAAAGTTAAACATTTTTAACAATTATCAACGAGTGAAGCTCATTATGAGAGAATCATAACCGAAGCGTGATAGACCCTTTTCAAAACCCCACCGAGCAACATTGGCGGCCGCCATTTCTTGGCGGCCGCCAAGAAATGGCGGCCGCCAATTTGCAGCGGGGAAGGGGACAGTTTAGGACTAAAATTCAGTAGGGACAAGTCGGGTATAATAGTTTTCAACGATGAGAAGGGGGAACCCCTGGAGATACAGGACACAGTGATAGAACACGTAGAAAAGTACAAATATCTAGGGGTCTGGCTCAATGAAGGAAGGAAATATCTAGAGGAACACGAGGAGAACACAATTAGAAAAGGGAAAAGAAATTCATCTATTATGAAGCTCAAGGCACTATGGAACTATAACAGATATGAAGTGGTCAGAGGTATATGGAAGGGAGTGATGGTGCCAGGACTGTCTTTTGGCAATGCAGTGCTGTGCATGAAATCTGAGGTTCAATCAGGGCTAGAAATTCGACAAAGAAGCGTAGGCAGATTGGCGCTGGGAGCACATGGAAAAACACCAAATGAGGGAGTACAGGGGGACATGGGATGGTCGTCTTTTGAGAGCAGGGAGGCAATTAGTAAGTTGAAATTTGAACAAAGGTTGACTGAAATGGAGGATACGCGGTGGGCACGTAAGGTATTCAAGTATTTATACATGAAAAGTTTAAACACAAAATGGACCAACCGAACCCGAAAGCTTACATTCAAATATCTACACACAGGTGATGGGGCTGAACAGACTACGTCAGTGAAAAAGAAGGTGAAAGAGGCGGAGAGGAAAATGTGGGAGGGGAGAATGCAGGAGAAATCAGCTTTAGCAGTGTACAGGTCACGAAAGCAGGAGATAAGAAAGGAAAAGCTATTTGACAATTCACTGGGAAGTGCTTTGCTGTTCGAGGCAAGAACGGGAGTTTTGAGGACACGGACATATAGGGCTAAATTTCAGGAGACCGACACGTTATGTGCCGCCTGCCATAATGATAGCGAGACACTGGAGCACTTGGTTTTGAAGTGCACGAGGCTTCGTCCTGCCCTCCCTGAAGGGGTAACGGATTTGGCCGGGGCCCTGGGTTTCACTGGCGACGATGGAAGGATGGTAGAGAAAAAGATTACAGTGACAAAGAGACGATTAGAGGATTGGTGGAAATTATCTAGGGAAAATTAAATGATGGACAACTAACTAGCACAGCTGGGAACAGGCGGGACAGAGGAAAATTGGGACTCCCTCCCGCGTGGCTCCGGCCCAAAGTCTCAACCCTGTCTCCCAGTGGGTCCGGTGCTGGGGTAACGCCGAAAAGGTTTGACCAGAGGAAAATTGGCGACTCCCTCGCCGGGGGGAAGAGGCAGGGGGGTGATGTTTTTTAGTTTTTTTGCCCGATCCCCCGAACGTCATCCTGGTGATATCCCACACTGCCTGGTGATAGTTAGGGGGAGAAAAATTGGTCTTAAAAGGGCGGGAGGAATCACGTTTTTGTCTTTTTAGACTTAGGCTAGGTGGCGCAAGCTACCGCCCGTTACAAAGGGAATAGCCATTAACATCCATCCATCCATCCATCCATGAGCACGAAGCGTGTGATCGGATCAGAGTCTTTGCCGCACACCAACGCCGACTCCATCTAGACACAAACTGAGCTGAGCTCATGCTGAACACCGACGCAACCCTTGCGTCCAATAGATACTCATAGTACGTGCCCAAACAATGCCAAATTCGAATAATTGGCGTGCAGCAGCCACTAGATGGCGCGCACTATTGAAAAGGGTCTATAGATCGTTCCACTAGGAAGAGCGCAGAGAGAAAAAATGCCCTCCTCCTCTCACCCCACGCATTGTCTGCTCCGCTGAGTGGGCTGTACCTAACATCCGGCTGGCGTTCAAACTCAGTTTAAAATTGCATTATTTTGGACATTTCACGCATAGATGCGTGGATTTTAAGAAGGAAGTTATTGTGTAATGCTATGCTCAATAAAAAGACTAACCGAGTCCAATTGCGCTGGTACCTGCATGCAAATAAAAAAATTCAAAAAATGGGAAAACTGTGTCAGATTGGCCTGTCTCTCCGGCGAAAAATAAATCCGGTTGCTGTAAATTTGTATATACAAATTTCGTACTGCTGTAGGCCTTTAGCAACCATGAGTGGAAGTCTGGAACAACAAATAAAAACATGCTCTCCTGCCGCAATAGACGCAGTGGTTGAAGGAAGTACTGGTGGCTGACTCCAATGCTAATGAAGTAACGGAACAAAGATACACTAGTTAATCCTGAAATAAAACAATAGAGTGCTGTAGGCTGATTTTGGAGTGGATATAAATATTCTAAGAACGGGAACCACTTCACAACGACAGCCACGAGCGAGAGTTTGATGTTCGGTACAGCCCGCCGGTACTGCACAAAGATGGAGAATGGCAACCTCCCGGTTTGTCGTCTGCTAGCGGAATTAGGCACGTGCCCTCTCTCTCGTTTAACCCCGCAAACCTGCTGAACTGCCCAGACGTGTGGAGAGGGCGCTGTGGTCGAACAAAATGGCGCCGCCCTGAGAGCACTAAATGAAAACGGTCTATTGTTCCCGGCGAAATTGCGCTGAACAGTCTACCAGACTCTGTTCAGCGCAATGCCGCTGGCTAGACCGCTAGTAGCCCTCACATAGAAGTCGTAGTCGTCGTGCTCGCACTCTTGGAAGAACCGGTGGAAGTAGGTGGCAGCTGTCGCCGCCGTCTGGGGCTTTGCTTCCAGCTTGGTCCCTGCATCAGAAAGCCGGCTCAATGGCTGCTCACACCCGACTATGTTTCGGCTGCTATCCGGAAACTATGGAGAGTTTCAAAGTGCTATTTTGGCGTAAAAAAACATGTACAAAAAAGCCAACAAATGAAGTACAATGAAACTTTTACCGAAGGTGTTTTTAGACTGCATTTACATTCAAACTTTGCAAGTGTAAGCATAAGTAAAAAATAAAAATTAATTTCGGCAGCCAGCACAACAGCTTAGGGAGAAAAATTGCCAGCAGTTGTCCGTCGTTGGCTGGCAACGATCACGTGACTACTGCCGGCAAATTTTTGGAGACGACGACATGCCGGCTGCAGGCAGAATACAGACCTGGAAAAAAAATACTACCAGCTCTACATAACTCGTTTCATAGCCTAGACTCCAGACACCGTGGGTGCCTTTTCTAGCCAATTTTGTTACAAGTTTGTAAACAAGGACTAAACCCGGATTGCTTGCGTACATTGAGACCAAACTAAATATGATAACATGGAAGTTTATTTCTATTGCTACTGCGAAATGGCTGTGCGAGATGGCACCACCGGCCCTTGTGCGACTCAACCTGAACCGATACGTGCAGATGTGCAGTACCCGGAGTGGACGCTGCAGGAGAAATGGCGGCGTTGCGATCGCAATCAGTTTGAATCTTGAGTATGGATCAAATCCACTTTTTTAAAGCAGACTCTATGGCAGTGTCCCAACTGAGTTGTTCTATACTCCGCGACAACTTTTCTTGGCAATGCAGTGGAAGGTACAGGCCCGCGTCCCCTCTCCCATTTTGAGTGTACGCAGGCTCTCCTCCTCTCCCCGGAAATGGGGGAGGAGGAGAGCCTGCATACACTCAAAATGGGAGAGGGGACGCGGGACGTACCTTCCTCTGCATTGCCAAGAAAAGTTGTCGCGGAGTATAGTAACGTTGGCTTTACTCCAGCATCGGACAAACTGGGGGACAGGCTCTGGGCTGGAGCCACGCGGGAGGGAATCCTAATTTTTCTCTGTCCCGGCTGTGATCAGATGTGCTAGTTAGTTGTGCGTCATTCAATTTTCCCTAGATAATTTCCATCAATCTTCTAGTCGCCTTTTTGTGACTTTAATCCTTTTCTCCTCCGAACTCCTCAACGTAGGCTCAACCCAGCCGCCCGCTGCCGGGGCACTAGCTGAGTCTTCCAAACCAGAGCAGTTTCTGGTCCAAACACTACAGCACACTTTCAAGCCACAACAAACCCCAAAAATAAAAAAAAAATAAAAAAAATAAATAAAAAAGAGAAAAAGAGGGCGAAAAAAAGGGGGGGGGGGGGGGGGGGGGGGGGGAGACAACGGGTTTTAGTGGTTTTAGTTTCTGGGCGTTTTGCTGTTTGGAATGGAGCGCCCATTAGACGTTTTTCTTTTCCTGCATTTGTTTCCAGCAACCTACACTCACAAAATATTAGTATGATAAATCTTTGTGAAAAGTATCATTGCACTCCGTTCATTTTAGCCTGCTACGTGGAAACGCCGGCCGGCGAGCTGCTTCGACGCACGCCGTTGTGCGCTGTGTCGGCCTACGCGTGATCTTACCTGCTTCAAATATGAGCCTCACAGACCCGACGTATGTTGGGGCCTTCGCGCTGCTCATGTTTTAAGGTGCAAGTCAACGGGAAAATCAGCACACGCGGACGATCGCCGGTCAAAGCCACATAACAACAGCTGCCGCTCAGTAACCTACCATGTTGGATGGATGGATGGATGTTACTGGCTATACCCTTTGTAGCGGGTGGTAGCTTGCGCCACCTAGCCTAAGTCTAAGAAAGACAAACATTTGATTTGATTTCCCGCGCCCTTCTAAGCCAATTTTCTACCCCCTAACTATCACCAGGTAGTGTGGGATATCACCAGGATGACCTTTGGGGGATCGGGCAAAAAAACTAAAAACATCACCCCCCGCCTCTTCCCCCCGGCGAGGGAGTCGCCAATTTTCCTCTGGTCAGACCTTGTCGGCGTTACCCCCGCACCGGACCCACTGGGAGACAGGGTTGAGACTTTGGGCCGGAGCCACGCGGGAGGGAGTCCCAATTTTCCTCTGTCCCGCCTGTCCCCAGCTGTGCTAGTTAGTTCTGTATCATTCAATTTTCCCTAGATAATTTCCACCAATCTTCTAATCGCCTCTTTGTGACTGCAATCCTCTTCTCCTCCGTCCCTCCATCGTCGCCAGCAAACCCCAGGGCCCCGGCCAGATCTGTTACCCCTTCAGGGAGTGCAGGACGAAGCCCCGTGCACTTTAATACCGAGTGCTCAAGTGTCTCACTCTCATTATGGCAAGCAGCACATAATGTGTCTATGTCCTGAAATTTAGCCCTATACGTCCTCGTCCTCAAAGCCCCCGTTCTCGCCTCGAACAGCAAAGAACTTCCTATTGAGTTGTCAAACACATTTTCCTTTCTTATGTCCTGCTTTCGTGACCTGTACACTGTTAGAGCTGATTTATCCTGCATTCTTTCTTCCCACATTTTCCTCTCTGCCTCTTTCACCCCTTTTTTCACTGAAGTAGTCTGTTCAGCCCCATCACCAGTGTGTAGGTATTTAAATGTAAGCTTTCGGGTTCGGTTTGTCCATTTTGTGTTTAAACTTTTCATGTACAAATATTTGAATACTTTCCGTGCCCACCGCGTATCATCCATTTCGGTCAACCTTTGTTCAAATTTCAACTTACTAACTGCCTCCCTGCTCTCAAAAGACGACCATCCCATGTCCCCCTGTACTCCCTCATTTGGTGTTTTTCCATGTGCTCCCAGTGCCAGCCTGCCTACGCTTCTTTGTCGAATTTCTAATCCTGATTGAACCTCTGATTTCATGCACAGCACTGCATTGCCAAAAGACAGCCCTGGCACCATCACTCCTTTCCATATACCTCTGACCACTTCATATCTATTATAGTTCCATAGCGCCTTGAGCTTCATAATTGATGAATTTCTTTTCCCTTTTCTAATTATATTCTCCTCATGTTCCTCTAGATATTTCGCTCCCTCATTGAGCCAGACTCCCAGATATTTGTATTTTCCTACTTGGTCTATTTCAATGTCCTGTATCCTCAGGGGTTCCCTCTTTTTGTCGTTAAACACCATTACTCCAGACTTTTCTCTACTAAAACTCATGCCCATTGTGTCCCCTTCCTCTCCACATATTCTAGCTAGTTCCTGTAACGTATCCTGGTTATCTGCCATAAGTACTATGTCATCGGCATACATCAGTCCTGGTATTACCTGTAATACATTTCTCCCTCCTTCCATATAACTCACATCAAAACCTAAGTTGCTCTGCTCTAGTTTCTTTTCCATTTCCCTGAGATATATCATGAAAAGCAGAGGTGACAGTGGACAGCCCTGCCTGAGCCCTCTTTTTATCGCTGCGGGTTGTGTAGTTTCTGCCTCCCATGCTATAATTACCTTATTGTCTGTATACACCTGCTGAAGAAACCCAACCAAATATGCATCTAAGTTATATTCCCTCAGCTGACTCCAGAGTTTTTCCTGGCTCACATTATCGTACGCTCCCTTGATGTCCAAATAAGCCAACCACAAAGGAGTCTGGTTCTTCATTGCTATTTCTATACATTGTGTGGTGACGAATAAGTTATCTTCCAGTCTTCTATCTCTTCGGAATCCATTTTGGAGCTCACCCAGTATTTGATTTTCTTCTGCCCATTCCTCCATTCTCCGCTTTACTATCTGCATAACTACTCTGTATAGAACTGAAGTTACCGTTATTGGGCGATACGACTTAATGTTGTCTTTGTTTCCTCGGCCTTTATATATTAGTCTCATTTTACTCAGTTTCCAATCCCTAGGCACCTCTCCTCCCATAATTATTTGATTTATTGTATGCCGTAACTTCAATTTGCTTGTTTTTCCTAGTGTCCTAATGAGTTCCATGGGTATGTCATCTGGGCCTGTCGCTGTACCTGCTGGAACCTTACTTTCTGCCTTATCCCATTCCCTTGCGGTTGTCTCCATTGTTACATAATTCTGCTCCTCCTCTATGCTGCTGCTGTCAGAGTTATCTTCTACCCCCCTCTGCGCAAGCTGCGAGAAGGCCCCTTCGATTGTCTGCCTAATATATTCCCGTGCCTCTTCCCCCTCCACTCTTCTCCCTTCCTGTGTGGTTAGTACGTGTTGGAAACTATCTGTCTTTCTCCCTTGCGCTTTAATATGTTCCCAAAACCTTTTCGCTGCATTCCTATCTTTTTTATTTATTTCCATCATCCACTGCACTCCTGCACTCCCAATTTTGGTCTGTATTAAAGCTGATGCCTCCCTTTTTCGCTCTTGGAAGTTTTCCCATTTTGATTCTACCTCAGTTGGCAAGGCTCCCCTTTTCTTTGCCCACCTATGCTCCCTAGATGCCTCTTGGCGCTGCAATATGGCTGCTTTGACCTCCTTATCCCACCAGCTTTTTGGTTTGTGTTTTCGTTTTTGCTGTCCTCTTTGTTTAATTCGATGCTTCTCTAATTCTCTTTTAAAGATTCCTATTAGATCCTCATATGCCCATTCCCTTTCTGGTTGTTTCGATACTATGTTCTCAATGCTTTTCGATACTTTTTGTATTTGATCTTCACTCAGTTTAGGTTTACCCGCTCGTTCCTGGACTTGCTGTTCTGGTTTGGATGCACCAAATTTAATCTTAATTCGTTTGTGGTCACTCCCTAAGCTTTTTGTTCCTTCCTCATCTATTTCCATACTTCCTAACCTGGCATACAGTTTGTGGGACATGAGGCAGTAGTCTATAGTTGAGTGCGAGTTGTTTCGTTCCCACGTTATTTTGCCGTCGCATTTTACTTGAGCATTCACTAATACTAGGTCAAGGGCATCACAGAAATCTTCTAGCAACTTTCCGGTTGTATCTGTAAATCCATCAAACTCTTCTAAATGGGCATTCATGTCTCCTATGATAATTATTTCCTGATTAAGGCCAATTTCTCTAATGTCCCTTGAAATACATGTAAAGTGTTTTGTATTTTCCTCCCTCGAGTCTTTTCCTGTTTTCAGGTAGGCAAATCCCAGAAGAGTGTTGAGGCCTGTTACTCTACCATTCAACCATAAGTGTTCTCTGCAGCCTTCCCTCTCTCTTTTCCAGTCCTGTCCTTTAACTAACATGCCCAGACCCCCGCCTTTGCGTTCACCTTCCCTCCGGTTGCATCCCATCCAGGAGTAGCCTGATATGTATGGTGGTTCCTCCTCATCTCTAAGGTGCGTTTCTGCTACCCCATATACTGTGAAATTTTCAGCCTCCAATTGTTCACCGATCTCCTCCCACTTTATTCTGTTTCTACCTCCCTGCATGTTTATGAACCCTATATTGAGCCGATTCTTTCTCTTATTTTTTCGGGGCTTCCTCCTGCTCTCCCTGCTGCTCCTGCGGTACTCACACCCAGTAACTTCTTCCGACTCTGGTACCGGTCCATCTTCTCCCGCTATGTTGCCATTTAGCCAAGGATGCTCTGTGCTTCTAGCTCTATATTCCCTCTCTTTCCTAACTCTATATTTTTTTGTTTGTGACTACTTGATGATGATGGTTGTGGCCGCAACCATAACAACCGTAACGCCACACCACGCGCCACACTCAGCGATCTAATCGCTAACTTCTAGGAGCAATTTAACAAATTGTTCTAACAAAATATACTATTGTATGTTTAAAAAAGACGATAATTAGTACTTATTGTTGGTTTTAAGGTGTAAATAATAAAAATTTATAGGTTACCAGCGCCAGCGGATGACCTGGCAAGCGCTCAGAAATACAGAAATCTCGCGTTTTGTACCGTCCTTCGTTCAAGGCCGAGCGGAGCTCGGTGTGTTGCGCGCATGCGCACAACGAGTCGAGGGTGCTCGCGATTGTTTGTTTTGTTCTTCCATGGAGTATGCTGGGTTGTAGCTCCAACTTCACAGTCAATCACTTTCCGACAATTGTTGTTCGTGTGTTTCGGAGGGAGTGTACGCTGGTTTTAAAAGCTCTCCACGGCCTTCCTACTACGGAAACTTCATCACGCGGACCGCACGTACCTGTGAAGCCACCACCTATGGTGCCCAAGTGACCAACCCATTCGAGGCTGTGTTGTTCGCGTACGATCTCCTGGGAAGGATGCCTGGATTTCGATTCGAGATTCAATAGAAATACGAGGTGAGCGTACTGCACTCACGTAATCATTTCTCGCAGCCCATTCACGCGGGGTCGATCCGGTCGTATCGCGTCATTTTCGGAGTCTATTCCGGGGAGTATCGCATCGTTCTAGCAGACTACGGTGTCATCAGTTCGGGACAATTTCCTCGCGCGCGATCGCCGTACAGAAAAAAAGGGAAAAAAAAAAAAAAGTAGATTCTGTTTGTACGACTAAACACGCGTCGTGATCCGTGAGCCCGTCTTCCGACCTGAGACGGAAAGACTGGACGATCTGAGCTCTGGACAGAAGCGTCGGTTCGGTCGCAGCGCCAAATCGGGTTCTGAAGGAGTTCTGCCGGGCCGAAAGGCTCCTTCGACGTCCAGATTGAGCCGTCCGGGTTCCTGAACCGCTCAGCCACGCATCGCTGGTCGCGAGAGGTTGTCCGCGGACGCCTCCGAGGAGTGTGTATGAGACGGTGGGCACTTCCGCCAACACAACTCTTTCGGTCCGGTGCTTTTAGGCCTACGCGCTACTCGGGCGGTCGGTGTGTTTACTATGGTTTATTTCCCACCTGCCTTAAAAGAAAACTTTTTTTGTTTGTCTCGTATTTGATTGAGTTATTCGTTGTACCCATTTCGTTTTCGGATTGAAAGAGGGTGGCCTTCGAGGTCGAATCTGTGGACAGAACTCACGGTACACAGAAGCCGACGCAGAAAACAGTTATAACTGGTATTCCGTGTTCTCGGAGTCTATTTGTACTTAAATTCGGAGAGTGTTTTTCGGAGGTAATTTTTCGCTGAAAATTCGGGGTCTATCGGAGTTCATTTGTCTAAAATCTCGATTCTCTGAAATTCGGAGATTAATTTTACTGTTTCCAACGTCTCTGTAAAATAGAATAAAAATAAAAATATCCAGACACAGACACACGACATTCATAAAAACTCCTGTATCGAATGATATGTCTGCAGCTGCCTTTGGAATTCGCACCCTTACCATTAGCAATACTAACTGTCCCACGACAAATCTTCCAAAAGAAGTGTTGCTTCAGTTGATGTCTAAACTTTGAAATAACTGAACACCTGCACATAGTCGCTGGGAAGCAAGGAAGCTGTCCTGCCTCCTCCTATGAAATCTACAGGTTCATAGCTTCCACTCTTATGAGGAACGAAACCCCCCCATCCCTGAGACTATGTTGCAAATCAGAAGTCGGAACTCTGGCTTTTGTTGTGACCCTGAGGTACAAGGACTACTTGGTCTGAACTAACCTTGACCAGATAAACACTCTTGTGCGCCCTACATGCTTCGAGCTGGAGGGGATGTCATTAAATCATGTGACTAAATTCCAACCGGAGTAGTTAGCCCATCAACCAAGAGATGGCGGGCACACACACACACGTGCCCGGTGGTACCACGGGTCTGGCATCTTCCTTGGGCTAGAGCAAATCATCCGCTATTACAGTGATAGCTGAACTGTACCTGTCCTGATTTTGGCTTAGGCAGGGATTGACTCGTGTGTGCAGTGTGTTCAATTTGCTACGTACATCTGTGATCACACAGCACTGCTGTCTGTGATCGAGTAGATAGAGGGTGGGTATGTATAAAAGTGTGCGGTACCACACACTGTCGCTTTGCACGGTGTGGCAAAAAGCTGAACATTTTGTTTCTTTCCCTTTCCTTCAGAGAAAGTTCAAAATGTGATGTTCTGATTATTAACCAAACAGTCATAACAAGCAGTCATTGTGTCGATGAATTAATGTTTCGATTGTTTGAGTGATTATATGGTTCATTGGCTACTATATTATTAATGGACTGAATCCTCGTATTGAGCAAGAAATTAGTTTAATACTTTATGTATAAATGTACCGATTGTTCATTTCAGGCATTGGTTTATTGGGTGACTTAGTGTTATACGTATTGATTAGTCTCCTGTTTGGTTGGTAGTAGGACTGGTTTCCCAGTTGATTGACCAATTTTTTATTGTTTGTCACCTTCAGTGTTACAGTTCATTTAACATGTTGGTTTGTTAGGTGAGCAAATGATAAACCCATTTAGTAGTTTCCCATCTGATTGATATTGTGGTTGATTTTCCATTCAATTAACTGTCCGTCTGTGTCACCTCTCATGGGGCAGTTAATTTGAGGTGTTGGACTACAGGCCGAGTGCACTTTCAGTGGAGTAGTTTTACAATGTATTGGGCTGTAGCAACACCCCCTAGGTAAGGAGGTTGTAGAATGGGATTTTCTACCTCACCTATCAATGCAGGGCACAGATTTATCCTTGGGAGTGCTGTATGAACATGTGGCTGAAATTTATGTCTTGCCTGGTCGCACGTGAACCCCGCAGAACACTAACGCAGCTCGTGTCCGACCTGTGCCGTAGAAAATTCAACACTAGGGCCTCACCTCACTATATATACCGTGTTTCATCGTAGAGCTAACACTATGCTTCGAGCCAATCAGAGCGACGGCGGCAAAGCACTTGACAACCCTTAACAAAAGTATGGGGGTGAGAGACATAATTTTTGTGTTCCAAAGGTGCCCCCCAAAAGATTAGCCTGTCACTCAAAATTGGTACAAAAGCAGTTATCCTCTCTCCCACCAGAGGCCTCCACAGCCACCGCACGCAGAAAGATAGATATTTACTTATTTAACAATACTATCATTCCTTGAGAGGGATACAGTAGGAGTGGCACAAATCAACACAGAATGAACAATGATAAGACAATGCGGTCACGTTCTAGTACGACGCTATGATAAGAAATACAGATTAGAATCGACATCAGAACAAGGCAAGGGTCAAAGCACATTGAAAAAAGAAAGCTGTGTGACACTACATGCACAAACACAAATTCAAGGTCCCACAGCACCAGTAAAAACGAAAGGTCAGTCTCGATGAAGTGTAATAGTTATAGTCCCGCAACCCCATCCGAAGCGCCGACTCGCTCACTGGGATCGTGGCCTTCGCCGTCGGCCAAGTTGCGGTGAGACGGACCGTAGGAGGTGCGCTTGGATTAGTTCCCTACGCGAGTTGTCGCACAATTGCTTTTCGTAGAACCGACGACCTTGGGTGTTTCCCGCAGCGGGGCATGGTGTCACGCCGGGCCAGGTGATGTGCGCCGGGCCTTTGCCGCCATTGGCCAGGGCCAATGGGGCCCGTGCCTGCCCCGGGCTGTAGAGTGGGCGGCAGGCATGGGGGCCAGTGCCTCGTCCCCCGACCCCCCCCGGGGGGGCCCCCCCCCGACCGGCCCAAGAAGAAGGCCCCTCTGTCGACGCTGCGCAAGCGCCTGGCACGCCGGCGCTGGAGGGCCTCCAAGTGCTTCGACCATGCCCAGGTCTTCCACGACTTCCTCAACTCGACGGGCTGGACCGTGCGAGAGGTAGGCACGCCCAACTCCCGAGCTTTTTCTCCAACCTCCTTGGATTTTGTTTGTTAGTCCCTTGACGGTCCAGCTCCTTTTGCCAAGGATCTTTCCCAGTGGTTGGGTAGCTTCCAAAGGAGTAGTACGAAGAAGGGGTTAATGTGCGGGTGTTTTTTTAATTATCTAGAGCAGTGGTTCTCAACCATCGATGTTTCGCCGACCCTTTATGGATCGGCGGAGATGATGGAGGACCCCTTCCGTGGTGAGGGGGAATGTATAAGTTAAATATAATAATTATATAATAAATGGATTTAACTAAGGGCTTGCTTGAAGTAGACTTTTCCTATTGACATGCACAGAGAAAACTAGCCCAAAAATGGAAAAATTCCTTCTGAATCTGAAAAAAGACAACTTTTATTGCCGGGCTTGACTGATGCGGAGGGGCTTTGCGGACCCCTAGAATGCCTTTGCGGACTCCTAGGGGTCCACTAGCACCCATTTGAGAACCACTGATCTAGAGGGAATGCGTGCGGTGCTTGTAAGCTGTTTGAGTTTGGAAGTGTCAAATGAAAATATTAAAGGCAAAATATTTTAATCTTTATTCCATTCTATTTCATTTTGGTGCGTTCGCTTCCGCGACATTCCGATGGTTTCAGTTTCCGAGTTGGTTGTACCTGATAGAGCTTCTCCATCGCATGGTAAGCTCTCATCCTCCGAATTTAATTCTGAGAAACAATAAAAGTCTGAATGGGAAGAGCCGGAGCTCCAATTGCCACTACTGCCAGAGCAGCTGACATGCAAAGCGATCGTCTTTCACGTAACGTGTGTGCGGAGCGTCTAATTCGATATCTATAAATAGCCCCGGCAAAGCGAAACACTGTGCAGGTATGGCGTTTATAGTTTGCCTAAGACCCGACAAATAGCAATACGTCCCACTGTGTGCACTGTTTCGTGTTTAGGCGGGCACTCACAAATGTGTGATCGCTGTTGTACATGAACGGCAACGACCGTCAAAGGGTTAAATGCCCACGAAGGGCTTTACAGAAGGAATGCATAGGGTCACTTTGAGACTAACCACAGTGCACAAAGAAATAGACAAAAAACAACATATGATTTTAAAAATGTAGAAATATAACTCATAAAACATAATGATAATGATGGCATTTATTTGCACTCAAGTAGAGACGCTGGTGATGGCAGAAAGACCAAAAGTTTATGCCAGAAGAGTGCAGCACCAAAAAAAAAAAGAGAACCATACATAGACAAAAGCATCCTTTTGAACGCTGTCTATCGTCATGTTCAATGAATGCTAGCTGCTAGTCCAACTTGCAGCATTGCTAAGCCTTAAAAGGTAGCAATTGCTTCGCAAAATTTTGAAACGTCAGTTATGGTTACTATTATGTCTAAATGAGTGTTCCAGTTGTTAATAGAAAGCTGTAGGGGAGAAAATATAAAGCTATTGGTTCTAGGGGTAGATGAATGCAGTTTGTAAGAGTTATTGAAATGACGGGAGGTGTGGGTGTGCAGTATGGGTCTTTCTGCAAAGGAACAGGGCTTGAACAGAGTTTGTAATTTTCGAAATTTCGTGCCATCTGGCGTCTCAAATGGCAGTTTAACTTTTGACGTACTAATGGTGGCCAAAAAGTATATCTGATCGGCACGTCTCTTGCGCACATGAACGGCAGACAAAAACGACTTCTTCGTGTTGTAATTCCCTTTCAATTTATTTCAGTTTTAATAATGGGAAAAAGAAACTGTTCAGTATAAAGTGCCGGCCCATCATCCCCTCCATAAAATTCTCAAGAGTGGTAGCTTGCGCCACCTAGCTTATCAGACAGTGCCAAAAGATTGATTGGGCACGAGTTTGGCATAAACGCTGGTGCTGCACTTGAATCTTAATTTGTACGTCTTGTGGTATTAACGTCTGGGTGTACAGGGCTCGTATCCTTCTCTTCGAGGCACCTTTCACTTCTTCCTTCGTCGGGCACCAGAAGGCCACCGTTAGTATGGCTATGGTGCCTCGAACGCATCTCTGACTGGTGGGTTTAGCGTCCTATGCTGCCCACACATCAAAAGTGGTCCCCAAGTGGCAACAAATGGCATCGCAGAAGCCGGAGTGTCATGCTGTTGCCCGTCGCGATCCTGGCGAAAAGCGCGAGGGAACGCGAGTGTCGTTGTTGTCGCGGCGTCCCAGGCGTCCCAACTTTCGGCTGCTGTAGCCTCCATGGACTGTCACAGTGGGGAGCGACCTGCAGCAGAACAGGCATCTGCCACATCCACCACAACTGTTGGGACGCCGCCAGGATCGCAACCGGCAACAGCACGACACTCCTATGACGTCATCAGGCGGAAATCGAGGGACCACTTTTTTGGCCGCGGTAAACACACCAGTCGGAGACGCGTTCCAGGCACCGCACCATAGTATGGCACAGAAGTCATACACTCATGATGGATGGATGGATGGATGCTAACAGCTGTAAACTTTATGTAGAGTGGTAGCTTGCACCACCTAGCCTATCAGATGGTGACAACAACCAAAGTCGCTAGGTTGAATTTTGGAGAGTATCTATTATACCGCTCCCCAGGATAAAAAATAAAAAAATTTTATTTAGCGGACATCTGCCCCAACAAAGGACCAAGAATTTTTCTACCCTCGCTAAATACTTCTTAGAATCATTCTCTAACTTTGATAACTGAATAAACTTTCCTTAGTTGATCTTTCTACGCAATAGCAGTTGGCCTAAAAGTTCAAGAAATACGAGCATCATTCATCCCCTCAACTTAAGGCCAGAACAAGCGGCCACGTGGCCTGGTGCCTATCCTATGCTGCCAAGGTTAATCATATCCACACACTGGGGTTGGCAAGCTAGAAAAGGCGCACTGAGCTCCGGGCATTGTTAAGAGTTTGGCTATTCTCATTACTGCCATTACACGAGCCATTACCCGAGTGTCCGCCGAAGTATTGATTGTTGCGAGCCGAAGTTAAGTGCTCTCGCAGTTCTCGTGTCCAATCCTTGAGCGGCGCTCGACTGTCGTTAGACGGGCAGTTTCGATCACACAAACACGTCAGAAAGCTTTGCGAAGGCAAGACTGAAAGTAATAGTCCCCTTTTATCCCCGCACTTTCTCCGTGGTGGTTCTGCTTGGTCCAAACTAGGACCAGTCTGCAAAGTCACAAATATTTCAGCTTGATATCGTTTCATGACCCTTTAAATATAGGCCACCTCGAAATCTTTAACGCGTAAACATAATTTTAGCTTCTAGGCACCCATGCTCAATTTGGTCTTTGTCAGATTAGTGACCCATCTGGCCCAGGATTTGAAGTTTGTATGCCGCCACCTTGTGACATGCCTCTTTCTCTACGGAAAAAGGGCATGGTAGAGGTCCTGCGTTGAAGTTTAGTAGGGAAACAGGGCGCATGTGATCACAGTTTTGGATCCTTTGGGGTGCTTGGATATGGAAGTTTGGTTATTGCCGTAAGAATTCCCAGACCTTCCCGTGTCGTGCAAATGAACTGCGGACAACTTCCGAGCCACTCCACATTGCTGCACCAGACGGTGTTCGTAGGACGTTGTGGAGTAACATGATGCCATGACATCGCTCGACTCTGCGGCATCGTGTGGCACTAAATTTCCACTTAATTTAGACGAGAAACTCCCCGCTAAATCTAACGGAGAAATTTCCTGCCAGCCACAACAAACACGAAACACACAAGGTCCGCCATGACACCTCGCCAATAGGGAGTTTTAGTGGATCCTTCCGAAACCTCCGATAATGGCACCTGATGTTCCGCCGCCGATGCCTTTGCGCGGGCATTTTATCGTTATTGGGTATAGTTTTCGGAGGTTTTCAAACATTCTACTAAAACCCAACTTTGGGACGTTTTCAGTCACGTGACTGCCCTGCATACTTTGTGGGTATAGTGTTAATGTAATAGTCTAGAGGGGAAGGGTTCCGAGTATTTTGGCTACTTCAAGACAGCAGGGCATAAACGCACACAGTGGTGGTCCCGGTGGGACCATATTCCTGGCAACTCGTTTCATATACACAAAAAAAGCAGAAAAACATCACTTGAAAGGTCTGTATCTGGTGTTCTCCTAGCCTTATTTTCCGCAAAAACACCAGCGTCGCGCGGAGTATAAAAAAAAATTATTTTTTTAACACTCGACAACTTCGACTGGTTGCAGCGAAAGGAATACAGCCGACCTGTCTTCTGCTTTCTTTGTCCGCTTTTCTGCCGCTCCCTTTCTCTCTCCTTCTTTCGGAATCACTGATGCCAGTGCTCAGGATTTGCCGTGCTCCCGTCTGCAGGTGGCGGCCCTGGTGCACGAGTACGAGGCCACGGCGGCGCTGCGGGAGCTGGTGGTGCAGGCGGACGCGGCCCGTCCCCTGGCCCGCTCGTGCCGGGCGGACCTGGGGCGGCTGCTGGAGAGTGGCCTGTGCGCGGATGTGACGCTGGCCTACCGGGGCACCGAGTTCCCCGCCCACCGGGCCCTGCTGTCCGCCCGCTGCCCCTTCTTCAGGGACCTGCTGTGCGAGGGGGGCCCTCGGCAGCAGATGGTGCGCCCTTCTTCTCCCCCCCCCCCCCCTTCTCTCTGTCTCCATGCTCCAGGCTAGGGAGAGCCTAGATTTGAGAGAGGGATCGACTTAAACCGTGAGGCATTTGCAATTTGATGGCAGATGCCACCTGCGCCAATTAGTTGTGAGCGTACATGCACCGCATTGTCGGGTGGCGAGGATGAAAGCAGGCAGAAAGGCTGAGACGTGGACGATGATCGATGCCTTCCTACCCTCCTCGAAGCTTTGGCTGCAAATGCAACCCATTAGCCACGTGACACCGATTGAGCAGTTCGAATCAGGTGGTCAGTTGGGCAAGTTGGTACTGACTAAACGTGTCTAAAGTTGCGCACAAAGAGGTGGGGACAGAGGAGAGAAACGGGTAGACGGCGGACAAGCGCACACTTGCAACTTACACTCGAACGTATCTTTCGTCCCTCCTTCTTTCCAACACACGCGAGCGTGCGCTTGTCTGTCGTCTACATGTCCTTCTCCTCTGTCTTTTTGTACGTAACTTCAGCCATGTTTGAGCAGTGGGAAACTCTGCAGTGTAGGCTCACAACTCCAGGGTCGGGGCATTTCTTTTAAAGGGACACTGAGCTCCTAAAAATGTCCTTCGATTAAGTGCTTGCAAAGGACATATCCAAAGGCCCCAAAAGATAAGTTTTGGAATCGGCCAAATGGGTCTCACAACACAAATGTTGCACTGAAGCTCTTTTCCTTGAGAAAGTAAATTTCTTATTTTACGCATTGTATCCAGATATTTAACTAATATTTTGGAGGGTTCAGTGTCTCCACTGAAAAAGCCCTAAGGGAGAGGTGGAAACAGAATGAACGCTGACTAATCAACTGATGTTTACATAGACTAAAAGAAGAAAGAGAAGACAGAAAAGATTTTTGGATATGTGTAAAAGGGTAATCACACGTGCGAGAGATCCGTCCCTTTGCTCTCTGCGCTGCGCATCACGCGGCAACAACGTCGCACTTTTGTGCGGAGGAGCGCCATGATGTAGGCCTCTGCATGGGATGGGGGAGCATTGTTTGGGCTGCACAAACGCTCAAAGGATCTCTTTGCAATCGGCAGCATTTTCTTCGCATGTTCGGCAATTTTACGGGTCCCGCTCTGCTCTCAACTGCATGACCGCGCTCTTGTCGGCGCGCACCGAACTTTGTTTTTGAGAGCTTTGTTTTCTCTTGGCGCTTCGCTGTATGCGTGAATGGCGAAGCCGGGGAGATAGTCCCGCCAGTTCCAGTGACCGGTGACATCGTACACGTCCCCCGTGCGAATGCTCTTTCACCTCGTGTGAATATTCCACCATTTCTTTTTTTTAAATTTATTCCCTTTAAGTGAAAGCTGTTTCTCTATCGTGCCTTCTGGAGTTTCCTGTGCGGGGTCTCGAGCGCTGTGGGTGTCCCCGCAGATGGTGGTGGAGATGGACATTCCGGGCGTGGGAGTGGACCTGTTTCGTGACCTGCTGCGCTACCTGTACACTGGGGAGCTGAGTGTGGCGGGGGATGGGGGGGCCCTGTCCACCCTTCTGCGCCTCAGTGAGCAGTTCGGGGTGCCCAACCCCCTGGCGCACGACCTCAGGCGCCTCCTCGAAGGTAAGGCTTCCTCGCACCCCTGAGCGGCCAAAGGCTCCGAGCAGCGTGACCGTCTGCCATCGCTCCGCTCCCTTTTATTTATCGAGTGTCTAGTGCGCGAATACCGGTTCGCATCGAATAGCACCGCGTCGTTCGTACCCTTCAAAGCAAAAGGGAAACGGACAATCGGTTTTCTCGACAGGGTCTGAGGTAGGTATGTCACTGCCAATCAATTTGAACCGGTGTTTGGACATCCCTGACGGATAGCGTTTGTACCACCAGCTCTTGGCGCTTTCAGGTCTGTGCTGGGGTCTAGCCTTAAAGTCGTCATCATGACGTTACTGTAGCGTTAACCAACGTTCTTCAATCTATTGGTTGGCAAGCTCCACGGAAAAGCTTTATTCAAAAAAGTTCCTTTTCTGTTGCCTGTGTGCGAGCAGGTACGGGCAGATGGTGATCCCAGTGCAACCGGTGGCAGGAGCTCTACGGGCAACGGAGAAGGACTTTTTGTAGCGTGAGCTACACTGGCCGAGGTTGAGCAGTTTCGCGTGGCTCGCATAATGAGCCGTGCTGCGTGCTGCGCAAGCGCGAGGAGCAGTGACGTCACATGGCGCATAGCTGGCGGGGCGAAGCCGCCATCGTTGCGGTTTCCGCCATCGCCGCACGTGCCTCGCCGGTCTGCGTAAGCGCGAGGAGCAGTGATGTCACACGGCGCACAGCTGGCGTGCCGGAGCCACTGCTGCCACCGCGCTATAACTGCGCGCACCTTGCCGGTCTTCGCATTCCAGAGGAGTGACGTCATAGCCGCGGCAGACGCACTGGCGCCGCCGCGTGCCCAGCTGTGTGCCTCCGTTGCTCAGTAGCCAAGTCTGACACTGCACCGGAGCTGCTTGATAGCGCCTCTCATTTTCTGCACATAAGCTCATGCTATGTATATCCTGGCATAGCCGAGCTAAGTCACCGCAATTTGTATTTTAGAATGAAGGTCATTTTGTGCAGACTTTATGTTAATTATTGAAACCACGATAGAATCACTTTCTACAACAGGCAGTGTTCACACAATGCGCCACCCCGAGAAGGCGACGGGAGTTCTAGGAAGTGGTAGCTGACTGATAACGTTGGTGTCAACGTCACGGTGGTGAGACGTCATCGTGACATTACGTAACCTTATCACGTGACATTGGGACATTGTCATGTGGCACCGTGCCATCGGGTGACAGTGTGACGTTTTGCAACATATCACGTGGCACCATGACATGATGTGACACTGCAGTGTCTTAATGGGAACTCGCATGCCAGAGAAGTAATGGCACAGTGAGGACGGGCGAAGCACAGAGGGCCTATGAATGCTCTTAGTTTGAGGAACTTTCGAAATATACCAAAAAAAAGGCAGTTTCTTTTTTTTTTGGTTGTGATTTATTTGCAAACACTGCAGACGGCATTGCTGTCCAAGCAGGAGAGGATTACAGGGGGGCAAATTGATGGGTCAGGCTTGGGGGTGGCAGTGCGAGGCCACCCAAAAGAGTGATTTTGGGGTGCGAGGTCGAGTACCGTGTCTCGACACGTTTAATACGAGAAGTATGCGATAGGTTGGAGGCGTGCAGACACACCGCCCATAAAGTAGCTTGTCTTTCGTAAGTAAACATTGTTCACAAAGCACGGCAGTGTTACTCGGACCCAAGTTTGCATTGGGCGTGCGGGGGAAAAATGAACTTGACGATCGAGAGGTTAAGTGAAAAGAGAGCTAGAGGCATTTGTGGATAATTGGCACTGTCCGCATTGCAGGAGGCCACCTCGCCGATGCCAGCCTGGTGTGGGAGGTGCCGGGATCCGAGCAGGAGGCCCAGTTCCCGTGCCACCGGGCGGTGCTGGCCGCCCGCTCGCCCTTCTTCCGCGGGGTGGTGCAGCGCCGGTGCGGGGCAGAGGCCCCGGGGGGCCGCCTGCGGGTGGTGCTGGACGGGGGAGTGGTGCCCCTGCGCCACGCCCGGGTGCTGCTCTGGTCCCTGTACCAGGACGCCGTGGAGCTCTCCTCCCTGGCCTGTGGCCCATCCGGGGCCTGCGGGGGCGGCTCCTTCCCTGAGGAGCTCATGGAGCTCTACGAGGTGGCGCGGCTCCTCGAGCTGGACTCCCTCGCTCAGGGTGAGGAGGAGACGCCGGGCTCGCAGTATTCCAGCCTGAAATGCTCTTTAAAATAACACCCCCTCTCCATTCGTAAAATTTTGTCTTATCTGCGCATTATTTGCTAAATTTAGCAGAGAATCAACGTCACATGACCTATTGACCAATCTAATATCCACGCTAAATTTAGCGGAAAAATTTATAAATTGATGTCACGTGACTTACATACCAGGTCAGTTTCCCCGCTCGGGAAAATACTGGGTGTTTCAAGGAGCGGCCAGGCTCTTTAAATCGACCGGAAAATTCGGTTTCTTAACCTATCGCGCTACGACTTTGTGCAGCATTGCCCTCAGATGGTGGTTTTTTTTTTTGTAAAATTTGCAAAGAGCGAACTTACTCGAGGAAAAAGTAAAGAAAGAAAAAGGCTTAGCTCCTATGGAAACGCAGCGAAGCCACCGGTCTTCAAACAACATGGCGCCGTTTTGCACGGGAGACGAGATGGCGCAAGCGGTTGCGATGCCAACTGCCGCCAACGAACGAGCATACGACGCCGAGAGCCGGCGATTTTAGCAGACAAGGAACTGCAGTTCCTTGCTGTTACCGTGCCTGTTTTTGTTTCTGTGACTGTCGCCGCCTGCAGAACGCGCGCCGCTTTTGAGTCGAAAAAATTGTCTGCTAAAGACGCCAGCTCTTGGCGCTGTATGCTCGTTCGTTGGCGGCAGTTGGCGTCGTGACCGCTTGCGCCATCTCTTGTCTCCCGTGCGAAACGGCGCCGTGTTGTTTGCAAACCGGTGGCGTCGCTGCGTTTCCATAGAGGCTAAGCCTTTTTCTTTCTTTACTTTTTCCTCGAGTAAGTTCGGTCTTTGCAAAGTTTTTAAAAAAAAATGCACCATCTGTGGGCAATGCTGCACAAAGTTATAGTGCAATAGGTTAAGAAACCGAATTTCGCAGTCGATTTAAGGAGCCTGGCCGCTCCTTGAAACACCCGGTAGTATTACGTGATCTCACACTGCATGACCTATACACTCCGTGCGACGCGACTGGCGCGCCGCCGCGCGGCCGGTACCGAAGGTAGGCAGTGAGAACCCTAGAGAAAACGAAACCGAAACCACGCCGCGTACGTTGGTACGCGTTGAAGTCGGAATGGTGCTGTTGCGCTGGGTTCGCAGCCTGTGCTGCGTCACTAAGTGCTTCAATAGTTATGCGTCGTATCTCGTGGAGACAAAGTTTCACAGTTCTTCACCTCGCCGATGTTTTGTGGGACAGCGACAACGATAGAGCCGTGCTGTACGACGCGAGAAATTTGGTGTCCCGATCATGTCTGCCACTGTGTCGGCACGGCTGACATATTCAACACTACCGCTTTGCGCTCTGCGTTTGTTTTCGTACCAGTAACGCCAACATGTGTCAGCGCCGATGGGACGAACTGAAATGCCATCCCACACTCGCGGGTATGCAGTGCCAATTTCGTTGGAGGAATGCCCTCCAAAGAAGTTTCGTCCCCATTGTACGTGTCGATGATATTTTCGGAGGAATATGGCACGCAATCTGTACTTTATGAAGAAAGATTCGAACGGTAAAAAAAGTGTCAAATATAAATCTAAAGAAAACAACCATGAAACTCGGAATCACTGGAGAATCGGCGTTTGAGTATGGAAGTTTATGTAGTGTGCTTTCTTTCTTGATCAGCCTCCTTTTGGATGTGGAAACACTGGCATCCTGAGTTCTGTAGACAACAATTTTTTTTCTCGGCTTTAGAGCCACCTATCGCAAAGTGGTTCGAACTGGAAGTACCGTCCACTGGTCCCTTCCTACCTGTAAAGTGTGCACCTCCCACGATGAGTGGTATTTTCTGACAGCCTTAGACGGGCAAAGCCAGTTCCCATTTAGTTACGCCGCCCAAACTAAATTTCCACCTGGTTTCGCTATGCCAACTATTTTTGGTATAATAAGTGTTGTGCCAAGTGACGGTCATGTCAAAGTACCTGTGGCAGCACAGGCTCAGCACCTCGCACAACAGGTTATTACACAACGGCTGACCGCAAAAGCACTTGGCGGCCAAACCGTGTGTTGGCCGACAACTTTGTTTTCTCGGCTTTGGAACCACCTTTCGTAAAGTTGTTTCAATTGGAAGTACAGTCCACTAGTCCCTTCCTACCTCTAAAGTCTCCACCTCCCCCGACCAGTGGTATTTTCTTGACAGCCTTTTCATGGTCAAAACCGGTTCCCGCTGAGTTACGCCGCCCAAACCAAGTTTTCACCTGGTTTCCCTATGCCACCTTTTTTTCGTATAATAAGTGCTGTGTCACGTTACTGTCAAGTCCAAGCACCTGTGTGCCCAAACCTGCACTTAGCACAGCCCGCTATAACATAACATTTTGGGTCCCATATGGGATATACCGTACAGCTTTATTTCTTTATTCGTTAGAAACAACTTTCACACCTGTAATGAAACTTGGCACACCTCGTGCAGAAACTTAGTGGACACCTCACTCGCCTCCAATATCATCGTTCCAGCAGTCCTACGTCTACAGCGACGAGCGAAATAAATTTCCCACTCAAAGCAATTATGGTGGCGGCCTTCTTGCTTTTCGGAAAATTGCTCCAACTCCTTTTTTGGCCGCAACTAAGGAAATTACCCCTAATAACGACTAAAACTCAGTATATAAGAAGTGGAGAACATCTAGACACCCTTCTTAGGTCTGCCCCAGCAGTCATGCAACGTCACTCTCAACGTATCGCCTCAAAAAGCAAAAGTTCCGTCCGTGCGCGCTTCCGCCGCCACAGCTTGGCACGCGAAAAGGCGCCGCAGGCTGCTGAACGCGCCCCACGGTCGAACGCCAGCTCCTCCGCTAGCGGCGCTGCGCGCGTTTTTCAAAGCGCCCCCTATAGTTCCCACACGGAGTGTATATACCAATTCAGTTTCCACACCAGATATAGCTTAGTTTCCCTGCTAAATTTACTCGAGAAATTTATAAAAAAAATATGAGTTTTCGCTTTCTAAGATGATTGTCTTGTTAACAAATTTATATTATTGCTTCTTAAAGGGCCCCTGAAAAGAAAAAAAAAAAAAGTTTTTTTTATATTGGACATGCGTGTCAAAAAATTAATCTCATGCAAAAAAAAAAGAGAAGATTTTCAGAGCAATATTGACGGAGCGAGACACGATTCTGTGGGTAGTCACCTCCTTTCCACTTGTTTTCTCTCTCGGCATTTCGGGTGCGTGGAGGAGAGCTGGATCGGCTTCGCCTTCACGTTGAGCTGGAGAGAGCGAATCACCGTATTTGCACGAATATAACGCAAGTTTTTTTTTCAAACTTGCATGCTCCAAAACGCACATCGCATTGTACTGTAAACGACTAAGTTTTTGCGAGGACCTAATTTTCGCGAATCGCCTACAATTCGCGAAAAATACGTCCAGCGAACAATTCGGGCAATGTGTGAACGCTACGGAAGCTACACTCAATTTGCGAAAATTAGAACCGCGAATAATTTCAAATTTTCAGCTTTGGCCCAATTCGTGAAAATTAAGTCGTTTACAGTACTATTCGGAATCGAGTTCAGCCACGAAAAGCGGGAGTCTGCAGAGAGCCATCCCTCCGACTCAATGCAGGAGATCAGGTGGGAGAAGAAGTGGGGGGTGCGGAAGGGAATTTATTAGCCTCTTAGATTAATTAGGGGGGAATAGAAAACATAGAGAGCATTCTTATCGCTTTTGTGTTTGTACAACAGAGGCCGAAAAACTCGGCCCATAAATGCAGCGCACCACGCAGGAATGTGGGCACTTTTCAATTCCTGTCAAGTCAGGCCAGGCCAATTCAAGTGAAGAGAAGCCAAGACCACCAACCATGTTTTAACGATTGTGCAACAGGTGTTTGTTTATGCGGAGGGAGGAGAACTAGAATGAGTGTGATCGTATATCGGGTCCAGCAATTCAGCAATCTTTTTTCTGTCTGCACGTTCCTTAGTTTCTGCTCCAGAGTGGTCTGGTGTTTGTGTTGGTGCTTTGGCTTCGTGCCTTGCTTTGCTTGTGGGCTGCTGAGGAGCTCACCAGCAAGAAAAAGAACTAAACGACAAGCGGCGACCCTGTACTGCTGCATATCTGCAGAGTCGCCAAGTGCATTGTGGACAAAAGGACCTGAGCAGTGGGGATGAGTGCAGTCAGAATATAACCTGACATTCATTCGATTTTGATTACCTTTTCACTTCTGCTGTACCCCCCCCCCCCCCCAGTGGGGTCAATTTACACGGCCTATTCATATTTATTTGTCTTTTTGAGGGCGTCAAAACTTGCCCTCGCGTTATATCGTGCAAATACGGTACCATCTCTCAATTCAATGGCACATGATCTATGTGCCATCGAATCTTGGTGTGAAAGGTGGCAGATGCAAATCAATGTAAATAAAACCAAACAAATGACCTTTACTACGAAACATAACACAATAAACTTTCAATACTCCCTTTCCGGGAATACAATAGAAAATGTACCAACTTACAAGTACCTGGGTGTTAACTTAACAAGCAATCTCTCATGGGAAAATCATATAACCCATATTATTAACAAAGCTAACCAGACTCTCGGCTTTCTGCGACGCAATCTCTCCCTTGCCTCCAAGGAAACTAAATTATTAGCATACACCTCACTTGTCCGTCCCCAGTTAGAGTACGCCTCATCTGTCTGGAATCCCCATCAGTTATTTTTAGAAGATATGTTAGAAGCAGTCCAAAACCGCGCAGCACGGTTTATTCATCGAAATTATACTTTCCCTACTAGTATCACCACTCTTAAAGCTCAACTTGGTCGTCCGTCTCTCAAAACGCGTAGGACAGTATCCGCCTTAACTATTCTTCATAAATTTTACTACCATCTTCCTTTCCAGAAAACGTTGTACTGTATACCCGCTCCCCATATCTCCCGTCGCTTAGATAATTCCTGCAAACTATATTTATCCACTCCCAGGACCAATACCTTTAAATTTTCTACCCTGCAGCTTTCCGTTACCAATTGGAATAAACTGCCAGATCCAATAGTAACCATATCGGACACTTCAAAATTTAGAGAAGCACTTGCCACCTTTTACGGCGCGTAACTCACGTTTTTGCTATCTTTTGTTTGTTTTTCTTGTTTGTACCGTGTACTTAAATCTTAGAAATACTGCCCGCCCCCCTTATGTAAAGCCCCACGTGGGCATTTAAGGGATAAATGAATGAAATGAAATGAAATCTCGTTGGGCAAATGGGGGGGGTCATGGACTTTCCGCGCAGAATTTCAAATAAATCTCACCGTCAATATTGCTCTAAAATTTTGTTTTTCACAAAAGATTTATCTCTTGACACGCGGGTCCGAACCAGACTGTTTAAAAATAAGTTTTTTTCTTTTCAGGGTTACTGCACCGAAATTTCGAGCTCGCAAAACAAGGCTGGAGCGATAGGCGGGACGCTGCAAAACCCGAAAACATCCCTCATACAGAGTTATCTCTAACGGATGGCCGTATTCTTGGTAAAGAAGTGCGCGTTTGAACGTGACCGACGAGGTCGACGAGACGTCTGACGTTTCAATTTTCATTCCCTCTCCTCCCCGCTTCGTCCCGTCGATCGGGTGAACCGAGGCGAGGAAGAGAGAAGCAATGGCCGCTTCCCCTCATTTTCAACTGCCCCAGGACGATCGTGGCATCAGAGTCCTCGCTTGATAGCGCCCTTCTTTTCCAAAAATACTGCCATCCGTATGAGATATTGATGTAGTAGTGTTGGAGTTTAACGCTTTTGTGCCATTATTTTGTGAAATCCAAATTTTAATTTGAGTATCCATTTTAAATACTGCATTTCATCCATTATAAGGCTTTAGAAATAAAGATTGCTAGCAATTGTTTTTGTTTTTTTTTATTAATTTTTTTGATGCATACATTGCCCAGTGGGTATTACAGTAGATGGAGGCTGTAAGAAAATATACATGAAGAAATTGCGCAGAACAACAGCGATAAACGAAATCCCCAAAAAGAAACCGCGAGTTGCGACAGCAAGATTAATTCATAAAAAAAATTAGAGAGCATGGGAAACTGATATCAATCGATTGGGCAGAACATTCCAATCATCTATGGTCTGCGAAAAAAAAAGAGTATTTGAGTAGGCCAGTCTGTGCAGAAAGCTCTTTGATCTTATTACCAGTCAAACCTCGATATATCGAACACGGATATATAGAATTATTGCCTATATCGAACGCTTTCTATATCACGTGGAAAATAGCATGCTTTTTTATTTTTTATTTCGAACGGGGTCGGGCATAAAATGGATATATCGAACTCCGCCACCCCAAACAGCCCGCGCTCTTTTGACAGGCGGCGAGCTTTCCCGCAACACACTCAAAGATAGCGGTGGCGCAATGGGCGCTTCTGACTGCCCACACACACACGTCGAGGGCGCCATTTGAACGTAGCGGCGCGCGCACGCCGCTGCCTGGATAGTTTGTCGCAACGACAACGACGCACTGCATTTACCGCACCGACTCCTCCTCCTCGGTATTATCGGTAGTGCTACGCGTGTGATCGTAGTTCTTTTGTGTGTCGTGTTGCCTCGCGTGAGTGATGGCTCCAAACGCTAAAAAACGGACGTCCCTGACATTTGCTGCAAAACTGGAAGCTGTCCAGCAGATTGAGAATGGAGAAAAAAAAGTTGAGCGTTGCCGAAGCTTTAGGCCTACTGAAAGCACTTTGAGTACTCTACCGAAAAACCAGAGTGACATAAAGTCCAAGGCAGAACAGAACCAGCACTCAGGTGCGCGGCGTGTACGCAAAGCTGCCTTTGAAGATGTTCAGAAGTCGCTGCACAAATGGTTCATCGACGCAAGGGCCCGGAATATTCCTGTGTCCGGACCGATGTTACAACAGAAGGCAATCATTCTCGGCGCCGAGAACTTGAAGCCAGTAGCGGTTGGCTGCAACGTTTTAAGGCCCGCTTTAACATTGTCGGGAAGACAGTCTCGGCGGAAAGTGAGGACGCCAATGAAGAGGAAATCAGGAAGTGGCCTGATCCACAGTGGCCCCAGGTTCTCGTTAAGTACGAGCTGCACCAGATATTTAATGCGGCTGCTCCCGCCTCTGCGGTCGGTCGGCGCGCATGTGCCGCCTGTCGGCGCTTCACGGAGCGCGACGGCCATGCGCTTTTAACAAGTTTTTTACGCGTTTTTGATGTGATTTAATATATCGAATTCTGGCTGTATCGAACTATTTCTCCATCACCGCGCAGTTCGATATATCGAGGTTCGACTGTATTGTTGTTTCGACGTGAAATACAACAAGGAGCAGACGTTTCGGAGGGCACATTGCTCGGTGAGATGTCTAACTCTGTGGCGCTCATACCATGAAATTTGGAATGAACAGCCTTTACCCAGAGATCTACCACCGTATTTACTCGCACAGTGAACGCACTCGCGTAATGAACCCCCCCAAGGTGGCTCTCAAAATTTGGACTTTTTTTTTCACTCTTGTATTAAATGCACCCCCAACTCGGACGTCAAAATTTTGACCCCCTTCCCCCACTCGCGTGAAATGAACACACTTTTCTATCCTGGTGCAGCGAGGTCGCGAATGCATGGGCAGCGTGGGTGAACAAAACGCCTTGCAAAAGGCGTTAAAAAAATAAAAAAAGATCCAACGGAAGCAAGAAAAAAACACATGGAGAGGAGCTTTTTTTTGCACAGCGCAGTCTGGGACTTTGGGGTCGTGCACCGCGTGCAAGGAGATAAGAAAGAGAAACGAAGAAGCCCTCGCCTAAGCAACGCCTAAGCAAACAAAACAGCTTGCGAAAGGAGGCAAAAAAAATGTAAAAAAAAACCATGGCACTAAGAGAAAAACAAAAAACAAAGGAGCTTTTTTTTTTCTTTTTTTTTTGCACAGATCAGGTTTGTTACGGGGTCGCGTGCCACGCGCAAAGAGATAAGTTACATTGGAGTTTTCAGGTAAAAGGTCCATTCATTATGCGAGTAAATACGGACGCAAAAATTTTACTTCACGTAATGAATGCCCCCCCCCCCCCCCAACTTTGCATCGATTCTTCGGAAAAAAAGGTGCCTTCATTCTGCGACTAAATCCGGTATTCTATATTTCGGGCTGAATATCCATGGGCCGAAAATTCCCAAAAATCCCCGATTCTCGTTGGACATTGTGCGACGTTTGGCCAACGAGTTCGTAGCAGGTTCTCGCATGTTTATCGCGCCATAAAACCCGAGTCCACCGCATCCATGACAGACAGTCGCTATGACAGTTCCAGTAACACGCGAGTTTGTACCGGGTTCCTGCTTATTTATCGGTGCAGAGTGAAGGACCTTTGGGGCAAAGAACCTTTAAGGAAAACAAGATGTACAGAAGGCCCTTTTGGGAGAAAGGACCTTTAGGAAAAGCATGTAGTTAAAGGACCTCCGTCTGACGCGGGTACGAGGCCAGGGGCGAGACGAGTCTGTGGTCCCTGTGGCCGGGTGTGGTGCAGGCTGCGAGGACGCCCTGGTGGAGCTGCTCAGCCCGGAGACCCTGTGCGGCGTGCTGCAGTGGAGCGAGCAGCCCCACGGCTCCCCCTGGGTCCACCGGCAGGCCCTGGGCTTCCTGGCCGAGGAGTTCTCGGCCCTGGCCCAGACCCCGCTCCTGCTCCAGCTCACCAAGGGGCAGCTGGCCACCCTGCTGCGCTCCGACTTCCTCCAGGCATGGCCCCCTTGCACTCTTAGCTTGATCAACTTAAATCCGCTCGTGCGCCTGTCTCTTTGCCACCTGATCGCGCTCTCGCCTCTATGGTCGACTCTCGTTAACTCTAGCTCCAGGAAGCCACAGACCTTGGTTTGAAATATTAGATGTTTGAATTATCAGAAATTCATCTAAATATGATAAGTAGCGATTTGTTAAAGGAATAGTTACACGTACCATGCATGTTAATATGCTTTCCACTACGCGGGCCTATCTATAAGCAGGCGCACACGTAGAACATTGGTGAACGTCAAAGCGAATAGTGGTTTTGGCTGAATATTTTCTAATAGAATATGGAATGGTTTCTCCGAGCCTTTTCCTACCGTTTTACCATGTTTAAACAAAAATTCAGTTACCCATTGTGAACGTTGTTCCAAACTTCCCACATGTACACTTCTAAGCTCAGTTAGTTTTGATATAAACTCTATCTATGAACTGTGTCCTCTGAAAGTCCCATGCCTCCAATGGGGTGGCATGTGAATGACAGGTTGGACACAAAGTTCAACCTAAGGAGACTCCCAGCTATCCTAATCGAGGGAATAAATCTGCTCGCTATATGCAAATTTACCCCCTTAAAAAAAAAAAAAAAAAAAAACGAGCGAGAATAATGAAACCAGGATGTCAGGACAGTTCTGCTCGCATAATTGCGGTGGGTTAGTCCCGTCGAGTGTGCTTCTCACCGAGCACCCGCCTGCTGCAGAAATGCAATGACTTCGAGCTTGTTGGGTATTGCTTCCCCGCAGTACAAAGGTGCTCGGTGCGAAGCACACTCAACGGGGCTAACTTGCTGCAATGAACAAATAGTATGAAGTAAGCGAAAAGGCTGTTTCAATGAAGCAGCTTATAAATGCATTGGAAACATAGCTGGATAACCAAAATTTGTTTAGTTTGTTTGAGTGAACCGGAAGTTGGAAATATCCGAGTTTGAATTAATGCGAGTCCACCGTACCTGGCTGGGACACGACATAAGTCTGCTCTTCTTTCTGGTGGTGACAAGCGTCTCATTTATTTGACAGAAGCTACACTCTCCCGTGCCTTTTCCCCCATCATGTATGACCAAGTGACGAAAGGAAGGGGCACGAGTGGTCCAGCGAGCTTGTCAGCTTAGGCGTGAAAGGGATGTAAAAAAACTCCGTTGGGAAGCTTTCCCTCGGAGGGTCGGGCTGCTCGCATCCGCTCCCAGGTAGCGCAGTTTTTTTGGACCAAAATTTGGTTTCTGTCCGGGAATTTAGGGTCTCGGAAAGGCCGAAGAAGCCGAGCTAGAGCCAAGCTTGACTTCCTTTGTCCCGAGTCTAGGGTATCTTGGCCAAACAAGTGCCAAAGTCAGGCTTCACTGCCTGGTCGTTGGACTGTCACCTGGCATTCTTGGGCCTAAATTGTGCAGCAAGTGCCAAAGTCAAGGTTCACCTCTGGTGGTTTGGTTTTCACGGGACAATTTTGGCTGAACTTTGGCACTTTGGCAACTATGGAGCGAGTGAAAAAAAAAACATCGGAAGTGCTTTGGCACTGATGCCTCGGAGTTCAGCCATATTCGCTCTTCCTTGCACGAGGTAAAACCTGCTGCTGCCAGGGTCCGAATAGCCCCCAACAACTTCCGGTTCTGAACTAGACGGCAGATTTTGAGCTATTTGCGAAATCAAATATATGTGTTATCTTTTGGAAATGCCCACTTATAGCACTGTCGGACTTAATTCCCTCTTACGATAAAAGAATGGTGAGTGAGAAATTAAGAAATATATGTGAACCGGAAGTGTGCCGGGGCTACACAGTGGATGGCACCACTGAGTTTGTTAGCTAACAGAAAAAGGCGAATGGAGCCAAAGTTAGCCCCTAGGATCACCAAACTTCTGTTCAGTTAGGCGTTTCTCTGGTGGGCTACTTGGGATAGAACCGATACCCTGGAACCAGGGTTCTCCCCACGGTGGGCGGCAGTGGCAGAGCTCCGACTGGCCACCCACCACTCCAACTGAACGCCCACCGCTCTATTTTTTTTTTTTTTTTATGTCGCGGGATGACAATTTGATTTTGCCTGCGCACAAGCCTGCAGACCGTCACCGTTGTACTCAGCAGGTCCGCGCACCGCCATGTTATTGTTCGCTATAATATTGTAAGAGATTTCTGCAGCTCAGCCAGGTTAAAAGGTGGATTGCATGCACAGTATCAAAAACACTGACATTGACGAGAAATTCTAAAAGTGATGGGACAGGTCCGTGGACTTTGCACGACACTTGTACAGGGTGACTCCGGATGACACTCGAAACTGTGCAAGCGTAGAATTGGTCGAAATTACCGATCATTATGGAGCTGAAGAAGCAAAGTTCCCACGATTCCTAGAGTGCTGGCCGGGGCGCTTGGGGGATTTAGCGAAGGGTCTATTACAGCACTACCCCTTGGCGGGTCGGTCCATTTCGTTGGGTCATTGCTAGTTTCTTGGTTAGGGTAGTTGGTGGTACGTGATCCGATTTGAAAGAAGAAAGTCAACAAAAGTATTTTTAGACACAGGAACGACCGCGGCGGCAAAAAGGGTGGTACCACCATCTCAACGAGCTCAACGCTTAAAAAGCCATCGAAAATAAAAAGAAATTTTTTTAAGCAATCTTATTAAGACACACGCGTGTCAAAAAATAAATTTTATGCAAAAGAAAAAAAAAAAGATTTTAGAGCAATTATTGATGGCGCGAGACGCGATTTAGTTGGGAGTCACCTCCTTTCCACTTGTTTCCTCTCGGCATTTAGGGCGCATGGAGGAGAGCTGGATCGTCTTGGTCATCACGCTGAGGTGGAGAGAGTGTATGACTATTCCGGGACGTCATGGATTTTGCGCATATAATTTAAAATAAATCTCGCAACATCAACATTGTTCTAAGAAAAAAAAATCCACGTAACATTCAAGCAGACTGTTCAAAAAAACATTTTTTTTCTTTTGAGTGGCCCTTAAAGGCCAACGTTCACTTCAAGCTTTCCACTTTTGCCCGTTTCCTCCTTTCCTATATCCTCTCCACTTTTTACCTTGCCCCCCCCCCAACTTGGCTCCCCTCGCAGCTTAGGAGAGGACAGCGCTAAGAGGATTATCTTTTCTGCAGAAAACCGAGCTCGTATGTCTTTTTCTGAGTACCGGCTGGAGCCAGTTCTTCAAAGTGGGCTCCTATAACAGTTTCCCAACTGGGTTCTAGTACTAGTTTGAGCTGCAGCAAACTCTCTCTCGTCCTCCAGAAGCTCTAAAACAGTCCGCGACAGAGCAGAACGGCATCGCCTGAGCTTCCGGCCACCGTATCCAAAGCCCAGGAAGTTTGAATCGTAACCGTCAACACCCACTCAGCACTAGGCAACAGAATGGCGGCGTCCTCGAGGGACAATGGAGTGTCGATACCCGGAGCCTAGCAGTGGCTTTAGGACGCTCTCTAGTGGCTTGTGGATGTGGCAGCAATGGGAGTCTCTACATATCTAAGCTCTCTGGATTCTTTGCAAAGATTAATTTAATACTCATTATTATTCTTTCGGCGTGGGCTCAAAATAATCGTGGTAGTGTTAGAAATATATATAAGCAACCATTTCTTTTAAATAGTATGCATATTTAATCTCGCAAATATAGTAAAATGAGAGGTCCCACGTTTTTCCACAGTCGCGGCAATCTCGTTGGGCATCGACATTACGTTCGCGCGCCGCGAGGTCTTGACGGCGGAGTCTCAATTGGCTTCGTTCTCACGAGCATGCACCTCGCAGTTCACCTTGCGACGAACGGCGAGACGCGTCGGCGTTGCTACCAGTATGTCTCGTTGTCTTGCAACGAGTGCGACGCTATTACGCGACTACACCAGGACACCCGCGTCTGCCACTTTGCACCGCAATCGTCAAGTCTCGGCACATTTGCCGCTTGGGCCAGTTCGGGGATCTACCAACGATGACGTAACGTGCGGGCCTGTCTTCTATGTGCTATTGGATGGATGGATACAACTTAACCCTTTTAATTGGGCGGCGGCTTGCGCCACCTAGATAAAGCTATTGATTTTACCGACTACAGTCAAACTCACTTATAATGATCCCACATATAACGAACGACCTATCGGTTATAACGACCAGCTTTCAGAAAATATATGAATTCAAGGCCCTACCCATTAAAATTGGTTGAGATAAAACGACCATTTTTCAAAGCATCAGACTGTTACAACAAACACTGAAACTCCGCTTTCGGCAAAAAAAAAAACTCTCGCTCACAAAAAGAAAAAAAAAAAAAAAGCGGAAGACACTTGAGCACTTTTTATGAGTTGTGAATGCGAAAGCATGAATGTCCAACAATGTGGATGCTGGAGGCAGCGCCATGTTCGTCGGCGGCGAGACGAGCGGAAGCCTCCAAGTGCGCGCCAACGTGTCATGGGGTTGCAGTGGCTAGTTTTATCGGCGCACTGGGGGCACAGAACACACAGTGCCATCTGGCGGCGGTCGTTGAAACTGACGCGCGCAGCGGCCAATAGAAGTTTCGTCGCCGCGCGCCAGCCAATGGGACCTTTGGGATCAGGGAAACTAAGTGCCATTTTCGCGCTTCAAACTGATGACGTAGGCTTGCTCCATAAGACAGTTAATGCTTTCGCATTAAAAAAAAAAATCAAAAAAGCTACTTTTTGGGTGCGACGCTCCGGGAGACGCGTGGCTATGCTTGGCATACTTCCCCGGGGAGGAAACAGAACTACAAAAGCAAAGGCGCCCTCCTGGGTAGCGTAGTCCGCCGATCGTGCGTGTGCAGAAAGGAGAACAGGAGGAGAAAGAGGAAGTCAACTCTCACGCAGTGCTGCGTTCGTTCGTTCTGTGTTTGCAAACTCTGTATTCAACTTCAGAAAAACTCATTGCTCGGTATAAGGTGGCTTGCCTCATCGTCATCGTGACCGTTTATTGACGTTCGCCTTTTTTTATGAATACCACGCACACTCTCTCGCACCTACGGACTCGTGCCCGTTGCTTTAAAATGGGGATGGGGAGCAGCACTGCTTGGCCTCGCAATCCCGGCCACCCGACGAGCTTGCAAAGTGTTGTATGCAAGACAACCGTCCCAGAGGCGATGGCCGCGCACTCGTACATGCGCAGGCAGCGCATGTACTTGAGACCAAAACGAGTATTAATTACCTCTGGACAGCGAACAACCATCGTCGGACTAGTGCACGGAATTTATTTTGCGTTGGCGTGCGCTTCATAAAATCCGTTCTATGAGGTATGTGGTCAATCTTCATTATTTTACCTGCTTACCTGCACGGTAGAATGGGCAGCAATTTACTTTTTGATTATCTGAAGGCTAAATCTGCCTGCGTGTTAGAATCGTGCAAACAGTTTCTTTAAGTAAAGAGCTGGCAGAGTGAAACTACCAATACCAGCTTCATTATCTTTATTTATAATGTGTTTTAAAGGTTTGTCCAGATATAACAAACTACTGAGAAAACGACCACTTTTCGTGGGACTATCGTGTTCGTTATAAGTGGGTTTGACTAACTTCGGTTAAATTTAAAAATAACTAGGAAGGACGACGAATTTTTAATTGTGACGTCGCAGCAACTGCGGTAGCCAAGTGGGCACCACGCGAGACTCGCACGTTCGTCTATGCTCCTCAAATACCATATATGAAATGGATTGTCAAAGCTGCGGCGTAGCTCCGTGGCAACGTCCCCGCTTCACGCGCAGCAGACCTAGGATCGAATCCCAAGGGCAGCGGGTTTATTTTTTTCTAAGCATCGGGCGATGTCGACGCCAGCGGCAATCACTCTAAAAGCCTCAAACTACAGTAAAACCTCGTTATAACAAAGTTGAAGGAGCGGTCGTAATTATTTCGTTATAACCATTAGTTTGTTATAGCCAATGTCCATTTCTTCCCACTATTAGTAAGCAAGGGGAATTATGATTGCTTTGTTATATCCATTAGTTTGTTATATCCCATTTTGTTATAACGAGGTTTTACTGTAGTTATATGCAGATTGCAATACAGTGGATGACACTCAAATGCAAACCTGCGAACCGGCCTTTGTCGTCGCTTTCCCCCGCATGTCGCCGTTTTGATGGCGAGAAAGGACGGCCAGTTTTGACCGAGCGTCGGAGAAAATTGTGGTGCACGTTTTGTTGCAGGCCAGTGAGCTGGAAATTCTGGTGGCAGTGCTCAAGTGGGGGGAGCACCAGCTGCTTAAGAGAGTGGAGGAGAGAGGTAGGTCAACTGATTGATTGATTGATTGATTGCTTGGCTGGCTGTGCAGGCCCGTTTGCTGCTGCCTTACTGTGTGCCAACGGCCAATGTGCGGGATAAATTCTTTCATTGAGCAAATTTTGTTCTGTGTAGATAGGTGAGCTGGCATGCTAAGGCTTCGAGCATAATTGGAAAGCTTTACACGAATATTCACAATATCAGCAGTGGGGTAGCGACGGGATTGCGTGTGTTTTAAGTCTCTTTTTGGTGAAATCTTTGGACTTCTCTGGCGTCTGCTGTACATTTTCGAAACTCCTCAAGAACTCTATTTGACAGAAATAAAACGAACAAAACTTGAAAAAAAGAAAGTCTCAATAGCGTCCTTGTTGTGGCCTTTGCTGCTGAGGAACGTACCTTCCGCAGCGTAGTACTTGCACCACAGAATTTGGTTTCCAGAGTGCGATGACCTCACATGCTAGCCATGTACAGTGTGGATCGTGCCACGCAGAGTAGGAAAGTTTCGCGAAATGCTAAGAAGGTTTTGGCCTTTGTCGATGCTTGTTGAGGAATTTTCTCTGACTCTTTCGATTTCGTTTTGTGGCAGCTCTGTGCAGACGCCGCGTGGCGGTGCGCCGGCGAGTGCTTCAAGACCGCCACGCTCACCGCACGGTGGTGGGACTGTCGTACCACACTTTCTTCCAAATGGCCGTGAATCTGCGAAATCTCATTGTACAAATTCTAGGCCCCCAAAACGGTAACAACCTGAGCGTGCTCCAAAACTGCTTTACTGTCCCTTAGGAGGTGCATTAAATGGTTTCCTGACTTTTAATGGCTCTACTCTAACACAATGTGTCCTAAACAGTGGAGATCGGAAGCCCTTTACTGTACCTCGTAAATTGGTCTCGGTGCTTTCTCTGGGCAGGCACACAACCAGATAGGGCTATGAAATTTGTAGTTATAAACATTTTTAAAGAAAAATTTTCTCTTTTTCCAATTTTCCATGACCAGCCACTTGCTGTATCAGAATGCTGGATTTTATCTCTTATCATTTGATGACAATTACACACAACTGCTAGATGATCAAAATGTGCATGTTTCTCAAAAGATATGTTAGATGCAAGTGTAAACACAGAGGAGCCACTAATGGTATTTGTCAAGTCAAAAATTTCTTATTTGCCTTGCAAGAATTCAAAATGTTGACAATTATGAATGTTACATATAAATCCAGTGCATACAGATATTTCTTGACAAGTGTGTTTTGAATCCTTTCAGAATATTTAGTCAGTTCAAATGGTGCATCGGTGATTTGAGCCATCCAAGCCGGTGGCAGCATAAAACTCTGCTGTGTATGTCTGTGTTTTATGCTGCACAGCCCGTACATTATTTTGGCATAACTGCAAACCTTGAAGGCTACAGGGTCCTCATCACCACCGAGGCATCAAAAACCAGTCGTCATGCTTGTTTGCTTTAAAAAGAAATAGGGCATGCCTTCTCCTTACTTAGAACTAGATCTAACCTTTTTCTTCAAATAACCATGTTCCATCCACATTTGTTTCCCTGGCTGTCCAGTAACCTGTAGAGGCTGCAAGATTACATTTGCGTCTTTGTTCGTGATTGGTGTCTTACCCATGTATCGTGAACTCTACCTAATTTCAGCTCCAAACACACTTGCCAAAGGACAAAGACATGTTGTTTTTGGTTTTCTTAGCCATGTTTCAGTCCTGATCTGCTCTTTGGGAGAGGAATCGAGTTTGAGTAAGCGAAGTACCCAATTTAAAACCCACGGTTAGGATTAATCTCTCGGCTGCATTAGTTCCAAATGCAGATTTGCTTGTCAATCAATTGTATTGCAGGCATATGAACTCTTTACGTCACTACACAAACAGACTGTACTTAAAAGGCGACTTAAACTGGCGATTGAGCATTTGGGTGGCTCGTACCGGCCACTGGGCGTGTGCTGCGCCAGATATTTCTGCAGTCGTTTCTAAAAAAAAATTTTAAACCGGTTGTCGACGAGAAATTTTCATTGGTTCAGTTTAGGCTCGCAGCGTTTGGTCCAGTTTCATCTCACCTTCGAGGCAAAACAATGATGTTTTCAGCCGCTAGCTCTCAAACCTATTTTCCACATTCTTTTTCGGGGCAGTCTAGCACCCTGTGCTAGTTCTACACTTTTTGCACCAGTGCCCCGAATCATTCGTTTGACTCACCCAATCGCACTTAATCATGCAATGAACCTGCAGAGTTGTGCGATTGGCCTACCCAATCGTGCAGAGGCCGTGCCATTGACCCGCCCAATCACGCGGTTGTCACGCCCAATCATTGAAGATTCGTTGGATCATCCACATGATTGGATGCGATTGATTAGCCCACTCACCTGCAATTAATCGTGTGACTGTCGCACTAGGGTGACCAGGTGTTCCCTTTTAGAGGTTAGCTTCTGCTGTCCTGTTTTTTTGGTCTTGTTTTCGTGGGAAGATGCATCGTTGCGAAATCAGTACAAAGCGAATGGAAGAAAACTGAAAGAATGTTTACTTCTTATAGACGTAGTGTCATAAAAATAAACCTACTATGAAACATACTGTGGCTACATGTGATAATACATTTTGTTCACATCAGCGTGCGTGCGGGAGACTCTTCTATATTACTGAATTTGGTGCGCTTCGGTTGGCAGCATTTTTTTCTCATTGTTAAAAGATGGAGAAAAGCACTTCTGTCATCAAGAAGGAGCTTTGGAAAAATGTGCTTGCTTACGTTTATGTGAAGCGGATCTTTTTTTTCTGCCTCACCCCCGCCCCCTTTCTGTGTCTGTTTTTTTACTCCAAGGGTTACGGTCACCCTATGTCGCACCCAAGTTGCGATCATTGGGCGGGTCAGTCGCACGCGAGTAAACGAATGCCCCCAATTGTGCGAGATCAAAGCGTTGGGTGCTGAGGGGCGCCACGCTTGGTCTGCAGAGCCCAACGTGGTAAGCCAGACGGCGCACAGCGTGGCGCGGCGGGGCGCCCGTGGCCGCCGGGAACTCCTGAGCGACGGAGAGCTGCGGGAGCTGCTCTCGGAGCTGCTGTGCCAGGTGCGGACGGCGCACGTGCTGCCCCTGTCGGCGGAGGCCCTGCTGAGCGCCCAGCGCAGGGGCCTGCTGCCCCGTCCGCCGCCCTGCATGCTGGGAGGGGAGGAGCCTCCCCCCAGGGGCGGGGCCTCGGCCGGCTGGCTGGGCACGGGAAGGGGCCCCCACGCCAGGCCCCGCCTCTTCGCCCCTTACGTCGAGGAGGCCAAGGTGGGTGCCTCCCTCGGGGAAACGGCGGTCCCCCAAACTGCTTGCGACTTTTGGAGGGGCGTTTACCTTTTCCTCAAAAGTGGTCTCTCGGTTTCCGCCCGTCGTAGAAGCGTAACACTTTTGCCTGCGGTGGTGTGTCTCTTTTTATTTTTGCCACTGCACATGACTGCTTTTTCGGAGGATTGCCCCTTCGCCCCCCCCCCCCCCCGCCTGTTGACATCATGCGCATCACGCGACTGTGGCGTGTAGCACAAGTGGCCAGTGAGTCCATAAAGAGCAACGGGTGTAAATGATAGAAAAGCAACCCCACCCCCTCCAGTTCGGCTATCCGTTCTATTCTTAGGGAAAAAGATGCCCTGCCCAAAACATGCAGGAAACTTTGCTTTCGTAAGGATAGAAATCTGCATTAAAAATGTCAGAAAATAAAGCCAAGTCCAAAACTCTCGAGCTCAAATTCGTCACCAGGGATGTTGCGAACCTGCCAAAGTATAAATTCGAGCATTTTTTTGTTAGGGGTGAAGCTCTTTAGGGTCTAGCCTTGTCCGTCCAGCGTCCGTGCTCACATCGATTGCCATCCCATCTGTCTTCTTAAAAAAAGAAAAAAAAATGTTTACGCAGTCTACAGGACTCAAACCTGTGTGGGGAGACCCCAATGGATTTTAGTCCATCGCCTTAAGGGGGGATACTACCCAATATGGTTAACTTCTTAACCTATGGCTTAATATGAATGAAATTTAGAGTATATACTGGAAGTTGCAAGGCAGAATGCAGTGCAAAGTTTTATCAGTGTACATGAGTTGTAAAATAACTTGTAGTCATTTTTATCAGGAACACACCGACTTTGTTCAGGAAAACTATCGTTAGGAAACTAATGTAATACCGAACATTTTTCTACTCTAGATCTGCAGCAGAATGCCTGGAGAGTGCAGCTGTGAAAAGAAAATTTCCAAAAAGTAATTTACTTTATGCTAGCATCGCAGTGAAAAATCGAATAAATTTTTTTGCCTTTAATGTCAAGCACAGAATCTCAGCATATTTTATAAAAGACATCATAAAGTCAAAAACAATTCCATAGTTGCACTGCCAATAAAATTCCACTTAGAAAAAACAATAAGCGAGTCTTTCCTCTTGTCCCATTAACAAGCGATAGTTTTCCTAAAATGAAATTGATGCCAAAATGTGGAACGGAGAAAAATGTGTTCAAAGTGTTCCAACCCCTACCTTTTCTTTAGCTTTAATGGACCGAAAATAATTTATAAAAAATTAACTATGCGGTGTAAACTAATGATTCAAAGCTTTCTGGAAATACTCTCCAGGTGCTGGTGGATGTAAATATCACATTTTTCAAAATCAACATTTTTTGCAGAAATTTATTTTTTCTGGGTAGTGTCCCCCCTTAACCACTGGCCCACGACTGCGGGTCGAGTAGGGGGCTCTGAGATGTGGTAGTAACTCAAGAGCTGGGCATGTCGTGGATGAAACGTTGCATGTAGCCGCTCAACGTCTATACAGGAGAGGGCGCTGCGGTCAAATGCGTATATAATCACGTTAAACTGTGCATGCATTGGCTCAACGTTTATAGACGAGAGGACGCTGCGGTCAAATGCTCAAATGCATATATAACCATGTTCCATACCACACATTCTCTTTCTGACATGGATGAAAGTGAACGAAAAGCTCGGCATGCTGCGGCTCAGCGTATCAGCACCACCAGAGCTTCGCCCCAATCATCATCGTTCACCACGTGGAGATGCGGTCATTTTTTTGTTCTTCTCTTCCTACTTTTAACGCACTAAAGTTTAACGATCAAGCGCAAGCGCTAAAATTTGCCGACGTCACCTGGCAGAAGGGGAGTGCATTATTCATCTCGGTTTGGTGTTTCACGTTAATAAGCTAACAATTTTTTAGCTATTTATTTAACAGACCTTCGTTGAACCTCTCGCAACAAGACATACTAGATGTCATTTTCAACATCTAAACCATGCTTCGCTCGTACTAACCTGTTGAAATTTTGCTTCTTTTCTCATACAATAAACAAATGAAATTATATTCCCCACGATATTATATCATTAAGTAATTTTGCATCATCATTCAATAATGTAATCTAGAAGTGTTCTTTTTTGTGCATGATTTAGCCTTGTACTAATCTGTTTAGGATCATAGTAATGTTGCGTCTGTACTTTGATTTCTTAAAAATTTTGTTCACTTTGCTTTTTTTGTATATTGTTGATTGCCGATTTGTTTGTGATGCCTATTGCTGTTTTTTCTTCCTTTTTTAAAATATTTATTGTCCTTCCTGCTTGGACCGCATCCCCAGTATGTAATAAATAAATGAATAGATCCATAAAAATTCTTTGCTTTTGTAATGCGCTAATATTGGTAATTATTCTCTAAGATCTATCTCAAGCAAACTACCGCGCAAATTACTTTTTTTCCACACTGGAAGATATTGCATGGAAGTTACACCGCTTACATTGGAGCGCGTCAAAACACCTCGTGATCTCTAACAAGCAGGGTACATGCCGGCGCCATCTATGGGGTAGCCTTGGAACACTGGACATCCATATGTTTTCTATTTTTTCGCGCATCATTCTTTCTTTATTTGCTCGCAAAAACTTTCGTCAATCTTACAAACGACCATTTCTCGTAGATGGTACGTACGTGAGATCACGTGAATACCGCAAAGCGACGACGCCCGTGTGCTCTGTGGTGTGTCTGGATTTGAGAGTGTCTCCCATCGGGGTCACGTGGTGTCTGGGCTCAGTTTGCAACCTCCGCGGTTTGAATTCCTCCCTCTCTTGGATCTAGGCTCTCTAGTGGGGGGGTTCCCAACCACCGATGTTTCAGGGACCCCTTCTGGATCGGCAGAAGCGACGGTGGACCCATCCGCCGGGGGAGGGGTGTATTGGACGTTCACCTTGACAAAAGGGTAAACGAAGAAAACTAAAGGCGTGCAAGCAAACTTTGAAGCGGACAGTAACCAGCCCTACTCGTTCGGTGCACACGGTTCGGTTCATCTAGCTTCGTAAAAAGGAAGTTTTAAAGAAATAGAGGAAATTTTATCGCTTGGCTCGACCGAGGGCTTCAAGGACCCCTAGAAGGCCTTAGAGGAGGGCCGCAAGCCCTCGTTTGAGAACCACCGCACTAGCGTTTTCTCGTCGTGAGCGGCCGCGAGTCGTCGTAACGCGGTCGATCACTCTTGGACGTGTAAATTGGCCTTCGGGAAGTCGAACTTTGTCGACGTTTGCCGAGAGGTTAAGGGTTGCGGACCTCGTCTCTCCCGCCGCAGGCATGGCTGGAGGAGCAGCTGTCGCAGGAATGCGGCGGCCAGGGGGCGCCGCACTCGCAGGGCGGCGGCGCGTCCGCTGTATACAGCCCCTGGCAGCACCTGTCCAACATCCCGGACACCCTGTACATGGTGGACAAGGCGCCGGGGTTCCGGGAGAGCTGCCCCTCCCTGCCCTCCCTCACCGCTTCGGGGACGCACAGGGGCCCGGACCCCACACTGCCCGGTGGGTTGCCCCGCATTCGTCCGCCCTCTCGTGCGGTCGTCGCGACGCCTCAAACGCGTCTTTGATCGGTGCATTTACCGCCTCCTCGAAAGAGCTTTCCTGAAAACGAAAAGTAAAACGGTGCCAAAAAAAATGGAAGGTAGGAAGACTAGTGTACAAACAGAGCATTGTACACTTTGTCCTCTTGTCCTCCTTTTTTTTTGGGTGCTGTTTTACTTTTCGTTAATCGTGTACCACCAACTCGGCCAACTTTCCACCATATTACAGTTCCTTTCCTGAAAAACCCGCGAGGCCTTCCGTCAATCCCGCATTGCACCACGCGGCACAGGGACCTTTTGCCAAATTACCCGAGCATCAAGGAGCATGCTGCGAATGTAGTTACGCGCTTTGGACAAGCTAGCGTCTGCATCGGTATGTGTTCTAAAGCGAAATCCTAAAACAAATGCCAAACGCGCATTCGTCGACGTTTTATTTTGGTTGTTTGCTTTGAATCTTTTATGCGGAGAAGGCAAGCGTGGACAGCGCAGAGACCTACCTTCCCACCATTCTCCTTGATGCTTAAGTAGTTTGGCAATAAGTCTATTGGGGGGCTGTTCCGACAAAAACGTGCACTTGCAACTAGGGAGAGCGCTCTGCATCGTGAGAATTCGCTCGTGGCCACCAAGACCTTCGGTTCGACGATTTCGAGCCTTTTTGGTGCCTTGCTGGTCCTCGGCGGAGCGATCGCCTGATTTCTCCGGACGGCCACCAGTCTTGCCGCAGACAAATCGGTAAGAACCGCCGATTGTGGGATTTGTTGCACTCGACAGGCTCATGCTGCCCTCGACGAGCTCATGCTGCCAACCCCCCCAAAAGTTGGAAGAGGGAACTGCAATCTGTGAAGGCATCAGAAATTGGAAATGTGTTGAGTGGTAAGAACAGGAGGCCCAGAATAAACCGGGGGGAAAATATGTGTGCATTGAAAAGGGCTGCAGCTTTCTTCGAAGTGTGACATGCACTCCACTTGAGCGTGACTAGTGTACAGCGCTCAACGAAACAAAATGAGTTGGCAGAGCACGTGTAATGTTAGGTGGACAACTTGTTGTGCACGTCTCTAAGTGAACACTGTTTTACATACAGCATTGCATTCCACGCTCCCGGAGCCTTCGTTCCCACTTCTTTTTCGTAGTCTCTAGCCACTGAACTTTGTTCTCTTCTTCAACACTTGGAAGTAAATTTCAACAAGTTCTCTGTGTGAAAATGAACCAAGATCGTTTTGAACTCATCATAGCTCGCTGTGTCCTTTTCAGTTGGAAACTTTCTAAGGTTTTCTCAAAGCTGTGAATCTGGTGTCACATCTTCCCACCACTGAAAATGACGTCTGTTGCGGTTGTAATTGTCAAAGTCGTAGTTGGGCGTAGGCCTATGGGTGTTCGTTGTCAATGTTGCCAAATTCTTAAGAAAGATTGCCCGCCTCCCACGTGTTTCAGTCCTGGGACCGCTGCATTGAAGCAGGTGCATTACCACTACGTGAAGTTCATTGCTTGCACACGCGCGATGAACACCACCAATTGGCGTACCGCGAGAATGCTTGTTCCATTAAGGAACGTTTGATTCCAAAACCGTGATGTTCCCTCGCTGATCTGTAAATTAAAAAAATAAATGAAGTAAAAGAAAGAAGCAACCAATAATTAGAAAAACCAACCATGCGGCAACGAGCGAAAGGGCGAAGCGACGAAGAGCGATGCTGGGGAAGCCGGCGATTACGTTGGCAAATAGTTTGGTGTCGGGCCAAGTCGGGCACCTTGTCAATCACAAGGGGCAGACTCCTGTGCCCTGTGCAACTTTCCTGTTTGGTGCATGGGTGCGTGCATAATCCGGAGGCTTCTAAAAAGAAAGGTCTGCCCGGGTGCTATTTCTTGGAAGGGGGGCGATATATCAGGATTTTCTTTGTCATAGATAGTTTGACATAAAATGGGGGCTGGGCCAAAGCTTGAGGGTGAGCATACATTCAGGATGTTACGGTAGCTATAAAAAATAAATGTGATTAATTTTTTTTTTAAATTATGATATTTTTCCCCCTGTTTGTCAGTCATAATGTTGTTGTGTGACGCAACACCTTGACCTGCATGTCGGTCGAACGTAATATGTTTCTTTTCTCATGAAACCCATTCCTATACGTTCATGCGTCATAAGTATGGACACCTGTGATATCCCCAAAAATTGTCCATAATGTGAGTTGTCCAAAGAACGAGACAAAAATGTGCATATTTATCCACTTTGTCCCCGAAAATGTTTTCTATATAGAGGTGTCTATATCATATAGATATGGCTGTAATACACTCTGCATTAATAAAAAAAATGGGAGTGACCTTTATGTTTAAAGTCCTTCAATGCATGAAATGCAGTACACTTGAACCTCGATTTAAAGAAGTCACTGGGACCCGTTAATCATTTTGTTAAATCGGGAACTTCGTAAAATCGAGGAAGGGAGACCTCACGCATAGGCTGCGCGGGGAATCCAAACTTGTTTGTTAAATCGGGAAATTCGTAAAATCAAGGTTCAACTGTATTTAAGGAGCGATTGCCTATAAACCCTTAAAGGGGTAGGGAAACGAAATTTCAGCGCTCATTTTCTGGCTTTAATGTGTTGCATGTTGCGCCCTAACCTCAAGAACACCAGTCTTCCGTTGAAAGGCACAAGAAAACTAATTTTAAACCTAAATAAACAATCTTTCAATGTGCACCTGGTGGATGCATGCGGAGCCTATTTGGGAGGTAGTCTAGCAACGTTGTGGAATCTGCTACGTAGTCGTGACGTAGCAGATTCCTTCGGAGCAGCGCTGCTCTTTGGCATTTCAATATTTGCCTTCTTAGCTTTCCTCCTCAACTCACAAGTCGCGCATTGTACCAAACGGTTCAAGAAGACGGAAAGGAAGGACTCCCCTCTTTCTCGGACCCTCGTTCGTGCAACCGGACATAGCCATTCTCCCCCTAGAAGATTAGCACGTCACTCAAAACTCGAACAAAAGTTGCTTTCCCCACCTCGTTCAGCCCTAAGCTGACAGTGTTGTGGAAGCTATGTGCTCCTTGGGCCAGCCACACGCTCGTCACCCCACGGGCACTTCGAGCGGCTCGGTTGTAACGCGCCGACGCTATTGACACCATCACAACGCTGACAACGCCACCAAGGGCAAAGCTCATAACCACGCCTGCCTTGCTACTCCACGAACGCGGGAATCAAATCTTTTCTTTCTGTTTTTGTTTGCGCCGGATATCCCATGACGCATCACGCTCTCCGTTCGCTTCTCTTCGAGCGCTTGCTCGAGTGCACCGTTTGGAACGAAAAATATGGCCTATCGTTCAAAATACAAACGTGCGATTATCATTTACGGTTATTATCCGTCATGCTTGACTCATTTCCGAACGAAATCTGAATATTTCAATTTTTGTTTCCAGACCCCTTTAAAAGAGAGTCATTTTGTGGAGTGAAGAAGAGCCTAAACTTCTATAAATTTTAGTTTAGTGGGGAAACTAGGTAGGCGTATAGGTCACAGGATGTCGTCGCATCTCATCCTTTTACCCGCGAAATATGTAGGGACATGCACGGATGAGTGGAAGGACAGACCAAATTTGGGGATTGTGGGTTTTGTGAAAAAGGCGTTTGATGCTTTAATAAAGGCCGTCTCTCCAGTGCTGGGGGAGGAGGTGCTGCGGCAGATGCGTCAGCGGGAGCAGGAGCTGCGCCAGGGGGCCGGGCGGGCCCTGTCGCTGGTGTCCGGCCGGGGGGAGGTGGGGCGCCAGCTGCAGCTGCGGGTGGTGCGGGAGATGGGGCTGCCGGACCAGGCGGCCGCCCTGCTGGCCTGCGCCCCCGAGGAGCGGCCCCCCTCCAGGGAGAGCGCCCCCCAGGAGGCCAGGGCCCCCGCAGCCAGGGGCCGCGCCCTGCAGCCGCGGGGTCTCCTCTGCCCGCCCTCAGTGTCCTCGCGCCGCTTCCTGGACCGGCTGCAGCAGCCCCACCTGGGCAGGAGGGCCCTCCGGCTGGCCGAGGTGGGTTGCAGTCCCCGAGCCAAACTGGCGGGGGTGGGTTTCACGTGCCTAACCAACAAAAGGTGTCTGGCACGCCCCGGCACAGGGCCGAGGATTGGTTTCCACCGCCTGGAGACCTTCTGATGTGCAACCACAATCTCGGCTATGCGGCACCTTCTTCGTAATGAGAAGGTGCCGCGTAGGTCGGACTGTGGGCACCTCGGTCGGGATTCGAACCCGCCACCCCGAGATCCGTAGGTCCCAAGACGGCCAAGCCCTCGCCCTCCCTCCTCGCAGTTGTCTGCTTAGTCATCTCAACAGGATGAAACTTCAGTGCTGAATTTTCCTGTGTCACTAAATCTCCGAGTGAATGTGAGTACCAGCCGACGCAGCGCTCGTGTACAATCTGTGCCTTCTTTACTGACGCAGGAAAATTCAGCACTGAGGCTTTCTTATCTTGTTTGTCTTTCACCACCAAAAGCTGATTATCATATTATCCAACCGTAGTGCATGAACTGTTCACGTTTAAAAGCCTAAAGTTCATGTGGTGCAGACTTTTCATGGATTTATTGTTTCGACATTGTTCGGTGTGATGAGAAGTGGGGTATTTTGTGAATGACAGATTATGTTAACAATGATTTCTTTACTATAGAACCCCCCCCCCCCCCCCCCCCCCGTGCTAATAGAGCAGGCAGTTTCAAGGTGTGCCGTCAAAACAATTGTTTTATGTACGGAATATGCACCAGGTGCTGACTCATGACTTGTGGAAACTGCCTAATGGGGAAGCTTTTGTTCTAGCCAGAATTTGTCCCTGGGATTATATGCCGGGTGTGTTTCATAGACCAAAAAGTAGGGTATCTATACTCCGCGACAACTTTTCTTGGCAATGCAGTGGAAGGTACAGGCCTGAATTCCCTCACCCATTTTGAGTGTGCGCAGGCTCTCCTCCTCTTCCCATTTCCGGGGAGAGGAGGAGAGCCTGCGCACACTCAAAATGGGTGAGGGAACGCAGGCCTGTACCTTCCACTGCATTGCCAAGAAAAGTTGTCGTGGAGTATAGTACAGTGGAATCTTGTTAATTCTAAGGTTGGTTCGAATAATCCGCAGTTCGAAATAAAATTACCCCCTCTTAATAACGCGCTGGAGCTCACGGTAACGACATCGGACACTTCATATTGCATTAGGCTTTGCCGCAAATCGTGACCACGCTTCTTTTAGAAAAATGGATATTGTATAAAAAAAGTGCACGTCTAATCACACATACCCAGGAAATGAAAAAATAAAACGGAAAATAGCATCACACTCCACAGTGAGACCGACCGCAGTGATCGCATCATTGCGATAGACACAGAAAGCAAACTAAGGCCATGACATACGTAGTGCATAGTAACACCAGTCTTGTTTAAATATATCTAGTAAAAAGGTATCCGACGTCAGCTTCGAAGGCAATGCCAATCGTCATATTGAAGACCTCCCGCGACTGCAGCAATCATTCGGGGAGACCTCAGCTTCCCGCAGACCCATTACCGGAATGCTATCATCAACACCTTTCTGGGAATAACATTTAAGAAACGCAGGGTGCTCATTCATTTTCTGAAAATGTTTTATTCGCAAGAGCGCAAAAATGTGACACTTTCAAATAGTTATTACGATTTAAACTAACCTCTAAGACACGTTTGCTTGTGTTTTGTTTTCTCCACCCCTCCGCTGGTGTTCATATTGTGAGACACATTTTCTTTGGTTGTTTTGTTGTCGTTTTGCAACTCTGTTTACAAGTACACTGGAAAGATGTTCCACTTTATCAAAAATATCTGTAACGTGCATTTGTTTACGCTTTCTCATCCGCGATTCTATAAGCAATGCTCGATTCTATAAGCAATACGGAGTACAAATTCTCTTTGGAAAAGTAGCGCGCAGCAGCTCTTAGCTCCTAAGCTGACACATTTGGCAAAGGAGTTTCTTCATCGCTCAAGTTTGGGTCAACCGGGTCTTTGTGGCTTGGCACCGAAGGTTCCTCGCGTGAAGTGTCCCTGCAGCACGCAGCATGCATAGCCTCGGCATCGGTCGCAGGTCTCTGCACCAGTGTCCACATCTACGAAGCTCTGGGAGGTGACACCTTCCACAAGACAAAGTGCAATCCTATTGGATAAGAGAGCTGTCATCCTCGGGTGAAATCGTCTCGAAGCTTCTTGGGTCTGAGTCTATGGGTTCGCCCACGCTTGCGGAAACACTGCGAAAGTTCCTGGCTTGACGCAGTTTCATGATGCTGCGAGCATAAGAATTCAAGTCCCTTCTCATCACAACGAGCCGGGCAGTTATCCGCAAAGAGAAGGACGTTTCTGTTTTGTGCAGCAAACCTCCTGTCGAGCTTGCGCACCCAAGCGAAAAATATCCATCGTCATCCGTGGATTCTTGTTGGCCGTGTAGTCGACAGGCAGGGTTTTGATTCCTTTAAAAGAGCGAGGTTCATTGCTTTGCCGATCACAACAAGCAACCAGCACCGTTCTGTGCCATTTGCGCAGACTATTACGGTAATATGATCCTTGCACCGCTTGCCCCCTGCACAAGGGTCGCCTCTGTGTAATCGTCTCGTCGGGAAGAAGCTTGAAGTAGAGGGCAGTTTCGTCAGTATTGAAAACATTGTTGAGGAAATACCGTATTTACACGATTGTAATTCGACTCGATTGCAAGTCGACCCTCCGCATTGCACATAAAAAAAAAAAAAATCTTTAGATGCCCGTTTTAGTGCAAACACGTGAAAATGGCAAAGTATCTGTTTCAAAAGCCAAGCCTCCAAAACGTGATTGATGCCTTCTGGCGTGCTTTGGCTGTGCTTGCAAGCGCGAGGTGCATGAGGTGCCCAGGCGTTATCGGAACTAGGAAGTTCACGCTGGAGGTGGGACAACTGAAGCTGCTCACTGTCGTTCTCACTCCGTCTGGGACTAGACTACGACTCGTCCGCACTGCTGATGTCAGTCCCGTCATAATCACTGCCACGTTCTCGAAGCACGTTGTCGGCGTGGTACAATGAAATCTCGCACTTCGCAAACGTCACGATCAACCGCATGTTCCGCGCTTGCTCGGCGATCGCGTTGGACGTCACGGGTAGGGATTGATTGCACACTTTTGCGGCGTACGTTGCAAGCCTGACCTCCAACTCCGGAAGGCACCCGCACCTATCCATACTTTGGCCTATGGAAGCCTCTTTGTTTTCCGTCACAGTCAACCCACGCCACTGCAGACTCCACTGGAGCATCACCCGCTCCGACTGGTCGAACTTGCATCCAACAGCGCAGTTGTTGGTTGCTTCTGAGTGAAGAATGGCCATAAATGAGCACCAAAAACCTAAACTGCCCGGATCATGTGTGTCAATACAAAAAAAAGACTTAGTTAGCGCTCCAGCATGATCTCGTCACTCGATCAAACAATGTGCGACCGTGAATCGTTTGAAAAACTGCAAAGAGAAGCTGCGTGGTGAGTGAGCCGTGAGGCTCTTCCAGCGGCCTCCGGAGTGGCTTTACAAGAAGTGCCGCTACCCCCCGGGAGTCGGGCGCGCCGTGCGCTGTTCACCGCCGTATATTCGGGTTAATTTGCGAATCGCTATCAATAATACTCGTTCGCGAAAATAAAAAGTTAATTAATTTGTAAAATGAGCGCACAAAATAGTGCCATGCTAGAGGTACAACCGGCTGAACTCGTAACAAGCCGAGGTGTTTATGATATCACGATTTTTTCATTTTTGCCGGCGGTGGAATGCTTTGCTTCGATTATAAGTCGACCCCCCTACTTCAGATTTTCAAAAATTGAAAAAAGGGTCGACCTACATTCGTGTAAATACGGTAAGAACCAAGGTGCTCCTTAAGCGGCCCAGAGATCCACTCGACATGCGTAGCCTCATCAATGTCAACTCCGTCTCCACAAACCCTCTTGGATGTGAGCCCGTGACATTTCTTGAAGCGGGAAAGCCACCTGTCGGGTGCACTGAAGTCTTCAATCTCTATTCCATTTGAAAAGTCCATCGCCTTTGCCGCATTATCGGCCCGCTCAACAGTAGATTGGTGGAGCAAGCCTGCTTTATCTATACGAGAGCATTTTCGAGTTCTGGATGAGTTGACTCTCATAGCCTTTTTCTCGGCGGAGCGACGCTTTGCTTTTAACAGAATCAAAGATGACGTCTTTGTTCTTGATGTAAGTAGATGACGTGCTTTTCTCGATATCATATTTCTTCTGAGAGCGAGCTGCACTCAACTTCCTAAGAATTTTCACCTTGGTGTGAAGATCCTTTACGTCATAGTACTACGGTTGACCCACCATCTCCACGACACGACGTTGACGTCCCAAGCAACGTCGGCGGGAGCGAATCCAGACCAAGATCGAGCACACTAACAAAAGCAAGCAGGTGCACGCACTGTGCCATCAACAAGGAGGCGATGGAAACACAGTAGACTCTCATTAATTCAAACTCCAGGAAGTCACAGATTTTAGTTTGAATTATCAGAAGTTTGAGTTATCAGAAATTCCTCTAAATATGATACTAGACAACATTATGATTTGTTACATGGATAGCTACACATACAAAGCAGATTTTTGCCAGTCTCCTCTACATAGGCCTAATTATAAGGAGGTACAGGCATAACACATTGGTGAAAGAAGTGTGACGTTAAGTTCATTCAGACAGCACGTGAAATTTCAAAACAAAATTTTCAATACCAGCCAGCTCTTTACGGGACTCTTCCTTTGCAAGCAGAAACTTCTGGAGCTCATTGATGTGCTCAAAGGCCTCTGCGGCTGTGACAGTTGGTAGTGGGTCATCCCTTCCTTCATCGTCATCTTCACTCTCACTGCTGCACTGTGCTGGCATTACTTCCTGTACTATGTCCTCTAATCAGTCATCACGACAAACACACATTGTCGTCAAGACTAGGATATTCCGCCAGCTCGGCATTCACATTATGTGCTTTAAGGCCAGAAAGCATGATGCCAGTGAGCTGTTCCTCATCCTCAATGTCGTCTTGGTCATCATTGCTAGTCTTGAGCACATAATGTGAACGCCCTTTTTGCGCTAATGTGTGCCCGCTTGTGCCCCGTTGAGTGCGCTTCTTTCCGAGCACTGGTGCACTGCGGAAAAGCAACACTCGCGAAAGCGTGCTTTGCGGGTATTGCTTCTCGGCGAGAAGCATTACCCACAAAGCAATACCCGCAAGAAGAAAAAGTATAAATTAAGCGAAAATGCCGTTCGAATTAAGTGGCTTATAAATACATTAAAAAAATAGCGGGACAACCAAAATTTTCAAATCTGTTTGAATGAACCGGAAGTACGAAATATCCGAGTTTGAATTATCGCGAGCCTACTTAACGCGGCTTTGGTGGGCACGTACCACGTAGCAGGCTTTCAAGGAACAGAGAAAATGTGCTGTGGTTCCTTTTGTTTTAACTGTTTTGCATTTTCGTGCATTTAAATTACCGGGAGCTTTCACCCATTGAATTACACAGTACTTTGATGGGACCCGCGTGCGAGTTCGTACTAAGAGAGTTCGAATTATCGAGGTTTCACTGTAGCAACTTTTGTAAGGGCTCGTCGGTCGACTAGTTCGGCCATGCACGTGAGTTGACGGCCAACGCGTGGCTCCTTCAGCTGCAGGCCGAGAGCAGCCTGCTGAGCAAGCGCATCCCGGACATCGCCATGGCAACGGCCAACCTGGAACACCTGGACTTGGCTGAGTCGGACAAGGACGACTTCGGCTCGGACGACCTCTCGCCCGTCCACATGCTCGTATGACCGACCCCGGGGAGGGGTGGCCGGCGCTCCAGCGGGAAGACGCACCAGCGAGGCCGACCGTTTGCCGGCCGGGCTTGCCGCACGCGGCGTGAAAGAAGAATGCGTGCGGCATCTGCGACGTCACGGTTCTTGGAGTGCGTGCGCCTCTGGCCGGTGCGTCTACCGCGTACCAAAAAGCGGTTCCTCGCTTCCCGCCCGAAAACGTCTTTTAAATGCATTGCGTCGCCGCCAGTCAGGACCTCGACGGTGTCCCAGCAGCGTTCGTGGATCTGGCAGACGCCCGTTTCGCCGCGGGTTGCTTTCTAGCTTGACGCCCCACGGAAGCTTTCGGGAGTGGGAACGCCTTGACGACGACGCTCGCGTTCGCTCATATTTTTTGCCCGGACTTCTAGACCCAACTGACGGCGTGACACTCCGGCTTTTGCAATGTCGTTCGTTGCCACTTCGGGACCATTTTCCACGCACGGGCAGAACAGGACGCCAACGCACCGGTCGGAGACGCCTTCCGGGCAGTAAGCGAGACCGACCGTCTGCCGGCGGGGCTCGCCGCACATGCCGCAAGAGGAGGACGTGTGCGGGGCGGGGTCTGCGACACGGTCGAGCACGAGAGCTCCTCGACGAACGGCCGCGACGTGTTGTTGGCGATGTGAAGAACATGCGATTGCACGAGCGAGACTAGAGCTTCTCCAAAGTGAACGTCGTTCTTTCGCTCGAGTGGGTAGACGGTTCTACCGGAGCGCAGCGACGCTCTCTCAGCTTGTTTGCGCGAGACGGGCGACGACCAAACGCGCGGTTCTCGAGCCCGCTCAACAAGCTCACGACAGTGCTCGGCTTGCGTCTGCGACTGGTGCGTTTACTGCGACCTCGTTCGTGGCCCCTCAATTTTCATCCGACAACTTCGTAAAAGCCTTACGTCGTTGCCCTGGCAGTGGCGGATGCGATGGACACCCGTCCTGCCGTAAGTCGCCTCGCGGGTAGATGGTCGACGGAAGTTGCGGTGGAAACGAAGTTGGACGCCGCAAAGACGGCGACCCTTGCACTTTCTGGGATTGTGACATCCGCGACATACTTTGTTGCCTCTTAGAGACCTCTTTCAATACGTGGGTGGCACGAGGCTGTAAACAGAGACGCTTTCCAGGCGACATAGTTGTCGTGAATGTGCATGTCGCAGACGCGAGTATCGAGCTTCGGCGGCGGTTTTTCTGCTGTTACGATACTATACGAGTCCCACAACGACTGTCGTCCGTTTACGCATAAACAGAAAGGGGGGAACGTGGATGTGCTCCAGGTTTTACGTAGAGAGGAGAATCCAAAGGTGTTCTCAGTGCAAAGAAACTCGGCCGGCTATTTATTCGTCGCACGATTCCCGGCGGCAGAGGGGGAGGGGCTCTCAAGTACAAAATCCTTCCTCTGAACTCTTCGCCCGTCTTCGTCGAAAGGCGTAGACTTCGACGGCGGCAGACTTTGCGACGCAGGAGTTTGCGTCGTTTCCAAAGGACTCAATCTGACATGGACTCTTCTTCCAAGGTGGGAGGTGTTTGTGACGTGTACATATTGTGAACGAAGGTGTCAATTTGCACGAGGCCGCTCTCTGAAACGGTGATGCTCGCGCAGGCACCATTGTTCGTCGACAGCCGCGTCCTAGGCAGGACGAACGGGAACCTTGTAATATATTACGCATTTGTGATTACGAGCGATGGTGAGCAGTGTGAATAAAATGATATTTATACATTTTCGAAGGTGCAACGTCTCGTTTCGGTGCACATAAAATATATATGACAAAACTTCTAAGAGTTGAATGGACATGAGCTACAAGCTCTCGACGTCTACGGACTTGGACCAAAGTACAGTCAAACTCGACTACGTCAAATCCGTTTACATCACATTATCCCTTATATCGAACAATTTTTGTGCAGATTAATGTTAGTGATGATATATAGCAAAAACTATGGTTACATCGAACAAAAATAGCAGCCACTACCGATACATCGAACTGCCAAGAGTGCCACTTTGCTCTGCAAGCTGGCTTTCGCCCCAAAGCGAGTGGCCGCATTGGGGGAAAGCCAGCTTGCAGAGCACTTTGGCTTTTTCTTTTTCTGGGCAGCAGTGTCGACCGCCCAGAAGAAAAAAAAGCCAGCTTGCTCTGCTAGCTGGCATTCCCCCAACTCAGCCACCTGTCTTAGGGGAAAGCCAACTTGCAGAGCAAAACGGCGCTCTGGAGGAGAAAGTGCTTCTGCTCGGACGTGCTCTGTGCTCTCAGCATAGTTCGGCGCTAATGCGCAAATATAGAAGGCAGCAGCCTCAGCATTTTAGAGTCTGTCGATAGCATAGAAAAATATTGTTATTGAGGATGCAATGCAGAAAAAGCAGAAGATGCAAGGCTATTTCATTGTCTAATATGTCAGCAGAAAGTGAATTTTTGAGAGTCCCATTTATTAACTTTTATATCAATTATTCGCTATATCGAACTGGTAGTCGTTTTTTTGTGAGTTCGATATAAACGGGTTTAACTGCATTTGTTCGTTTTGGCATTGTTTTCACTTGCCGCGATGCTAGTTCATTATAACGAGGTTGGACTACATTGTTACCGAAAAGGGTAAAGGCCAGCGATTCCGAAAATATAGTAAGTTGGGGTAGTTAAAAGTCCCCAGAGTACCCCTATAAGGCACCTTCACAGAGTATCGCTTGCTTGTGTTGCAGGAGCAAGTGATATTGCAAAAACGTACGTGGACAGTCAATAAAAAATTTACGCTCGTTTTTATAGTGTAAGGTTGGTTTGCCCTCGAGGTGGCAACGCTGGTTTACGCTGTAGATAAAACTTAGCCGGTGCAGTACCACTTCTAGCCTGGGGTCTTTAACATGCGTAATGCAGTTGCAATGCACAACCACATGCCAGTAAGACGCTCATCCAGATCGAGACTGGCAGGGGTGGGGATTGACCCCAAGATCCCTGGGTTCTGCAGCGCAAGCTTTCTCTCCACGTTCTGCAAGCTGTGGTGCTGATCCCCCCTGTCAAGAGTCACCAAAACATCTATGCTTCGTGGGAAGCATAGCAACCAAATAAAAGGATGCTGAACTAAAATTGAGTCCGCAAAATAAGGCCGCAGATACGTTGAACGGGACGCTAAAAACCCCAAAACATCACTGATGCATCGATATCTCTAACGGATGGCCGTATTTTTGGAAAACAAGGGCACAATCATGCGAGAAATATCACGTCATGATTCTCTTGGAGCAGTTGAGAATGACAGGAAGCGGCCTTGTTTCTCTCCTCGCTTTGGTTCACCAGCTGGAGGAGACGAAGGGAAGTGGGGAGGGAATGAGAATTGTGACATGACATATCTCGTCGGCCTTGTTGGTTGTGTTCAATCGTGCGCTTCTTTTCCAAAATTATGGCGAACCGTTATAGTATAGATATTCCGGTACGAGTGATGTTTTGGCAATTTGCAGCTTCCCACCTATCGCTCCAGCCTTGTTTTCCGAGCTCCAAATTTCGGTTCAAGATTCCTTCAAAGTAGCTTGCGAGTGACACACAAAGCACAGATGTACCGATGACAGATAATGTAACGAAGAACATAAAAGGTAAGATAGCCATTGCCACGACTAGCAGACAATGCCAACGTTCGACGTTTGGACGAGGAGCAGACGGCACTCACTTTGTTTGGCGGGAGACTGCGTAGAGACAAAAGCAGGGAGCCTCTGCATCTACCCAATATCCTTCCAATAACGGCTCGGCTCTCCGACGTCGCACCAAGCTCTTATGTTCTCCTCTCCTTCAGTTTCTCCGTATGCAGAAAGCAAGTCGTCTGCGTCTTGCTCACGAGTAGCTGTGACATCAGAATGACGCCTAGCCCTTATTGGCCGATTGAAAAAAAATTGTGGGTAGACCTTAAGGCACCAAGCATTGAGGTCTACCCACTATTTTCTTTTTTTTCTTTCAGTCAGTCAATATGAGCTGGGCATTCTGATGTCACAGCCACCCCTGAGCAAGAAGGAGACTCTCTCCACATAGGATGCTAAAGACAGTTTCAGTCATTGTATCCAACGAGAAGTGAGGCGGGTTTCTCTGGGGGAGCACTTTATTGCACAAAGCGGCGGGGGCCTGGCCCCCAGTGGTCGTGGCAGCGGTGTGCCCGCAAGTCTGCCTCTGCCAGAATGTCCTTGCTCCTGGAGTAGTCCTTGGGAGTGCCCAAAGTGGCGTAACGTCGTTAAAGGTGCCACAACGGGGTGAAAAAGAGAGTGCTGCCATTCCTGGCTGCAGGTCCATCACTTGGGCTTGAGCTTCTTGCCAAGCTGCGACGGAGGACAAGCGATGGGTGACGCAAACCAGAGGTTGACACGACTTTATACAACTCTCCCGACATCCCAAAGTTTGTTTCACAAGACCCTGTTTAGAAGTTCCTCACAGCAGAGTAGACGTCGCAGGCCAGAGAAGGAAGAAAATATTTATGGCAACTTGTGTTGCATACATGAAACGTTCTAGCCTCACAAACATTCAGCAATAGTCTTGAGTTTTCAGACTCCTACGTTCACGGCTGTCTTCATGAGAATGTTTAACACAAACCATGTTTAAGCTCGATAGTTGTTCCTGGACTGAAGCAATACTATTACTAATCGTGCTGATAACCCTGGCGATCTTCTAGAGCCTTCCATACTCTCGAGCTGCTCTCCCTTAGTGCGCACAGGTGGTCGAGCTGCTCCTCACCTACCCCTTGGTCACAACTTCCTCGTTAACCAACCAGCATCGAGCACCTCACTCCTCCCACCTGTCAACCAATCGGTGTCAAGCCTCGCAGTCACAGTTTTATCCAAACTTCACGAAGGGCCAAATACCTAGCCAAAGAATGTTTCACAATATGATACCCTTTTTGTAAAAAAAAATTGAGCGACAAGCTAATCCCCGATGGACACAAAAGCGATGCTTGGCATACACAGCAGAGTCCAGGTAAGAAGGGGATTCCTCCTTCCCCTCCTTTGCAACTGCTTGTGTTATGCGCCTACCCCTGTACCCCCGATAGCAGCGCACACAACTAGAGAGATGCACTATAATAATGCAGCATTCCCTAGAGTACTTTAAATGGTGATTCACACATTCATCTCAGCACTGAGATATTAATGCAAAGTCGGGACTACATTGTGTGGGTAAGCGAGAAGAGGCAGAGTAGTGCATCGGAGCGCCGATACATCAGCGACATTGTGCAAAGTTTGCACTTTGTCTATAGACAAAGCACCAACTTCGCACAATTAGGTTAGGACTGTGGTGAGGCAGGCTTTCTTAATTTACCGAATTGTAGGAGGTTGGGAAAGTGAAGACATATCTGGAGAAGTAACCGTAGAACTAAGCTCTTAAGGCCCGTTCACACACTCGCGACTCCTTGGAACTGAGTGCCTTGAAACCTCTTAAAATTTCTTAGGACGAGAGAACACGCTGGCACCATCTATGTGGTGACCCTGGAACAGTAGTCTTGTGCGAATAGTGGATTTTGAGTTTGAAGTGAATAGTGGTTTAGGCCAAATATTTTCGATTCGAATATCGAATAGTTTTTCCACGCCTTTCACTACCATTGCATAATGCTTAGACGAAAACCCAGCTAAAATTGTGAAGGTTGTTCCACTTTTTCATTAAGCCAAGTTTAATCTATCTATATTTATGAACTGCGACCTCATAAGGTCTAATGCCTTGAAATGGCAAGTAAACGATGGGTTTGACATAAAATGAATCGTATAGAGATGGCCAACTATACCCAATGGAGTGAATTTACAAATCTTGCTATATAAAATATTCTTTCTTTAATCTCGAGTTTAAAAAGAATGAATCGTGCATGATAAACAAATTGTAAGGGCATCTCTGCCTAGCAAATATACTTTTGCATAGCAGTAATTTTGAAACTTTCACTAAGTTTTCATTTATTTTCGAATACAGTCGGCACAGGTGCACCATCCCGCTTTGAATGTATGCTTTACTTCCAAGCACGCAATTGCGATGTTCATACTTTTCCAAGTGTTTATTGCGGCAGGTTATCCCGTTGAGTGCGCTTCTTATCGAGCACCAATGTAATGCAGAGAAGCAACACCCGCGGAGCTGGCTTCCGCGGGTATTGCTTCTCTGCATTACATTGGTGCTCAATAAGAAGCGCACTCGACGGGATAACCTGCCGCGATCAACACTTCGAAAAACGCGAATAGTGCAGTTCTTCTCGAAGCGAATATCAAATGGTGTATTATTCGAAACTACTATTCGAAATTTCGAATATTCGCACGACCCTATGGAACAGCATTTCCCTAGATCGAGGTTTGGCGAGATTTCCAAGGTCAAATGTGCGTAATACCTACAAGAAATGGTCGTTTACAACGTTGACAAAAGTTTTTCGAGCCAAGAAAAAAAGGATGATGCGTGAGAGAAATAGAAAATATGTGGGCCCACCAAGTTTCCACTGCTACCCAATAGAAGGCACCAGTGTGTCCTCTCGTTGTAAGAGATTTTTAGAGGTTCCAAGTCACTCGGTCTTAAGAAGTCACAAGACTTCCAGTAGCAAGTGAAAGACAGCACACTGTTATAAAGCGGAGGATGCCGCCGCATGCTTGCTGCATCCATCGGGAGATTGCGGCACAAGTATGACTCGATCGTCTGCATCGGCATCAGCTTAAAGGAGAACACTTCACTGGAGGTATGAACCATCGAGGAAATTTGGGAGCTCGGAGAGCCTAGAGCCATTAAATAAGGTACGCTTCGGAGTGACAACACTTCAGCCATCTTGGCATTTCAAATCGCTGTTGCCAGTAATCCTTATCTGAAATTCAGTGTTGGGAAGTACTTTAATTTAAAGTACTACTTCAAGGAGGTTACTTGAAGTACATCTTTGGGTATGTACTTGTACTTATGGATTTTTTCTGCTACTTTCCGAGTACAACTTTCGACTTCAAAGTACATTCCTAAATATGGGTCTCGTTAAATTTGCACCACAAAATGATGCTTTGTCAACTCTGAAGAAATACTGAAAATCTCTCCCAGTACTTCACGGTTGACAAAGCATCATTTTGTAATGCAAATTTAACAAGACCAAATTTGGAGAATATACTTTGAAGTCGGGAGTTTTTCCTCAGAAAATCCTATACTCACCGAAACGTGAGCAGACGACGCATTGCCTCATTTGTACTGGGAGCAGCCTTCCCGCAGCATTTTTACTCTGGCCAAGTCAGCAGAAGCGAGAACAAAAATGTTCGAAGAACACACTCCTCCACAAGAGGATTGTTTGCGGAAGCTACGGGGCTGACGTTATGCTCTCTCCCAATACCGCTCGCACCTTAGGGGGGTCCAGAAGTCTAAGGAACTTCTGAATTTGGTGTCATTTCCAAAAATACCGTATTTACTCGCGTATAGGTCGACCTGTTTTTCAAAAATCGCCTCATCAAAACTGGGGGGTCGACCAATACGCGAATCCCGGTATTATATTTTTCAACTTTTTTTTTTTTTCGGGGGTCCCGAAGTTAGGGGGTCGACCTATACGACGTATCGACCAATATGCGAGTAAATACGGTAACTATACTCTTTGGCCGCTTGAATTTATTCAAAATTCGCCGCCATTTCCAGAAATAACTGGCACAATGAAAGATTGCGTTAAAACATACTTTTAAGTTACTTTAAAAGGAAATTGTATTTATTGTACTTCACTTCAAGTACATTGCACCCAGTGTACTTGCTACTTTACTTGAACTACATGATCTCTCATTTACTCGGTACTTTACTTTAAGTACATTTTAGATGCACTTTACCCAACATTGCTGAAATCACAGGAAATGGTTTTCATCCTCCAGAAATGTTAGAGGAGTCCACGACAAAGCAAGACGACATTGCCTGAGCTTCCCGACAGCATAATTTAAGCCGAGGCAGATGCATCTTGAAATCGTGACTATCGCCAGTTGCACCCGCTCTGTGGTAGGCACCAAAGTGGCGGCGCCCGTCAGATGCTTGGATTATGGAATGCCGGTACTTCCAGGCGTAAGTTACTTGGCGACTCTGGGGAACCCCCGGGCCCCTAGGAGCCCACTAACCTGCCTTGTAAAGAAGTGTGCAGAAGGCTGCAAGGGCCCTCTCCAGCGCTCCGATTGTGGTCAAGGTGACAGCGAGTGTTCTCGGCTGCTGATTGGACATGGTGCCACTACTTGGGTGTAATGATGAGTGATTCTGGGAGCTTATGGCACAAAAGCTACGAGGCCATCTGCACCAAACTAATTGAAAGAATCATTGTACTATGGGTGGTTTTCACGAAAATATCACCAGAAAGCTACAATTGGTGTAAAAGGTCAATACTACCAAGAGAGTCTATTGCTCGTTCAAAAGAGACTAGAGGATTCTCTCCCTCAAGGAGAGCAGGATGAAGTGGGGTATGGTGGTGGAAAAAATTCAGGAAAATGTATGCGGCGCATGGATTTTAAGGCCGGGACACAACCACAAGATATGCAAAGCAGCCTGTCACCACACTGATCACAGACCGGTCGATATTCCCCCCCAAACCAGATACCTATGCATTATAAAAGAGTGCCCAATTTTCATGACGGCACAGCAACGTTTCATGAAGTCGGCTCTTTCATGAAGAGCATTCCCAAACTCCCAAAGCAGGTTTGGTAACATGGAGCTTGTTTTCGCACTTTATGTTCTACTCCAACCGCCAACAATGACGAACCAAGGTCTTCAACGAAGGCTTTATATCTTGATAGGGTGAAGAGGAGAGTAATAGGGGAAGGTCACCTGCAGACCCCGCAAGCTCGTCGGCATCCTCGCTGCCTAATATGCCGACGTGACTGGGTACTCAACAGAATAATTATATTTTGACCATCATGCAAAGCAAAGTTGAGTTTATATTGAATTTGTTGCACAAGCATATTTTTAGAGTTTATATTCAATTTGTTGTACAAGCATATTTTTAGTATCTTTAAAAGAGGAAACTGCAAGAATCACACTTGGAGACTCAACGAGCAGAACCGCCCTCAATATTTTCCTATTACTAGTGTATTCAATCGCCATTGATACCGCATAGAGCTCCACAGTAAAAATGCTGGCGATAAAATCAAGTCGTTGAACCTTGCTTGCACATAATCAACCGAGACATTTTTGACCCATTCTTGAGTTCACAATCGGGCAAAAATCTGGTGAGAATACAAAGGTCTTGCGGACTCTGATGTGCTTGTCCTTAAAGGTACACTGACAGGGTATTTATGCTTGCCGAGGTTTTTATTTGAACATGACCTATAAAAGCCCCACTATTCGGAACGCAATTTGGGGCTAGAAATTCGTCTTCTTTCCGCCCGAAAATAGCCGGTCGAGAATTGGCCACTTTCAGTCAAGCTCACTCTCTTTTCTATGGTCACGTGGCGTTCAAACTATGTGTACCAAATATAATCAAAGTCGTGGGTCATCGAGGAACACATTCAATATTAAGAGAAAAGAATGTGAACCCTATTTTTGTGACCTCCAAAAAACTGCAAATATGTTTATAAAAAAAGAAATGCACAGATCACAGGAAGTGCATGTATGCATACATCATTCTCAATATGGCGACAAACCATAGGTTGAATGCGAATACGTTGTGAGGGACGTGGGGCTGCTACTTCGTGGTACCAGCCAATCGATCTCCAAGCGCATCGGGCGGAAAGGATTAAGTGCAAAACAATTGCACAACAGACGCAACTTCGTCGTCGTCTGCTTCACACACCGGAGAAGCAGCAAAGAAAAGAAGACTGTGTAGCTACGGACTTCTGGCCATGAGCTTCCGTGCTCGTGTTTCGGCATCGAGCAGTTAAGTTTTCTACGTGGACTGCAGCAAAATATTGTTTGAATAGTCTCCAGAATTCATATTAAATTGCCTGGCAAAAAATAAAAAATAAACTTTTAGGAGGTGTCAGTGTCTTTTTAATACTCCTTACATGCACCAGTCGATGTCACCTTGTGTAGGACAGCAGAACAACATGAGATTTGCAAATGAAGCGTGGGTTGTCAATGGCTTCTAGTATGAAATAGCGGACAATCACAATTTGGACCTGCATCCAATCTCACTTCGCTGCGGCACTCGGTTCGTAGGAGACTGTCAACTTTTTTTCTGTCTGTTAGCAGGGGACTAGCGGCATTTTCTTGTTTTAGATCTGTCTGCGAATAGAGCTTCGCAGGAGACAAACCACCTTCTTTGCTCACATTAGTAGACGAAGCGCCTATGAACACCATCTGCGCTCGCTCCACGATAGCGAGTTGGATCTCACAGTGACCAAAATTGGACCCCAGACATCAGGAAGGGGCTCTGACCTTGGAGTTGTGGCGGAGGGCGTCGATCTCGTCCTTCTGCTGCGTAAGTTTCTCGTTCATGCTGGCCAGGTGCTCGCTCATGGTGCTCAGCTGGTCCTCGTAGCTGCGTGACATAGAGCCCAGCTCCTCCTGAAACGGGCAGGCAGATAAAGTCTATGCACAAGGGCAGCCTCTTTGCCTATGGGGGAACTAGCTCCATCCAATACCTCCACATTCAGTCGTTTTATTGCTCATCTACTCCCTACCATGTCCCCCGGTACTCGGACCGTGAGAGGGTATGCAAGGGACACCTTGAACTACTTCTACATTTGAAATTTTGATCATGCTTTGCTTCGTATTTTTTCGTAGAATGTATTTGGGCCTGGGGTTTCACAGAGAAAAATGACCCTTAAAGAATGCAACACAAAAGTTAAGACATAAATTCCAAGCTAAATTCACCAGGGAAAAGGAATTGGAGCAAAAAGAGCCCTTCAGCAAATTTTGCACCATTTAGCAGTGGTGTTTTGAAACTATATGTAGGCGCTGAGGCTGGCCACTCTCGGCTGCCTCTAAAATGGCGAGTATTTCAAGCCCTCCCTGCCCTTGCTTTCCTGCTACGACGCTACTCGGAAGTTGCCTTTTCATTGCTTCATGTCACGCCACTCTGTGCGCAGACAGGAGTGAATGATAACAACAAAGACAAGGAAAGAAATAATGTTTCCCGAATCTATCTCAACGGCGCAATCCTACTGTTTTTGGGAGCAAGCAGATGCGCATGAGAAATGCACACATGCACAGGGAACCTAGAATGCACTACTATAGAGAAGCAAATGTTCATGGACATTTTCTTGTTGTGCGACTGCTAGAGTGCACTACACTGTGTACCTGGCCCACGAGTGCTGTCGTGAAAGAACTTTTAAAAGCTGCTCCCATGCAAGCAATGACGATGTTGCCATGAAGGCCCATGAATAATGTCATTAACACGGGAACACTTTAGCATGAGCTTGATTCTGGTAATAGCATGAGCTTGATTCTTTCAGTAGGTAACCTCATTTCCTTTCCGAGGGATCCGGTTGCATGCAAGAAACTGATGATCACTGTGAAATGCGACAACACCAAGCACTTTCACGAAAGGCAGGAAACTGCGGGTACACACAGGGCGTACCAACCGGGGGGGGGGCAAGGCCGCGGCCAGAGAAACCCTCGAGAAGGACAACAGCTTGGGCTCAAGGACCATGTTCAGTGTGGATGAGCTGTGCCGCCTTCTCGAGTTCCACCTCGGTAGCACATACTTCAGTGTCAAAGAAGTTTTTCAAGCAGGTCGGTGGGACACCAATTAGTGCTTCCATACCCGTCACGACGGCAAACTTAACAATGGGGACAATCGAACAGAGCGCGCTGTGGTCTTTCGCCGACAGCCCCAAAGTGTTTATGCGCTGCGTGGATGATTGTTTTTGCATCCTACAGAAATCTTATGTAAACAATTTCCTGCTACACCTCAACTCCATCGTGCCAGTCATTCAATTCACCGTGGAATGGAGAGTGATGGCACCTGACCTTTCCTCAATGTGCTGGTGAAAAAGCAAGGAAATGAACTCAAGTTCATTGTGTACAGAAAATCAACAGATGCCGGGCATTATCTACAGTTCGACTGGAACCACTCAGCAAGCCACAAGGCATCAGAGGTCTCAACACTCGTGTCCAGGGCAACAACCATCTGTTCATTGAAGACCCGACAGATGAAACAAATAAACAGACCATCGTCACTGACCTTGAGAAAATCGGATATTCAAGCAGCTTTACTGAACGCATTGCCCACCGCCAAGGTCAAGTCTGCCAAAATCAGGAGTCCCGCTCCATCGTGCGCATCGGCGTCCATTACGTAAAGGGTGCTAGCAAAGTGCTGGCACGTATGCTGAGAAAAGAAGGTATTCGAGTGGCTCACAAACCATTGTCCACACTGGGACAATTCATGACGCGACCAAAAGATTGTGTCCCAATAGAAAAAACGAGGGGCAATATCTACCAGACTTTGTGTGCAGCGTGTCCCACCACCCACATCGGTGAAACGAAGATCTTTTAATGTGAAAGCATTAACTGGTCCCATGGAGCGAGCTGACATCATCAGTTTGAAGAGCGAAAACGGCACCTAGTTTCCCTGATCCCAAAGGTCCCATTGGCTGGCGCGCGGCAACAAGGCTCCCATTGGCCGTGCACGCATCAGTTTCAACGACCACCGCCAGATGACGCTGCATGTCCATGCTGCCAGCGCGCCGATAAAACTAACCGCCGCAACCCCATGACACATTGGCGCGCGCTCCGAGGCTTCTGCTCGTCTCGCCACCGATGAACATTGTGTCACCTCTAGCATCCACATGCTAGAGGCGACGCCATGTCGCCTCTAGCATGAGGGGCTTCTATGCTTTTGCATTCACAACTCATAAGAACTGCTTATGTGTACCTCAAGCTTTTTTTTTTAACAAATCCACCAGCATATAAATGACATCCGAAAGTTAGACAGTGACCGTAGCGCGGCTACACCGCCGCTGACCACTGCAAAGCCCTTAACCATTGAATCGACTTTGCAAATGCGCGCGTGATCGACATCGAGCCTCATTTCCGGAAAAGGCCTTTCCTGGCATTGTGGCAGATCTAGCACACTCCAGGAAATTTAAAAAGGTCCCAGGGTGCCTTGCCATCCATGGAGAATAGAAGGGTAGGAGAGGGCATGACGTCGTCCGCGTAGCCTCCACAAGCCATGCTCCCTTGACGCCTCGCCTCTTTCTCATTTTCCTCCTTAGTCTCCTCACTAACCATGCCAACGTGATCACATCACGTGACCGTAGCTAGACTTCGTCTTGCTGTGGGGTACTAGAATACACCACAGTCTAGACTTCGACCTGATAAAACCTACCGGACGGAGCGCGCGCAAGCCTGCAAGGAGTCCTTCTACAATCAACCATCCATCTCACACCTGACATGTCACGCGCACCAATCGCCAGAGAGATCTGCGGTCACGCTGGGCACAAAATCGTTTAAACTTTTTATGACTAGGCTTCACCAATATTGCAACGCGCCCCCTCCTAGTATACTTCTAACTTCCTTGTTGCCATCTGTGTACACCCAGGGCATATGCCAACTGACAGACAATTAACAATGGGTCATCCCTGTAGAAGAGGGTTGTCCTTAGCAGACGAAGACGAGAACTGTTGCTGCCCCCTGCTGCTGCCTCAAGCGATTTAGTCACCCCTGAAGAAGAAACCAAGCCGGCCGGTCTCAAAAGGTTGGGTTACTTTTTTAGGACTTTGGTTCGATATTTTCCTTTTTTTTTTTTACTATTATTAAAATACATACATTCATACGAAACATAATACATACGAAAGAAGAGTAGTGCTGCGTAACACTAAAATGCTGAAAGGGACCGATATCTTTATCGATCAGGACTTTTCCAGCGATATTAGAAGAAAAAGAAGAAACCTATGGCTCAGCGCATACGATAACAGGAAAAGTGGTCGAAAAGTGGCACTTGTCTTTGATAAGTTAAAGGGGCCCTCCGGAGCTTTCTGCGATCGACTGTTTCTGTTGTTATATTGCGTAGTAGGTGCAAGTTAATATGTATCCAAAGTTTTAGATTACAAAACCGTTTATTAAGCAGATGGCAGAAGAAATATATCGGGACTATCTTCTCTTGGAAGACAATCCCCCATTCCCTGCCCACCGCTAAAACTTGACCAATGGAAATGCGGTGAATGCGAACGTTATTATTGCAACACCTTTTAAGCTTGTTGTAAATTAGAGTTTGAGAAAAACGTAAACTGAATGTGGTGCGGGAAACATAGTCCGCAATTATCGCTCCAAAACCAGCGAACTATGTTTTCTCCCCGCAAGCGCGTTGCTAGGGGGTGATGCGTCGGCGCGTCGGCTCGTCTGCTTCCCGGGGCGTCTGCAGGCGTGCGTTTGCGGGACACGTGTTCCTTCTTCCCGTGGATCCTGACTCCGAAGCCAGCTTTGCGATCCTTTCACGTCAACGAGTCAAACTTTTCCTTGTCATCTGTGGAATGCGACTGCGTATGGCAGTAGCAGCGCGACGGTGCGGTGCAACGAACGACGACTGCCGAGCACAAAGTCCGGGCCCCTTGACGACGGTCCGCGCGTGTTCGAGAGATTCCTCCGCAGGTCGGCGGTCGGCTGCGTTGGTGACGCGCAGTGACGCCGGAATCCTTCGCTTGCTATTGGCTGACGTGTAAAGAGATGCCCCTCCCGTTTCCCGGGGTCATCTCAGAAAGGGGGGCGTGCCGGGGTCTTTGATAGCAATTTTAATAGGGAAATCTGCCGTGCATGACCGTAATTTTACAATTTTTAGGATCCTTAGGGCCTGTAGATTGAGTTACCGCCATAAATAGACCATTGCAGAACGCTCTGGAGGGCCCCTTTAAAGATTGAGGGAGCTACCTACATCTGGAGTGACGTCATGGGTCAACGATGTCTGGAGCGTGAAGAACCGACCAGAGGATTAAATGAAGTTCCTACCCCGACGCTGAAGTGACATACAGTGCCCAACAATTTTAAGTTGCTCAATATAAATGCATGGAGCCTCGTTAATAAAAGTGTGGACTTGGAGCACGCTGTAATTGAACACGAACCGGATGTCGTTGTGGTCACAGAAACGTGGCTCCACTCTGAAATACAAGATTGTGAGGTCTGCCCGCCTGTTTACAATATAATAAGAAATGATCGTTATGGCCGAGACAGAGGGGTTGCTATTATTGTCAATAACATAATAAGGTGCACTGTCATTCAGCGTCCCCCTGATATAGGGAGTAGTCACTGGCGGCCATAGCTGAGTACGCGAATGCTGAGCGCGTGCTGACGGCAAGCTTCCACAGTTCTTTAGCAACGTGCATTCCGCACCATCAAGAGTGCCGGTCTTAGCAGCCTATTGATGTGAGCTTATTCTGAACATGCGCTCTAAACAGCACCCACAAATATGGCATCCAGTGAATACTCCCTATAGAATCAGTGTGGTGTAATATTTTTCTTGGCACTCAGGGAGTTATTATAGGAGCAGTATATTGGGCACCCGGTGCTGAGGTAGCTATTGTCGATAGGTTAGACAACTTCATGAGTGAGTTACAGACACAGCACAAAAATGTTATTGTTGCGGGTGACTTAAACGTACCGGGAGTTTTATGGGATCAGATGTTACCGGGAGAACGCGAACAGGAATGTGTTGTTGCAATCCTAGCCTTGTGCCTTAACCATCGTCTTAATCAAATAGTAACTATACTCGTATTCAGCATAGCAGCGAATCAGTCTCGGATCTTGTGTTTTTGAGTGATGGCTTATTATCAAGACCATATGAAGTAGATGTAATGCCCGGTATGTTGGACCATTTGATTGTTAGTTTATCTATGACCCTGAACCCGATTAGGAGAAAAACTAAAACTTCTTCTACATAGAGAGATTATAATGTGGCGGATGATACAGCTATACTCGACGAGTTAGACATCAGCTTCAAACCGTTTGAGGCACTAGGTTACCAACAGGCAGTAAGTAGGGGTGTCGCGAACCGGCCGTGGTTCGAGGTCGACTTTTTCAAACTTTTAGTGGAAAGTTCGACGAACCTTCTATTGAGGTTCGACTCGTGTGCGCATGCGCGACAGGCTGGCCAGTTGGCTTTGGATTGGATGATAATGGCTAAGAGATGAATTAAGTGCAGCGCTGATTGGCTATTTCAGTTAATACAGTACTAAAAATTAAGTTATTAACTTCTTCATTGATTAGAATTGGTTTCTTTTAATTGCAGCTGTTCACAATATAAAATAACCCTTTGCATAAAAAAAATTTCCCAAACCTAGACATACTTGTATCAAGGTCTGGCCACACTGTCCACAAAGTCGAACCGGTCGAATCTGGTGAAAAGTTTGAAGGTCCGTCGAACTGGTTCGACCCAGTCGAACCTCGAAAGTTTGACCGAAAAATCTGGTTTGACAAAAGTTTGCGACACCCCTAGCAGTAAGTGCGAATGATATGTGGCTGAGGTTGAAAGCAATAGTACATAAATGTATTACACAATATGTTCCTTCGAAGGGAAAAAGAAAAGTAATACAAAATCCATGGATAACGAGGGAAGCCAATCAGCTAAAAAGAAAAGGGAAAAGACGCAGGGAAAGACTCTGTCGGGAGCGGAGTGAAGTTTTAATACATGAAATGGGAACACTGAGCGCTGAAATCAAAAATCTGATAGAACAGTCAAAAGCCAAGTACTTCAATATCACAATGCAACAATTCCTCAGAGTTTTGGAGGTATTTAACAAAGAAACAAAAACGTGTCTCCGAGATATGCACAGAACTGGGAGTTATTTCTGACAAGCAGGATATTGCAGAGGAGTTCAATACATTTTTCACCAGTGTATTCACAAAAGGTGACGAGGAACCTGTAGAGTTTGTGTTACCTAGGGACTGTCCAGATATGGATGACTTGACACTTTCGGAGGAAGGAATTCTAGCTTTATTACTGAATCCAAAAACGTCCAAGTCGATGGGCCCAGACGAAATCCCAAATACCTTTTTAAAGAGGTACACAGAATGGATGGCCAAATACCTTTTGATTATTTTCGAAAAATCACTGTCAACGGGAACCCTCCCAGACGACTGGAAGGTGAGTAAAAAAATTCTTATACCGAAAGGTGGCGAAACCACAATTGTTTCCAACTATAGACCAATTGCCTTAACATCAACATCCTGCAGAATTTTAGAACATAACGTTTCGAAACATGTCCGACAATATCTTGTAACAGGCTTCTCAGCAACTACCAACACGGTTTTCAGGAAAGTTTATTGCCAGTGACGCTGCATGTAGAAACGGTGCACTATCTAGGTGAAGTGGTTGATAATAAGGGACAAGTAGATATAATCTTTTTGGACTTCAAGAAAGCATTCGATAAGGCCAGTCATAAAAAACTACTAATTAAATTAAAATTGGTCTAGGGAGATAATGACGTCGTTAATTGGATCAAGGCATTTCTTACCGATCGTAAGCAGTTCGTAGCTATTGAAGAAAAAATGTCTGCAATAAGCCCCGTTGAGTCGGGAGTGCCACAGGGTTCGGTGCTTGGGCCATTTCTGTTTTTGATGTACATTGACGACCTCATAATTGATTTGCCCATTCAAGCCAGATTATTTGCAGATGATTGTATTACAGTCGAATCTCGTTAATTCAAACTCGAGGGGGACCGAAAATTTGTTTGAATAAAGCAATGTTTGAATTACCAGGAGTTTCCTCCCATAGAGACACATAGGATGGGACCTGCATGTTAGTCAAATCTGTTACAGACCAAATTAGGTTAAATGAATAGTTGTCTAAAATAACTGATTGGTGTACATCATGGCATATGTCCCTGAACATGCAAAAAAACGTATGCATGACCATTACTAACAAGAGACAGCCCTTTGGGGTTCAGCTACAGCTGCTACACAATTCAGGGGGTTACGTTAACAAACGTCACGGATTATAAGTAGCTTGGAGGAACTATAACTTCAGACCTTATATGGAAAAAGCACGTAGAGACTGTTGTTGGTAAAGCAAACAAAAGACTAGGGTTCATCCGGCGCACGCTCAAACTTGCATCACAAGAAACTAAGCTGATTGCACACAAGATGTTAGTGCACCCCATCTTAGAATATGCGTGGGAAGTTTGGGATCCACATGTAAAAAAATTGCAGTTAAAACTAGGAAGTGTTCAGCGACGGGCATTGCGTTTTGTTTACACGCGGTACCGAAGAAAGGAATCTGTGTCCCCTCTTTACGGCGAAGCCAATTTATCGTTGCTCCAACTTCGCAGAAAACAGAAAAGGCTAACTCAGTTTTACAGCATTAGAAACAACTTACTACTGATCGACAAGAATCGATATACCAGTGAAGATAAGACGCGAATAAGGAGGAACAAGCACGAAAGGCACGTGAAAGGACAAAGGTTTGGTAAGAATTGTTCGAGATAGTCATTTTTCTTGCAGACTGCACGAGACTGGAACCAGTTACCGGAAAGCATTGTAGGTGCATGTAGCCAAGGGAAGTTCGCATCTCTTATTTCAACATTTGATATGTGCACAGGTTGAGTTTCTTGTATTCTATTCTGGATATTGCACATAGTTTCATGTATGCATTGTGTGTGTTCTGGTGCAGGGTAGCACGAACTGGATTTGTATATGTTTGACGACTGATTGTTGAGTTGATTGTATCCCACTCCTATCCTGGTCCCATAAAAGACCAATAAAATTTTCAAATTAATTTTTTTTTTTTTTTGCACAGCTTTTAGAAAGTTTTAAGACCTTCTTCAGACTTTTTTTTTTCCGAGACATGGGATTTTTGGTATGGAACAGTATCTTGCATGTCATTACTGATCTTTGTGTAACATCTTACGTGCAGTGACCCATTTGTGAAAACTACTTGTTGAACCTGCCAAACACTAGCCTGTTGAACACTAGCTTGTTGAACACTAGCCTGGGGCTAGTGCAAAAAAGATAATAGAAAGAAAAAAAAACGCCAAAAACTGCTAAAATATTTTACCAAACACGTCTTCCTGGTTAAAGTTTGTCACACTGTTTTCTATGTTGGATATCAACCTCCTCATAATCAAATAAAGGATTACATATGGCGAGTGTCTGTCACTGTCAGTACACCGGCAACGAAGAGGGCTGACCCTGAGTTGATGCACAGTGAGCTGGGTCTCCTGCAGCTGCCTCTCCAGCTCGGTGCGCCGCTGCTCTGCCAGGAGTAGCCGCTGCTGCAGGGCCTTGCACTGCAAACAGAGGAACACGCATTGGCACACACTCGCCCTGTGCCCCCGGCAGCAAACGTCATTAGGGATTTGTTTGCGGCGATATAGGCTGGTTTCACGCGACATACTACCGTTTCAAAATCTTGCCGGATGCCATGCTGACGGTCTTGCGCCCTATGTCTTTCCACGAGAGGAGGCAGCGTTTTAATGCGAATCCGTCCCATGGAGCAAGCCGACGTCATCAGTTTGAAGCGCGCCAAACGGCACCTTAAATCCTTTTTCCAAGTGAAGCCAGCTCCCAGGTGTGAAACCATGCGAAAAGCCTAGACAACAGCACCTAGTTTCCCCGATCCCAAAGGAGCAAAGTAAAGCTGATGGATTTTCGCCTTCGGTCCCATTGGCTGGCGTGCGTCGACGAGGCTCCCATTGGCAGCTGCACGTCAGTTTAAAATGACCGCTCATCCCATGGCGCTGCATGTTCATTAGCGTGCCGTTAACACGAAGCGTCCAAGGTCAGCACGCCGAGGAGAGTGTGCGCGCTGACCGGCGACGAAAAGTATGCAGCAGACGAAATAAGGGATTGGACGAGCACCTTGCATCCTTTCAAATTCACAACTCATAAGAAGTGCTTAGGTGTACCTCGAGCCTTTTTTTTCAGCTCACTAGAGTTCTTTCACGTCCCGATGGGCTGCCCCAGCCAGAGTGGTTTGGTTATTCCTTTATCTGTTGATCAGTTTTACATACTCAGGGATCAGTTTCTGTGGCAATGCAGACGGGGGTTGCGAGCACCTGGAGTCATGCTCCTTGAGCACAAGCGCAGACGCTCAAAGAGAACTTGAGCTCACTCCTCTTTTTGGAAATGCCTTGGAAAGTTGTCCCGCAGCATATTACTACCTGTGAACAATTCGTGCAAGCCTAGCATGAGTGCACAAAATTAATTAAAGGGTTAATATGCAAGTGCAACAGGTTTGTCACGACTGCATTGCCACAGAAAGTTGTCCCTAAGTACAGTGGACTCCTCTTAAACGGAACTCGAAGGGACAGAAAAATTTGTTCCGTTTATCAGAAGTTTCATTAAAGCAAAGCACATAAAATGAGTGAAATATGACTTTATTTCACAAGCATGATGTCCAGCTAATGTAGCTGACTAGAAAAAAGAGGTAATGGTAGTTTGTTTTGCATTTTGTAATCGCTTTTTGACGAAGTAGGTGTGCATGCCTTGGAGGTACAAAGGTTTCTGTTGACTGCTGCACCTTCCCCAGAAATAGTCTTAAAGACTAGGCCGTGGCGCTTTTTAAAACGGCTGAGCCAACCGTCGCTCATTTTGAAGTTATCTATTCCCAACTGAGACGCAATCTCTCCAGCCTTTTCTTCGAGGATGGGGCCGCTGATCGGGAAATTAGCACTTCGCGCGCGCTTAAACCAGAGAAAAAGGACGTTCTCTATTTCCTCAAAAGGCGTCTTTCGCATCCTCCTTCGGTCGGTGGCAAAGCTTCCGCGCTTTACAGCGTCTTGAATCTTTTCTTTGTCCTTTGATATCCTTGAGAGTGTAGACTTCGGGATATCGAACTTCCTTGCGATCTCCGTCTTCGAGAGGTCACCACGATCCAGCTCTTGAAGGATCTTCATTTTCGTAGCAAGCGAGATCGCTTGGTGCGGCCGCTTTTTTACCGCTTCCATCACAACACGGCAAGCGGACGCTGGTTTGTGTACTCGATGGTAAACGTGACGCGCAACAGACGAGGCGCTAACCCTAATGGCGGTAGAAAGACTGGATTGGATTGCCTTAATATAATGGCTTGGATGGATGGATGAATGGCTGTACCGTACCCTTTGTAACGAGCGGCACCTCGCGTCACCTAGCCTAACAACTTTTTTTTTTTTTATAATAATATTTGTATAAATTTTGTTCTAACACAACCCCTTTTCCTTTAAAGTGTCCTCAGTCTTGGCTATTGCGTACTCCATGGTTGTGAGACTGCTGTAGCTATTTCCGATGTCCGCGGTCGCCATGGGTAGTTTCGGTTTCGGTCCCGTTTAACCGAAGTAAGCAAAAAGGGGGGTTCCGATTACCCGAAGAATTTATCATTAAATACATAGGAAACCAACCGAAACAACCTTTAGAGTTCCGTTTATCCGAATTTTCCGTTTAAGCGAGTTTCGTTTAATGGGAGTCCACTGTATTTAAAACTGATGAAAAGATAAAGAAATAAACTTTTACGAGCCACGTTAACTCTGACTTGTCCTCCCAATTTTGAATATAAAATATGCAGCGATAGTAGAGTTCGCTGAGATACAGAGAAAGCATTCTGTAACCAAAAGCTGCAGAAAGGCCTTTCTGCTCGCTTCAAATAAAAGGAGTTAAAAACTTCGTCTTTCCACTAAAAATCTTTGTCTTTCCACTCTGGTGAAGAAGGGAGACCATGAAGCTGTACTATGGTCAGACGACCTCGAGGACAACTTCTTGGACAACCTCAAGGACGACACCTAAGGACGACGTCTAGTGGCCTATTCGTCTGGGGCACAAAAGACTGGCAAGGAGAGGACGAAGCTCCCCTCTCCCCTCTAGCCTTCCATGTACCACAAACCGCACTGCACCGGTGCGATGCGGGCCCAGACGAATTGGCCATAGCACAACGTCTAGGACGACCTCAAGGAAGATGTCTTGGACGACCTCGAGGACGACGCCTAGAGGACGACCTCAAGGATGACACCTAGACGACCTCAAGGACGACGCTTAGGCCGACGTCTAGGACGACTTATAAGACGATTTCAAAGACAACGTCTACGATGACCTCAAGGACGACTTTTGGGACGACCTCTAGGACGACCTCAAAGACAACCTCTCAGGCGACATCAAGGACGACCTCAAGGACGACGTCTAGGACGACCTCAAGGACAACTTCTAGGACGACCTCGAGGACGACATCTAGAACGACGCCCAGAGAAATTCAGCCTTTCCACTCTGGTGAAAACCAGAGTGGAAAGGCTGGAAAGGTTGTCGCCATCTATGAGCAACGCCGACAAGCCGGTTGTCTGATTGCCGCCATCACTCATAGATGGCGGCAGCTGTCCACAGTTTTGTGTCAACATTTCTTTGAGGGGGACATGATCCTGGGGAAACTAGCCCTTAACAGCTCCGCTGTAAAAATTGACTGGATCCTTGGCATTCCCCAACTGCATTCTAGTGAATAGCACTTGTAGAGAATCTTCACTCACCTCCTTCTGGAGGGTTTATTGAGGACGTCCATCAACGGTGTAGTGAGGACATCTGGCAATAGATGGCACCGCATGTGTCGTGCTGCGGGCTTACCGGAAGCGAAGCTTCTTCCGGTTGTTGATTTACGATTAAAGGCACTTTTTGACGAGCTGTCACACGGGGTAGTTGTGTTCCTTCTGCCTGGCGACCATGTGGTCGCACTCGGACGCCCACGGTCACAACATGGTGTCAGAAGTGGCCGGCCTCCCGGTCTGAAGTCCTCGCTGCTGCTATGCTCATAGCTAGCCCTGCCTCTCGTCGTCTCTGCGTCGCACGCTGCTACGCTTTCCGTCTTCTCGTCACCGTCGCTGCGTTCCTCGTCATGTTGCAGGAGAGAACAACGGAAGCTGCCGCCGCCACCGCCCCCGTCGTCTCACTCGAGCTTGGTTCCACCGCCCAAATTCGACTTCGCAAACCCCGACAAGTGGCCGCAATGGTTTCTACAATTCGAAGACTTCAGCGTTGCGTCAGGCCTCTACCAAGCGTCGGACGAAGTTCAGGTGCGGACGTTACTGTACACTATGGGATCCGAAGAGGCGCGGCGTGTTCTTGAGACGTTAGGCCTCACCGCAGAGGAATGGCGGTCCTTCGCTGCGGTAACAGACAAGTTCAAGGCGCACTTTGTACATCCACCGAACGAAGTGTACGAGAGCGTGCTTTTTCACCGGCGGGTCCAGGAACGAGGGGAAACCGTCGACAGTTTTTACACGGCCCTTCGAGCACTCATCCGCAAGTGCAACTATCCGTCCACAGAGGTCGAGGACAGGCTCGTTAGAGACCGCTTCGTCGTAGGACTTCTCGACTCGAGACTCTCTGACAAGCTCTGCCGCTGTCCGACCCTCACCATGGCCGAGGCCCGGCTACAAGCACGCATCCACGAAGACGCCGTCAAGGCGCGGGCGACCGTTTTTCGGGACGAGACAGCTGCCGTCGCACCGGAGCAGCTCAAGCTGGATGAAGCACGTGTGAAGAAAGGAAGGAAACCGGCCCCCAAGACGTCTCCCAAGCGAGACTCGGCGTCGTCGCCGAGAGAAGGCAGCAAAAACTGCAGATTCTGCGGCCGTCAAGCGCACCCCCGTAACGAGTGCCCGGCTAGACAAGCCAAGTGTCACTACTGTCGACGCCTGGGTCACTTCGAAGATGTCTGCGAGAAGCGGAAGCGAAGTTTGAGCACTGTTCATCTACATGCCGTTTCGACCGCGGGCCGAGCGAAGTTTGTCAAGGTCGCCGTCAACGGGTACGACGTCGACTTCAAAGTGGACTCCGGAGCCGAAGTCACGGTGGTGCCAAGCACTTTTCCCAGAGCACCTCGCAGTCTCCAAGAGCCTGAAGGGCAACTCACTGGACCGGGCAATCACCCATTGACAGTTCTCGGTACCTTCCAAGCCATATTGACTTGGAAAGTCAAGTCGGTAGTGGAGCGGGTTTACGTCCTGCCGTCGCAAGACCCGCCTCTTTTGGGGTTTCCTGCCATCCAGAAGCTGGGTGTGGTGAAGTTCGTTGACGCCCTCTCCAGTCTCAACCAGCAGAGCCCTCTTCACAGAGACATCTTTGAAGGGTTGGGTGAGCTGAAGGACGAGTATGTGATTCGACTCCAGCCAGGAGCACAGCCGTTCTCCCTCAGCGTTCCTCGCCGCATTCCGATTCCCCTTCATAACATTGTCCGCGAAGAACTGGATAAGCTAGAAGCTGACGGTGTGATCCGTAAAGTCGACGATCCGACGGACTGGTGTTCTGGTATCGTTGTCGTCCCCAAGTCCTCTGGAGGTTACCGGATCTGTGTCGATCTCACACGCCTTAACCAGGTGGTCCAGCGGGAGCGTCACGTCCTCCCATCGGTGGAGCACATCCTGGGACGTCTGGGTCCTGCACGGATCTTTTCCAAGCTCGACGCTACAGCCAGTTTTCACCAGATCAAGCTATCTGCCGAAAGCCAGCTCCTCACGACCTTCATTACCCCGTTCGGCGGATACTGCTTCTGTCGCCTTCCTTTTGGAATTTGCTCCGCTCCGGAGTATTTCCAACGTCAAATGGGGAGGATCCTGGAGGGTCTCGACGGAGTCGTCCACATGATCGACGACATTTTGGTTTTCGGACGCACCCAAGAGGAACATGACCGGCGTCTTGCAACAGTATTGGGTCGCCTCAGCAGTGCCGGAGTGGAACTGAACAGGGCCAAGTGCGTCTTTTCAGCGTCCACTGTTAGGTTCTTGGGAGTCACAGTCAGTGCAGACGGTATCAGCCCCGATCCAGACAAGGTCCAGGCTCTGGTCAACTTGGAGGCCCCAGCGGACGTCAGTGGTGTCAGGAGACTTCTCGGCATGGCTAATCACATAGGCCGTTTTCTTCCTCACCTGTCCGACGTGACTACGCCGATTCGTGCTCTTCTCCAAAAGAACAGTGCCTGGTGTTGGGGGCCCAGTCAGCAGTCTGCCTTTGATCGTCTTAAGGGCATGTTGAGCTCCAAGGTCTGTATGGCCAAGTACGACCCTTCGTACCATACCACAGTGTCGGCTGATGCAAGTTCGTATGGACTGGGAGCCGTTCTGCTACAGGACCAACCATCGGGAGAGCGTCGTGCCGTTGCCTACGCTTCGCGATCTCTTACACCGACGGAAACCCGGTATAGCCAGACGGAGAAAGAGGCTCTGGCCGTCACATGGGCCGTTGAAAGGTTCGACCAGTTCGTCCGTGGCATCAGGTTTGATGTCGAAACAGATCATCGACCCCTCGTCACTCTGTTGGGATCTGCGGAACTGGACACTATGCCTCCTCGCATTCAGCGCCTGAGGATGCGGCTTATGGCCTACCAATACAACGTTCTCTATGTACCGGGGAAGCTCCTGGCGACAGCAGACACCCTTTCCCGAGCTCCTGTACAGGCTGCCGACACCAAAGTAGACACCGTCGAGCTCTTCGTTGGGTCACTGCTCAAGGACATCGAAAGTCTTGCATCCACTCGCCTCGATCGCCTTCGCCAGCACCAAGCAGAGGATGGAGTCTGTGCCGGCCTACTCAGATTCTGCAAGGATGGGTGGCCCAAGAAGGTGTCCAACGTTCCAGTTCATCTTAGGGCTTTCTGGAAGGAGCGAGGCAACATCACAGCCTTCGAGGGCCTGTTGCTGAAGGACTGTCGCATCGTGGTTCCTCAGACTCTTCAGAAGGAGATGCTAACATTACTCCACGAGGGCCACCAAGGCGTGGGAAGATGCAAGGCAAGGGCTCGCGACTCAGTGTGGTGGCCAACCTTGAACAGCGAGCTGGAGCAACTGGTGGGGACGTGTGAACGTTGTGCCCAAACAAGAATTCAGCGCTGCGAGCCGCTTCTCGGGACTCCTACACCCGATCGCCCCTGGCAACGTATTGGGGTTGACCTCTTTGAGCTGCAAGGACGCAACTACGTGGTCATGGTTGACTACTATTCCCGTTTCCCCGAGGTGGTCAGTCTTGCGACCACAACATCAAGCTCCGTCATCGCGGCTATGAAGAGTTCCTTTGCTCGCTTTGGGATTCCGGAGACTGTGGTCTCTGATAACGGTCCGCAGTTTTCGTCAACGGAATTTGCCTCTTTTGCAGCCTTGTATGGGTTTGCCCACCGTACGAGCAGTCCGAGGTACCCGCAAGCGAATGGCGAGGCAGAGCGCATGGTTCGAACACTGAAGGAGCTCTTCGTGAAGGCAGAGGATCCGCACATGGCGTTACTGGTGTACCGGGACACACCCGGAGTGACCGGCTACAGCCCTTCGGAGCTGCTCATGGGTCGTCGTCTCCGGACCAGGCTGCCAGGGTTACCTGCATCGCTGATGCCGAAGTGGCCGTCGCCAAAGCTCGTCAAGAGCAGGGACCAGAGCGTGAAGAGCCATCAACGCAAGGACTTCAACAGGCGTCACGCCGCCCAGTCACTGCGCCCTCTGGAAGCAGGGGAAGAGGTGTGGGTACAAGATATACCATGTGCTGCTAGGGTGTTGAGCCCGGCCAAGCGGCCGCGCTCCTACGTGGTCGAGACGCCAAGGGGTGTTGTCCAGCGCAACCGTCGCCACTTGGTGCCGTTTACGCCCAGTACTCCCAGCCAGCCAAGCGACTTAGTTTGTACCCAGCCTGCAACTTCAGACGGGCCAGTTCCTGTTGCCGAAAGACCAACAGGCGATTCAGCGGTGGTGCCCAGTTCTACACGGCAGTCTCCCCCACCGGGTATACGCGTCACTTGTTCGGGGCGGCAAGTCAAGCCTCCTCAAAGACTGAACTTGTGAAAGCACGAGGTAAAGCTCCCTCGAGCTGGAAGGGGAGATGTAGTGAGGACATCTGGCAATAGATGGCACCACATGTGTCGTGCTGCGGGCTTACCGGAAGCGAAGCTTCTTCCGGTTGTTGATTTACGATTAAAGGCACTTTTTGACGAGCTGTCACACGGGGTAGTTGTGTTCCTTCTGCCTGGCGACCATGTGGTCGCACTCGGACGCCCACGGTCACAACAAACGGCACGTTACGAGGGTCACGTGAACATATAAAACCGCTACAGTGTCACCTGATGCCCCAGCGTCATGTGACATCATGAAGTCACATGGCATCACAGTGTCATGTGATGTCATTGTTTACATGGCATCATATGTCATGTGATGTCTTAGTGTCATGTGACATCATGAAGTCACTGTGTCACATGACAGTTCAGAGGGTGTCATGATGCCATGTGACATCATAGTTTACATGGTGTCATGATGTAACATGATGTCTGTGTTACATTATATAATTAGCTCAGCGTCACATAACATCATAGTTCACATGGTGTTATGACGTCATGCGACGTTATGATGTCACCTGACGTTATGAAGTTACATGAAGTCAGTGTCAGGTGACATCATGATACCACATGACACTGTGGCATTGTCGAGGCTACATGGTGCCCACACAAAATCTCTGGGGCTCAACTTATAAATGCTATGCATTTAAAAGGTAGTGCCGTGCTCGCCAAAGAGTTCCCGGGTTCCCACCTCGGCGTGGAAGTAGACGGCCTTGCTGTCTGCCAGCTGGTTCTGCCGAATCATCTCTCGGATGCGGGCCTTGAGGTGCGACGCAATAAGCTGGCCATCCCCGGAGTCTCCGGGCATCATGGGCCCGTCGTGCAGCAGGTCCTGAAGCAAAGGCAGCCGCACACGTTGCTCCACGACAACAGCTGGGATTGAGCTCGAGTAGTGTGAACAACTTTTTTTTCGCGGATTCAATATTTTGTGAATTTGGCAGGGTGTTAACTTCAGGAGTATTTCGCAGGTACAAGATTTTGCAATTGGGATAGGTCTGTTATGTAATAGGCTCGTTCGAGTTACTTGCTCCTCCTGCACTGGTGCAGAGAAGTGTAGGGCTGTGCACTTCTGGTATGTGTATTGAGGTACGACTGGAAGTACGCCACCCTGCACTTTTCTGCACCGGTGCAGGAGGTGCGGGTAAATTGAACGTGCCTATTAGTTACCATAGAGTAATATATTTGTGGGATCTGTTCTTCCAGTACGTTTTAATTTGCTATATTTGCAAAATTTAGGTCCTCATGAAAATTAAGTTGTTTAGAGTATATTAACGCAGAATATGTTTTATAACTTGAATGTGTTTTAGAAAAAAATAGTAACAATAATATTAATAATAATAATGTGAAAAAGGTCAGGTGGAGAAGCAGACTGGCAAAGAGCAAGATTTAATCAAAATTTTCGTTGTTTTGAGTGCCAGCGCATAAGAGTAAGCACTTGCACTCTCTCGACCAGTATAGTGATGATGGTCAGAGTTACGTTTGATGACAGTGATGAAGTTACATTAAATCCTTACAATAATGTTAGTAGTAGTGTTTTATTAATGCATTTATGAATCCCTCGACGAGTCTAGCATAGAGCATCACACAAAAGATGGGCCCCTCCATACCCTCTCCTCCTCCTCCTAAAGAGTGCAGCTCTTTAGGAGGGAGAGAAGGTGTGGAGGGAAGGGCATGCTCCTCCTCCTCCTGCTATATTTAGCGGGGAAACTGAATTGTTGTTGAGGTCACGTGACGTCAATTTTCCTGCTAAATTTAGCAGGGAAATTTAACCTGCTAAAGTTAGCGGGGAAATTTTCCCGCCAACTTTAGCAGGGAAACATCCTATAATGCAACGCGCAAGTTTAAGCTGATGCTGCCCAACCCAAAATTGGGTGCCTAAGAGCCGCACTCTAAAAGTAACAAACATATTTGAGGAACAATGTAGCTACATACACCTAGTAACAAAAGAGTTACACATAATACAAGAAAACAAAGTAGTAACACATTATCGATTCAGTGCTATTAGCCCCACACATGTTGCCAACATTTCCTTAATACCTCTGTAAAGGTATAGACATAGCAGTGATTATGTGGTCGGGCGAGGTATTCCATTCTCTTACTTTTAAGGACATCGAAGCGCTACATAAGAAGTGGTGGATGCAAAGATTTTTGCGGGTGTTGTCTAATCTTACAAAATGAAACTGAAGTCGGTGACAGGTCAAAAACGAAGTGGAAGCTCCTCCCACCTCTTTCCACTTTGAAACAGCGACACCAGGGAGGATTCGACCTCCACTGCAGCGTTTGCTCCGCTAAAGTGGAAAGAGCTGGGAGGAGCTTCCCCTGAACTCTTAAATTGTCACCGACTATAGAAACATTATGGATCAAGAAACATGAATCTGCGGAAGTCTGGAAGTAGGTCTTAGCCAGCCATCAATCCACCGACTACTGTTTCCCAAGTGGAGTCAACTCTGACTTTTTAAGGCTCCCTCAATCACCAGCAAGAAGAGGGGGAGGGGGCACCTTGGTCTGCCTCTCGAATTTGGCCTGCATGAGCTGCCACTCCAGCATCCAGTGCTCCTTCTCCTGCACAAAGGCGCAGAAAATCTGCGTTGGCACCGGCGCTATTTGTATCGTAGAAACACAGTGTTTTTGTTTCTTTTCACTGGCAGGGTGAGAATGGCGAGGCATCTATTCCCGATGCCTGGCCTACAGCATGCGCTCGGGGCCTTCCACCATGCTCGGACTGCGCGTGCACGTCCAAGGATAGGAAGCTCGCCCTGGAGGTGAGGGACAACTGAAGAATCTCTCTGCCATTCTAATCCTGTCAGCGACCATAGACTGAAAACACTGTCTGCCACAGTCAATGTGTCGGTTTCCCTATGACCGAATCTCTATACCAACAGACAATGGGAGACCAAAACATCAGAGGTGCATCAGACAAGATGCATCTCTCTGCCAACAGAGCCAATAAAACATTGAAATCATGGCAGCAGGCCAGTAAAACTGAGTGGTTGTCCTGGTCGCTGTAAAACACTGCACACTTCTAAACGTGACTTGTTTGAAGATAGAGTGAGTAGGCAGGCGAGCTGGTTGATGTTACACATTTTTTAAAAACCGGAGACAACGAACAACGAAAAAGGTTTTTGAGACGTTTTGTGTGTTGTCCCCTTTTTCGTCGTCCGTCGTCTCCGGTTTTACAAAAATGTGTGACTTGTTTACATAGTGGTTTTCAATGGTTCCAAGAGAAGGTTATATTTCCAGCATTCTTCTACCTCTACAAATAAAAGTTGGATAATCGAAACTAATTACGTGCTTAATTATTTGACGTACCCCTCAGGCCCCATGGCAGTGACTAGGCATTGATCTTACTTTTGCGCGACACAGTTTTCTTAGAAAAAATGTGATGCAATAGAACTTTGGTTGGGGCTAGTTGGTTCATATAGTGTCCGTTTCGTACGCGTCTTTTTTCGTCCTGTTCGTTCGAGCCTTTTAACCTTTTATTCCCAGAAAACGTTTGTCTAGCATTCCGCAAAACATCCTGTATAGCATGGGTGGCCTGACGGACATATGCAAACATATGCAATACCAGGGATGTGCAAATTGCACTTTGACCCGTGAAGGCAGCAGTTTGCATGGTGGAACAAGGCAGCCAAGGTCCAAGTTGTCCTTTATTCTGTTTCCTTCAGCCCTTGCTGAAGGAGGGGAGGGGGTTTACCAGGGAGCTGCAAATTGCACTTTAACTTGAGAACAGCTGCATGTGGCTCACAAGCCATAGTATGCCTACATGTAAAAAAGACATACTTGCCTCTTCTAGCTTCCTGACCTTGGCTGTACAGCTCTCCAGCTAAACAAATAAAGCAGAAAACAACATTTAGACCAGTTTAAAATGCAATACATTCTCTAGAAAGCATGGTTTCTAAGCATGGCATCTTTCCATACTGCACAGTGGCTGGAAGAATAGAGACTCCAGTACTAGAGGTGTGTGAATTCTATTTGAAACTTAAAATGGCTCGTGAATAGTGTTTGCCATTGAAGTCAATTCATGGTACAACACTTTTACTGTTCAAAACATTTGAGTTTTCAAATATTTGAAAATGAAAAATGATGCCTTCAGAAGTCTATGGTTTCTCACGTAAAGACTCATTGCTTAGAAACGGTGCTCTGGCACCCAGCTTCGCTGCTTTGCATCGGCGTGCTAGCAGACGCCGCCTGTGTGTTGGAGCATCTCGGACACCTAGATGGTCTCAAAACGTTTGCCGACTCTTCCAGGTCAACCTTGTTTGGTTATAATTATAGTACAACCCCAGCTTTAAAAAACAGTGCAGAAAAAAAAATCTTAATTTATATTTAAGTAGGTAAAGTAGATATTGCTTTGTTTGACATGGTATGTTATGTTTTATCCAACTCGTCTTATCAGGGTCTTTTTTTTTTCTCTTAACATATAAAATGTTTTCAATATGTGCATAGTATGCAAGATCTTTCTCATGCAATAAAACAGTTATTTTTCCCAGGCATGCTTTCTAGAAAAGATCTCCAGCCATGATTTCTTGAAGCATTCATGTTCAATTCACACTACAGTATCAGTAAAATATTTGCATTGTAAAATATTCAAATTCAATTTGCGGCCAAATTATAATATTCATATTCGATTCGCAGTAAAACGTATGGATGTTCGCACACTTTTATGACTCAAACTCATGGAATATATTACCATATCATCGGCAAAGCCAAAACTAAACTACGTCGTTCACTGGCAGGGCAACCTACGAAGCGTAGCACTGGTGCAACTCCAGTCTTTCATCAGTGGTCACGCGGTTCTTGTGAAGTGTAATGCGGCAATTTCAATAAAAAAGACATTCAATTTCCGTCATCCTACAAAAAATTTATCCAGAAAGGTACCCTCGAAGGAATGCAAACCCCAGAATTCATGCAGTCACTTCAGACATTTGGCGCGAGAAACCAACCTGCTGAGTAAAGGACTCCTGGTTTTCGACGTGGCTCCGAAGAGCTCCAGAGTTCTCTATGGCCACCTTGTATGGCACCGAGTCGGGCGGTTGAACCTGCAGATGACACGGCGTGCCGAGTGGGGTCACGAGATCCAGCTGGTACCATAAAGCAGGGGTTCTGAAACCTTTTAATCTCGAGGAACACCAGTTTCCCTCGACCGATAGGTGAAAAACCCCTCCTGGTCTCGGCAGTGATGCAGTAAAGCAGCCGAGAGGACTACAAGCCTTGCAAGCAATAATGTCGACGCTGGGAGTTTGGCACGCACGTCGTGCAGAAATGGGTGGCTCGGGTCTGCTAAATTATTTTAGCAGACCCGAGCCACCCATTAAATAGTATTGTGGCATTAAAACAATGCCATGACGATTTCAAATGTTCTTTTTTTCCCGGGGCAATTAACGACTTAAATTGTCCATTGCCCGAAAGGAAGAGTAAAACAAAATTGGGACCCTTCCATCACTCGATGGCTTTGTAGAGACCATTACTTATGGTGCGATATAGCATTGGTATTTGTCATGTGGCATGCTAAAATTGTAACAGTGCTGGCTAGTGCTCTGGCAATCTGCGGCACCATTGGCAGTGCCATCGTGCCTTCACAGAGTATATATAAACAACAGCATATAAAACTTCATCCCCTTTCTTCTATCTAACTCCCTGGTCCTTTCCCTTATTTGACACAAAAACAAAGTACAATGTTTTTATATTTCTATACTTGCTATGGCCCATATGTGAGAGCTGCTGTATTCTTTGAATTAGAAAAGCTCAATTGAAAAAAAAAAAGAAAAAAAAGAATATGCTTGAAGTGAAAAGCATTTTACTTGGGGTGCAAGAACAGCAAAGAAAATTTGAGACCTCGGAGCACCCGTGAGGGGTGCTACGAGGAACCCCTGGGCTCCTAGAAACCCAGTTTGAGAATCCATGCTATAAAGCCCCTTCGAGCAAATTAAATGTCCCACTTTTCGCAGCTCCCAAAGGCAGATGTAATAGTGTTAACGAGTTTCAATCGATTTCAATGGGCTTGGTCAAATTCAGACGGCAGCTAAAAAAAAGCTATGCTTCCGCCCAAAGTGGTTGCGAAGCAAGCGTGTGACATTGCCACGCCTGTTTTACATGGAGTCCAAACAGAACACAAAGAGAGTCGAAGCTAGTGGGAAGAATTCAAAAAGGAACTCTTTGAAAGCGTTGAAGTGACAGCAAACAAAGGATTTAGCTTTGGGGAATGTAGACGGTGCTTTAAGCTTGGCATGACATTTGCCAGTTACACAATTTTTCTGTAAAAAGATAAAGGATGCTTTAGAAAAAAAATAAAGAAAGACACTCAAGACAGCTTAATACAATTTTTTTTTTTTTTTTAATAGCCTAGTTGGAACACGTTTGCCAAAAAATTAAGTTTATGGGGAAAAATTTATTTTTATTTAGAACAATATTGACGGTGCAAGATTTATTTTAAGTTCTCTGCGAATCCATGATGTCACGGAATATCACTCTCTGTTTCCACCTCAACGTGAAGGCGGAGCCGATCCAGCTCTCCTCCACGCGCCCGAAACGCCGAGAGAAAACAAGTGGAAAGGAGGTGACATGGACTAAATCACGTCTCGCACCGTCAATCTTGCTCTAAACAATTTTTTTTCGCGTAAAATTAACTTTTTAACATGCGTCTCTCAAGCAGATTGTTTAAAAAAAACTTGTTTTTTTTCTTTTCAGGAACCCTTTAAGAATTTACGCAGGAACTATGGATGAGATTAGGGAGAAGACAACACTCCCTGCATAGGTGAGACACAACTAATTAGTATAACAGCAGCTTTACCTGTCAAAGCAACCACACCAGGCAGAGGTATTAGACACAAGGCACCAGAAGCACAAACAGTATAATCTTCATTTTCGTTTCGAGAGTCACTAGGGCAACGAGACAACTAGTGGCACCAAGCGGGCATTTTACGAGCGATTGTGCCATTGATTGCGATGATGTGTACGCTGGAATAAATGATTAAAGTGGGACAGAAAAGCAGAGGCGCAGAAAATGCCCGAGGCGCACTCGAGCGCGCTCATTAATTCCAGGGCACAGATTAGACACGACTGCTGCATCAGGATTCGGCTGAAACTCGCGTTTTGCACCCTATGGGTGGCGTCTTTTCTTGATGTAGAATAACTGAGCACTTAGGATTTACCATTTTCTCAAACCACCTGAGACTGGGTGGAGAATGAGAAAAATCCAAAGTGGAAGAAAAAGAAACGGAATGACAGAATATTTTTTTGAAGTGTTGCCTGCTGCCGCACCATTCCTTTCTCTTCCACTTTGGATTCTTCTCATTCTCCACCCAGTTTCGGGAATTTAAGGAACTGGCAAATCCACACCAGCTCGCCTGTGTCATTGCCGTTTTATAAGCACTTAGCCTTTCTTTTCTAGGAAGAGTTGGCCATAGAGTTGCTCTGGTGGAATCTAGGCAGTGTCAACACAGAAAGAGAGAGATGGGTTGTGCGTGGGGGGGTGCTTACAGGCAGGCAGGACCTCAGGTAGGACGCCCCCCTCTGGCGCAGCCGCCCCACCAGGGGGCCCAGGTGTGACCTGCATAGTGGCTGTGGCTGCGAGGAAGTGCTCCTCAGCCCCCGACGCTGGTACGCCTGGTCCCCGAGGATCAGGTGCGAGTGCGTCTCCAGAGCTTTGGAAATCTGCGAGGCCCAAAAAAGATGGGAGGAACCTGCTTAGAGCCACAGGCCAATCAGAAATCTCTGACTCGCCATCCTCGCTCCATTTTGACAGACATCGAGTTTATTTATTCATTTATTTCAAATACCCGGAGGGCTGCAAGGGCATTGCAGAGGGAAGTGGATTAAAGGTATATCAAACAGAAACAACTAATTCTAAGAGTGCAAATAATTAGTTGTTAATAATCTATTAAAATGCTGACATTGCAGTTTTAAAGGTGGCACCATCAGATAAGGTTACCACAGATGCTGCGAGGTGGTTCCACGAAAGCATGGTTCGGGGTATGAATGAACAGTGAAAAGTTGTATACGATCGTAGGCCTATCTTGTGTTGGTGATCTAGACGCAATGATATGTAGAAGGGAGGCATTAGTACTCACTTGTCACACGAGGGGGGAATATTAATGGAGTTTAGGGAGCTTGACAATACCTAGGTACTTTTTATTTTTATTTTATTTAGAACATACTGCAGGCCAAAGACTGGCCCAAGCAGGAGTGGAAAGAACAACAAGTAAAATACAAATAAGCACCTTCGAAACCAAAAATAAAACACATTGATATACATATTCGAGGCATATATCAATAAATACAATACAAGAGAGTGACGTGCAAAATACTAACATGCAAGGTTTCTTACAGAAAAAGTAATCACATCTAAGAAAAATAACTATCAATGGCATCACAAAAATCGGCAGCCTCAAAAACGCTAGAAGGAAGAGAGTTCCATTCCGAGATGGTGCGGGGAAAGAACGAAAATTTGAAACGATTAGTGCGTGCAAAGATGGGTGTTAATGAATATTGATTATGGTGCCTCGTAAGTCGTGTCATTAACGGGATGAGGTGATTATGTGTGCCAAGCCGTACATTGTTTTGTACCATATGAAATAAAAATTTTAGTCTGGAGAGCTTCCTACGCAGCTCAAGTGTAGCTATGCCATTCGTTTTCATAAGGTGAGATGGAGAGTCTAATCTTTTAAATTTTCCATAAATGAATCTAACCGCGCGCCTTTGAACCATTTACAGCTTCGAAATGTTCTTTTTTGTGAAGGCATCCCAGACAAGGCTGGCGTATTCAAGTTTCGATCGCACAAAAGTGTTATAAGCTAAAAGTCTGACACTAGATGGTGTTTTCATTAGTTTGCGCCTAAGGAAACCAAGTTTACGGAATGCGGATGAGCAGGTGTTATCGATGTGTGTATACCATGATAGAGTCTTAGAAATCGTCAGTCCAAGATACTTATACTCTGAAACTTCGCGCACAGGGGAGCTACGGATATTGTAAATAAAATCAAGTGGAATTTTTTGTTGGTAACCCGTAATAAAACAGTTTTTTCTGAATTTAATTTCATTTGCCACTCGGCACACCAATCTGCAATTTTTGAAAGTGAAGAGTTTAATGCACACTGGTCGGATGAGCTTGTTATATACTTGAATAGAACACAATCATCCGCAAAAAGTCTAATGCTTACACTTTCATCGATGACTGATACAATATCATTAATGTATATTACAGTCGAATCTCACTAATTCAAACTCTCTTAATTCAAACTTCCCGATAATTCAAACTAACATGCAGGTCCCATTTTATGCGCCTCTATGGGAGGGAACTCCCGGTAATTCAAACTCTGCTTTATTCAAACAAATTTTCGGTCCCCCTCGGGTTTGAATTAACGAGATTCGACTGTATTACTAACAAGGGCCCCAGAACGCTGCCCTGGGGTACACCCGAAGATACACGCAACTCATCTGAAAATTCCCCACCAATATCAACAAACTGTTTACGCCCTTGTAGGTATGATTTAATCCATTTAACAAAAGGAATCGGAAGACCAATACTTTCTAATTTAAATACTAATTTTCCATGAGGGACCCTGTCGAAGGATTTACTGAAATCCAAGAAAATTACGTCTACCTGACCAGATTTATCGAGACTAGTGGCAAAGTCGTGGACCGTGGTTAAAAGCTGAGTTGTGGTGGAAAACCCCTTTCTGAAACCATGTTGGAAGGGAGATAAAATGTTGTGACCCTCCAAGAAGGAAGAAATGAAGTTTGAAATAATATGCTCCATGAGTTTGTAACATGTGCATGTGAGAGAAATGGGACGATAGTTTGCTAGCGATACTTGGTCTCCTTTCTTGAATACAGGGACGACACGTGCTAAGAGCCAGTCATTCGGAAGCACACTGGTGATAAACGAAGTTTGAAATATTATTGTCAAAAAACGTGCCAGTGACTCTGCGTACCGTTGAAGTAAAATATTTGGAATCTTATTGGGGCCTACGCCAGACTTTGTTTTTAGGTTTAACATCATTAACAAAACACCTTAATAGGAAATAACACGAGCATTCATGGGTGACAAAGAACCGCGACATTCATACTCGTCTTTTTCTCTGAAAACTGACTGAAAATAAGAGTTAAAATGCTGAGTAATATCTTTTTTATCTGAAACAAGACTGTCATTTGTCATAATTTTTTCAACAGGATTATTCTTGTTGGCCAGGTATCTCCAAAATTTTTCAGGGTCATCCCTCAGAAAAACTGACAAATCATTTACAAAGTAGCATTCTCTAGCCTGTGCAACCCTGCTGGTTAGCTCAGTCTGTAACTGACGCACCCTTTCGGGATTACATTTACTTTTTCTCATTCTTTTTAGTCTATGTTTGAGATGAATGATGTTTCTATCAATCCACGGATTGGTTCGTTTTGGTGACCTTTGTTTATTAGGAATGAAGTTGTCTAAACAAAAGGAGCACATAAGCTTAAATCTTTGCCAAAGAACCGATACATCGGGATCATTTATTTGGAAGTCAGCATTCGCCGAATCTAAATATTGAAGAACACTGTCATCATCAGCACGACTGAAATCTTTGACTTCCATTGCCAGTCAACGATGCCTGTGCGCTACATTTTTCCGTGGTCATCTTTTGTGTGCTCCGTTTTCACCGTGTGATAGCTTCGTTGCACAAGTGCCCCTCTGGATGCACCCTAAATGCCAGGCAGGTGCCAACAGAGTGAAGAAAAGATGACAAAATATACAAGTTCTTGTTTATTTCATTATTCCTCTAAGACCCCATCAGGACAAGCATAAAGAAGCTCTAAAACCTATACTCGGTCAATAGGAAACAAAAAATAAAAGTAAAACGATAGAGAGACAAGCGCTGTTATATTCATGAAGTATAACGAGTTCTTTCATCATGCCTCGAAAATGGCTGGAAAACAAGCAAACGGCAAATTCCGTTTTCTTCCCCAGAAGACATTTTGAGATGCAGCGAGCAAAAATGCACTAAATTGAAAGCAGACGATACTTGCTCACTGCAACTATTGGGGGATGACATTGCATGCGTGATCCTCGCTAACCCGGTCATCTGTATTGTCGTCCATCATTACCTGTGGCAAGTTTGAGAGTAATTTTTCGCAGGAAGAAATCTATGCCTTGAAATGTCACAAAAAGTAAAATCCTCCACTAACATAAACCTATTCTGATATTTTGAGCTCGTTATGTGTACGTGCTGATTTCTTTGGCAGATTTTCAAGTGATCTCCAGGACCGAAGACATTCTATAGTTATAGAATGTCCCATTTACTGACAGTTGACCCTTTTCTGAAATCCTTTTTCAATGCATCTGCAACATTTCTGACATCAACGGTATGAGAAGAAGTCTACTCTTCTCGATAATGCACATCAGTTCTTTCAAGGGACAACTCGGCCATTACCCAGCATTTGCACAAGCTTCCTTTCTCGAATTTCATTGAGTGAAGAGACAAAACATTAAGAGAAAGTGCTTGGAAAATACCTTTACGTATCTCTAGTGCCATCTAAAATATGTGTCATTTTGTAACCTGGCTATTCAGAAAAAAAAATTGTAGTAAAACAATCTCGTCCAGTACCTCGGTTGCAGCCACATTTCCCCAATGCGCATGTCCCGTACTCTAGACACAGTTATGGTAACATTTGGTGTTAAATCCGCCTTTAGCCATGCCACCCAAAACAATGCTTGTAAACAGAATTACATTTGAGTGCCATGCTTGAGTACATTCTGGCGCACTCATAAGCAGGTTTCAGGTTTGATTTGCTCCCTTCCTCTCCCAACAGAGCTGTAGATTTTATTTTTACACGTATCGCCATGTTTTATCATGTACCTAATAACACCCGTTGACAGCATGCGGAAGGTTTGGTTTAGGGGACTTCCGTCTCGGTTGGCTCTTTTGTTGTTCCAGAAAGGCAAATCTACGTCGTTCAACTTTGCACTTTTTGGAGAACACTCAAAGTTAGAAATTTTTAATAATTAATTAATAAGAAAGTTCCAATTCCTATTAATAAAAACGTCAGTTAAGGCCATTCGTAAAGAGTGACCCCAGGGTGCGGGGCCAGGGAGCCACTTTGCATAGTACCGTGTCTCGAAAAGTATAATTTTACAAAAATATTCGAGGTAAGTGATAAGCAATTTATTTGCATAGGAGTGGGTGTGTACACAGCGGCGTGCCAGGCAAACCAGAGGATTAAAAACCCTTATGCAAATGCGCCTGCTAGCCTGCCGCCGTGTACATTAAGATAAGACAAGAACACTGAAATGATGAGGGTGATTAATGATGGGCGAAAGAAAGTCCAAAGACCTAGCAAAGATACTGCAAAGTTCCTGGGACTCCTCTCGTGATGCTGGCAGGGGACTACGAGCAGCCAGCGGGATGAAGAGGGTGCCCCTAGTAGCGGTTAGCGGTAGCAGCTGTGCCGAACTGTCCTGCCTCAAAGAGGCTCGGGCTGGCCCGTCCTCCTAAGGTCCAGCCACAGACCTTACGCAGTGCACGGAACTGCACACTCTCCAGTCGCTTGATAAGGAGAGGAGGAGGCCAGACTGCGCAGCAGCGCTCCAACAAAGGCAGAACTGGACTAAGTCCGTAATGGTTCGGTTGTCCATGTGGTCACTGGTGAAATGAGTGACGACTGCCCGGGCCGATTCATGACTGCATCCTCATCTCCTAATTACCAACGAGACATGGAGCATGAACTCATAATGTTAAAAGAACGACTAACCCCGTGTGAAGAACAAATCGCCCAACTCACAGAACGTATAGCCAACATCGAAACACTAGTGTCCAACATATTAGGCACAGTAAACCCTCTCGTATCCCGCATTGAAGAACTAACAAAGGCGGTAGCATCCCTCGAAAAAGCTGTCGGTATGCTCTCCGCATCACCCATACCCATGGAAGCAACATCCCAATCTCTTAAAAGACCCCTTTCTCCTGAATCCACTGAACACCCCTGTTCCCTTCAAAGGGCACACCCTCCTGCCCCCTCCTCAGTCACGACCTCATAATGGTAGAAAATTCCCAGTTCCAAGTCATCCAGTGGAACTGCCGGAACATCAAAACAAACCGCACTCCCCTTCATCAAGGGCTCCTTACCCTAGATTCTCTTCCCCATATTCTACTACTCCAGGAGACACGCTATGCAGTTAACATACCAGGATACCGAGCTTTGCATGGCCATCCAAACGAGGCCCCTTTAGTTTCCACATTCATAAGACGGGATATCCTGTATGAACCACTGATCATCCCTACATCTCTCAGACAAAATGTAGTGGCATGTGCTTACTATCCCTTCCCTAAACACAGACCTATATGCTTCCTCAACCTATATAATCCCCCCACAGAGCACCGCCTATTCAAATCACTTTTTGACTTTGCTGCAGAGTTGACACCTAATTACGAGGTACTCCTGGGCGGTGATTTTAATGCCCCAAATGTCAGCTGGGGTTACCTATCCACACTTCGCCCAGGGCGACTTCTGCAATCGTACATTTCACAGCGCCAGTTCACTGTCTTAAATACTCCCGACATGCCAACCCGACAAGGCACACGCCAGCAACACTGTACCACCCCAGATCTCACACTATACCACGGCAGAAACTCGAGTGTCTGGGTTCATACTCAAGAGAGACTTCTAAGTGACCACTTCATTCTCTCAATATCACTCAGCATCTCTAGCCGCTCACGGAAAATATCAGTCAAAAATACAAACTGGGATAAATTTCGCAGCATCCTTGTTTCACCCGGGCAGCAATCAGGCTCTTACGAGACCTGGATATGCGCCATCAAACAAGCCCGAACACAAGCCACAAAAATAGAAAACACCACAGCCCCGGCGATACGGCCAGACCCGCATCTAATGCGCCTCTGGAGACGTCGTAAGCGTATCTTAAGATGCATTAGCCAGCAACCCCACAATCAACAACTCCGAGAACGTTTACAACACCTAGATGCAGACATTACTACACACTGCAGCACTCTCGACATCTCGAACTGGAACAGAGTATGTGATCAGATAAACGGTACCCTCCACCAAAAGACCGCATGGCATCTCCTCCGTTCACTTCTAGGGCCTCAGCCACCTCCCGCTCCCACGCTAGACAAACACTTAGCTTTACAAGGTAGCACAGACCTTATCCAAGCCTTACAGAACCTATACATCCCTCCAGCATTGACCTCAAACTACCCCTCCTACTCGGGCCCTGAAAACCCGACTTTAGACAGCCCTTTCACACTAGCAGACTTAGACTTGGCCCTAGCAAAAAACTCACGAAAATCAGCCCCAGGAGATGATACCATCACGTACTGCCTCCTCCGTAACCTTCCAGAAGCGAATAAAAAACAGCTCCTGACCTACATAAATGAACATTGGTCGGAGGGTACATACCCAAATGGAAATCTTCTACTATTATCATGATCCCCAAACCTGGAAAACCCCCATCACTTAATAACCTCCGTCCCATTTCCTTAACCTCTTGCGTGGGCAAGACGATGGAGCGGATGGTCCTCGATCGTTTTCAAGAACATCTTGAAGCCACTGCATTCCTGCCACACACCCAAATCGGCTTTCGTTCCCATGTTTCCACTCAAGACCTATTCCTTTTACTCCAGCACACATTCCTCTCCCCATCTTCCTGTCAGGTGCATGCGCTCGTCACAGTAGACGTTCGCAAAGCATTTGACAACATAAGTCATGATCACATACTCGCTTCAGTTCGAGAAACAGAATGCGGACAAAATTTGTATACCTACATCCAAAACTTCCTTAAGGACCGCACTGCATGCTTTCGTATAGGGGGCGAGTTGTCCCAACCACTCTCACTCACACGAGGTCATGATCACATACTCGCTTCAGTTCGAGAAACAGAATGCGGACAAAATTTGTATACCTACATCCAAAACTTCCTTAAGGACCGCACTGCATGCTTTCGTATAGGGGGCGAGTTGTCCCAACCACTCTCACTCACACGAGGTACACCTCAAGGGGCTGTCCTCTCCCCTACTCTTTTCAATCTGGGTATGGCCCAGCTAGCTCGCTGCCTGCAGCAGATACCCCACCTTTCCCACATATTTTATGCTGATGACCTCACCCTCTGGTGCACTCACGGATCACCAGGGGAAGTTGAATCTACTCTTCAGAAAGGTCTAGACACCATAACTGCGTTCCTAACCCAAGCAGGGCTGAAACCGGCCCCAGAAAAATCGGAATTACTCCTGCTGTCTCAAACCCAGTATCAGCGCTCTGTAAACCATCTCATTTCTCTCTATTTAGACCATCAGACCATCCCGCGAGTATCCTTATGCAAGGTCCTCGGCATCCATCTCCACGAACGATCAAATCAGGCTAACATCACTCCGGCGATAAACACGTGCCACTCGGTAACACATCTTGTCCGCAGAGTCGTGCAAAGACGTGCGGGCCTCAATGAAAAACAAGCGAGTCAATTGGTTCATGCATTGGCTCTTAGTAAAATTCTTTATTCGGTTCCATATTTCACGCTCACACGACAGCAACTTAATAAACTCAGCTCTGCATTAAGCACTCTGTACAAGGCCTCCCTTAACCTTCCAATCCATACCTCAACGCAAAGACTCTACGAGACCGGCCTATTCCTTCCCCTCTCCTCACTCCTACACCTCCATCGTGACCGACAGCTAGCCCGCCTCTCGGGGTCACATCAAGGGCGCTGGATCCTAGAACAAGCTGGACTCTCACCAATTGATTTTTACTTGCACTTACCCGCTTCGCCATTGCCCTCTAATCTGCGTTTCGCTCTTCTGCCCCGCCGCATGGCTCCGGGCCTGGACGACGGTCGCAGAGATGCTCAGGCCTTGCATCATAGTCCACCATTTCAGACACAGACGGTAGCCTATACCGACGCTTCCATCTTGGACACCGGCACGGCTGCATACGCAATCTACATACCTAAACATTCCTTACCTATTCTTCACACGTGCGGTCCATACAGCGACCCCCCGTCAATCACCACGTTAGAGCTTGTCCCCATTATCCATGCCATCATATCATTCTCCCAATTGCCGCGCACGTCCGCTTACACTGTCTACTCTGATTCTATGGCTGCTATACGCTCCTTGCAACAGAGACAAATTCCTGCCGATCTTCGAGAGGACCTTGAAATGGCCCTACACTCTCTCTCCTCATCCTCGGTCACGATTCGATGGGTCCCTGGTCATGCAGGGATAGCAGGTAATGAGCTGGTACATCAGCTCGCCCGCGAATTTCACAGCCGGGCACCTGCAATCCCCTGGCTAAGCCCCCCGACCAATGACGAGGCAGCAGAGTACAAAAAAACACTCAAGTTACATTACAAACAGATCCGTATATCTCATGAACTTCTACCTCGACCACATCCACAGCTTAGTGTCGCGCAGACCCACATTCTCCGTAAAATCCAGACAAACACCCTCGTCACACCTGCTCGCCTTTACCTCTTCCGCTATCGATCAGACCCTTCCTGTCCCAACTGCCCAGCTCCCTATGCCAATCAAGAACATTGTCTCCTTCATTGCCCGGTCGCCTACACCACCTCATTTCTTCCTAACCCCCCACCACCCTCCTGGAGTGCATGGTTGGCGTCGCCGCAACTGGAAGATCAGCTCGCCCTGGTACTTCAGGCGGAGGATATCTTGGGTACTTAATCTGTGCTCTAATTAAAGTGATTTTCTCTCTCTCTCTCATCGAAAGCCAGATTGAGTATCCGAGAGGTAGCTGACGAGGTGGTTGCAAAGCTGACCGTTTGCTACCCGCTCAATTGTTTGGCAGACAATGGAGGTGATTGAGACCAAGCAGAAGAGCCTTAATCGTCCATTGGCTTCCTCTTTCCCTCGTGCGACGAAGTCACCGAAGCTCATCACCACTTTTCTGGGGTGGCTCCGCTGTCGAAGTCCATCGCAAAACCTCCGAGGCAGCTGGCAGCATATGCGAGCAGATAACTTTGAACCATATCAGGGCGATGCCATCTGGTTGGAGACTGTGGGAGTTCTTAATTTTAGAGAGTGTTTCCTGCAGTGTTTCAGATGCCAATGACACTGTGGAGAGTTCCCACTGTTGCCCTCATCTGAGGTCAGGACCCCCACATTGAAGGAGTGACTGCTGGCAGTTTGTTGAGCGACATTAGTCCTGCCGGATTCGGAGGACAAACTGATAATGCTGATGACGGAAAAATTGTCGGAAAAAAGACTGGCAATCTCATGCGGGGAGTCAGCAGCACGACCACTGACAGTGAAAGTGGGTTGCTGGAATGTACAACGCGGCCGGCCAGCGTGATTTTAGAGTAATTCTGGTTCGGTCTCAGCCCTTTTGGCGATATTGCAGGTGCGGTGTTCGTGGGAAGCGTAGATAGTGGCCATCAATTAACATTGAGCCTATAGATCAGTGGGTCCTCGATAAATCAATGTACTTCATGAAGCACGCTACAGTTTCTCTGCATGAAACCAAAAATTTGTGTTCTACATGCGGGAAAAGAACCCGGCGCTCGAAGGGTGAAAGTGCACGCAGTGGCAATAATACCCAATCAGTTCCTAGATCTGGAGCGGAAACTCTCGAGTCTATGACCGAGCTTAGTAACTTTGCATACCTTCTTGCAGCAGCCGACGACCGACACAAGGCTGCTGATAAGGCAGTCGTCCGTCGTCTTGGCTTCCGCAGACACCGTTGGCAGCTCGTGTTCCAGCAGCATCAGCGAGCTCAGCTGCTTCTTGGCATCTAGAAGTACAACGGCAACCTAGAGCCGCCGTCCTTCTTCACGGCAGGACGCATCGTCACCTTCGAAGTCCTCCCAGAGGGTTTTGGCGACCTTGACCAGGTGACTGGCTACTGCCACATAGCCCGCACAGTGGCAGCCATTGGCACAGGGTTGGCAGCCTGAAACAAGGAAACAAAAAATTAGGTGTACCACCAGAAATAGGAGCAGCATAATCGAAACCACATGGCCACTAGTCGTGGGCTCATTTAAACGTAGGCTCTGGTCTGAAAGCTAATTTTGGCCAATGTCTGCCGCCCCAGGCATATCTCGCAAACCTGGAGGACCAGTGGTGGCCGAGTGTGCTGTGGTCACCGACAGGACAAGGGCAGCAACACCCTTTTGGGTGTCCGGCCTCCAGCACTTGCCTTCCACCATGCTTTGGCTGAAGGCTAACAAGATGCCGAAGTGTTATGGGGGGGTGGGCGGCAATTAACGAGTCTTACGTCACTAAGGGAAGTTTGAAATTCAATAAAAAAGCAGTGTTTTGAAAACAATATTAAATGTGAGGCATTGTTTTTGGGGTTTGCATTATAACTTTTTATACAGATATAAGATATACAGATGTGTAATATGTGCACTGCGATAGGATTTGTTTTGTGCGTGTGTAATGAGAGGTGTTAGCATCCGACGGGTCATGTTGTTTTTCTGATTTTATTTATTATTTTATTTTAACCATCGATAAAATATGTGCAGATCAGTGTCCAGTGTTTATGTTTGAATACGTTTCTACGTAATGGAAATGTTAGACGCAGTTAACAAAAAGTGCCCAATGACTAAACATAAAAAATTAAAAAAACTTTTCTGGTCAGTATCGTTATTTTTTGTTTTGCCGCAAGATGTGGTGTCATTAATTTGCAAAAAAGTTTAAAGAAATAAAGAGCACCAGACCGACTGCCGGGCTCCGTCCCAGAAGTCCCTATAACTGACAAATCACTACACAATGTATTGTAAAAAAACAAAAAACAAGACTTCCTTTTTTTTTTCTCACAAGCTTGCGCTGGAGACGGGGCAGCTGGAACACCCCCCGGCCGTTCTAATTACGTCAGCGACCATAGTGGGCCCCTTTGCCAAACCAAGAATCCCTGGGCCAGAAGCCAGGAATTCTTGGCACCCACCCCTGCCCGTTTGCATCTTATAAATGAGCATCCTACCATATCAGTATTACTTCCTGATACAGTGCAATCCACTCATAACGATAATGAGAAAACCCAAAATTTCCCTCATCATAACTGATCCTTATTATATCTGGACTGAAAAGAGATTGTTTCTCGTCTAGAAACCCTAGAAACTGATCGTTATAAGTGGTACATCGTTATAAGAGGTACATCGTTATATGTGGTACCATTATATGTGGATTGCACTGTAGACGCTAAAGACCTCAGTGTGACACTGCGTTATCCCGTATGTTCAGCTTCTGGAGGGCACGGAAAGCATTAAAAATGAAGAAAAGAAATATAAAATATTTTAGACATTGGTGTGTACAACTTCATAATATAATTAAAAAATGTAAATGAATAGAATGTTGTAAATGCTATTAACAAAAAAAAAAGTTTCACAAACTCATTTCTAAGGGCTCTTTTCGTGTTTGTTTTTGCACACTCAGATTGCTTCCAAAAAAGGGCTCTTACGGAACCAGGAGAACCAAGGCTCACGACATAAGCGTGCATGCACCAGAGAGAAGAAACAACCGCATCTCCACGTGGTGAATGATGTCGATTGAGGCAAAGCTCTGGTGGTGCTGATGATACTGATTTTATTGTTCATAGGTAGTGCTGATTTTTTTCATTGCTCGTAGGTAGTGCCGAGTTCCGGGTTGAGTTTTGACTTCATTATTACTGCTTTATGGTCGGTGAAATGCAGAGCCAGTGGTTCTTCTAACGGATCAGCTTGGATCCGCTAGAAGCCGTGGGAACGCATCTCCACCGCTTAAGTCAACGGTCCATGTCTGAAAGAAAATGTGTGGTATGGATCGTGGTTATCCATAAACCTCGTTATAACAAAATGGGATATAACAAACTAATGGATATAACAAAGCAATCATAATTTCCTTTGCTTGCTAATAGTAGGAAGAAATTGACATTGGCTATAACAAACTAATGGTTATGACGAAATAATTACGACTGCTCCTTCAACTTTGTTATAACGAGGTTTTACTGTATACGCAGTTGAGCATTTGACCGCAGCGTCCTCTGGTTTATAAACGTTGAGCCAATGCGTGCAAAGTGTAACGCGATTAAATACGCATTTAACCGCAGCGCCTCTCCTGTACAGACGTTAAGCGGCTACATGCAACGTTTCATCCATGACATCCCCAGCTCTTGAGTTACTACCACATCCCACAGCCCCCTACTCGTCTTGCAGTCGTGGCCCAGTGGTTAATGTGATGAACTAGAAATCCATTGGGGTCTCCTCGCACAGGTTCGAGTCCTGTCGGCTGTGCAAACATTTTTTTCTTTTTTTAAGAAGACAGATGGGACGGCAATCGATGTGAGCACGGACGCCGGACGGACAAGGCTAGATCCCAAGGAGCTTCGCCCCTAAAAATTGGAAGCTGAAAGGGCTGTTGAGAAATCCTGAATCCCTTTCAAGCCTAGTCCAAGGTCACAAATGCCCAGGCAAGAAGCACAGCACAGAGACGCAGTGGCAAAAAAGAGCAGGAGCAGAGGAAAAAAAAAAAGGGGTGGCGGCCACAGTTTATGGACGCAACAACCGGCAAGGCAAGCGCAACAAATGGGAAATCGAAGCCCAGATCCTCAAGCGAGTTCAAAGGGACCGGCATCTTCGAATGAACAGCCGAGAAGATTGCATCAATGAGAATGCATCAATGAGGCTCTACTCATATGGCTGTTGGACGTGGCCACTTATTTCTCAAGTATGGTACATACCGTATTTTCCAGACTAATAGTCTGCAGATTATATATGCTTAAAAGTTGAAATTTTAGACATTGCAGAATAGGTACCTATACGCTCCGTGCGGGAACTATAGGGGGCGCTTTGAAAAACGCGCGCAGCGCCGCTAGCGGAGGGGCTGGCGTTCGACAGTGAGGCGCGTTCAGCAGCCTGCGGCGCCTTTTCGCATGCAAAGCTGTGGCGACGGAAGCGCGCACAGATGAAACTTTTGCTTTTTGAGCCGATACGTTGAGGGTGACGTTGCATGAGTGCTGGGGCAGACCTAAGAAGGGCATCTAGCTGTTCCGCACTTCTTATATATTGAGTTTGAATCGTTATTAGCGGTAATTGCTCTAGTTGCGGCCGAAAAAGGAGTCAGAGCAATTTTCCGAAAAGCAGGACGGCCGCCACCATAGTTGCTTTGAGTGGGAAATTTATTTCGCTCGTCGCTGTAAACGTAGGACTGCTGAAACGATGATATTTGGAGGCGGGTGAGATGTTAACTAAGTTTGTGCACGAAGGGTGCCAAGTTTCATTAAGACAGCAGGTGTGAAAGTTATGTTTCTAACGAATAAAAAAATAAAGCTGTACGGGATATCCAATATTGGACCCAAAATGTTGTGTTATAGAGGGATGTGCAAAGTGCAGATTGGGCACACACGTGCTTGGGCTAGACAGTGGCATGACACAGCACTTATTATACAAAAAAAAAAGTGGCATAGGGAAACCAGGTGGAAATTTGGTTTGGGCGGCGTAACTCAATGGGAACCGGTTTTGACCATGAAAGGGCCGTCAAGAGAATACCACTGGTCGTGGGAGGTGGAGACTTTACAGGTAAGAAGGGACTAATGGACTGTACTTCCAAATGAAACAACTTTACGAAAGGTGGTTCCAAAGCCGAGAAAACGAAGTTGTTGGCCAGCACACGGTTTGGCCGTCAAGGGCGTTTGCGGTCAGCTGTTGTGTAGTAACGTGTTGTGCGAGGTGCTGATTTTCGGCGCACAGGTACTTTGACATGACCGTAACTTGACACAACACTAATTATACCAAAAGAGTTGGCATAGCCAAACCAGGTGGAAATTTAGTTTGGGCGGCGTAACTAAATGGGAACTGCTTTTGACCTACAAGGGCTGTCAAAATAATACCACTCATTGTGGGAGGTGCACACTTTACAGGTAGGGAGGGACCAGTGGACGGTACTTCCCGTTCGAACCACTTTGCAATAGGTGGCTCTAAAGCCGAGAAAAAAAAGTTGTTGTCTACAGAACTCGGGGTGTCAGCGTTTACACATCCAAAAGGAGGCTGATCAAGAAAGAACGCACACCACATAAACTTCCATACTCAAACGTCGATTCTCCATGATTCCGAGCTTCATTGTTGTTTTCTTGAGATTTATACTTGCTACTTTTTTTTACCGTTCGAAACTTTCTTCACGAAGTACAGATTGCGTGCCATACTTGTCCGGAAATATCATCGACACGTACGATGGGGACGAAACTTCTTTGGAGGGCATTCCCCCAACGAAATTGGCACTGCATACTCGCGAGTGTGGGATGACATTTCAGTTCGTCCCATCGGCGCTAACAGATGTAGGCGCTACTGGTACGAAAACAAACGCAGAGCGCAAAGCAGCAGTGTAGAATATGTCAGCCGTGCCGACACAGTGGCAGACATGATCGGGAGACAGAATTTCTCGCGTCGTACGGCACGGGTCCATCGTTGTCGCTGTCCCACAAAACATCAGCGACGTGAAAAAATGTAAAACTTTGTCCCCACGAGATACGACACATAACTATTAAAGCACTTAAAGACGCAGCACAGGCAGCACTTCATGCTGTGAACCCAGCGCAACCGCACCGCTCCGACTTCAATACGTACCAACGTACGCGGCGTGGTTTCGGTTTCGTTTCCTCTGGGGTTCTCACTGCCTACCTTCAATACCGGCCGCGCGGCGGCGCGCCAGTCGCGTCGCACGAAGTGTATATGTCTACAACAATCTAAAATAGGCAAGTCCTTGTACAGTATGCAAGGACGTGTCTATTTTAGGCCGATTACTGCAATGAGATGCGACGGGTTTTGGGAGAGACAAAATCTGCAATTGATGATTTATGTACAATAGAAACTTTTTTTGTGAGCTAATAAAGCGGGCACTAGCCACAACAAGCTGTGTGGGAGATTTCTTTTCTTTTTTTTTTTTGTGCAGATTAGGCATTAGATACAAATTATGCACTGGGTGCAAACTACCTAAACTACTTGAGCATCTGGAACACCCAAAACTAGGAACAAAAAGAGGGCAACACACACACGGTTGAGATCTGTGTGCGTATTGTCCACCTTTTGTTCCTAGTCTTGGGTGTTTAAGACGTTAAAAGTGCATTAGCTCGCCTGCATCGTCTCTGTTATTTCTATAAAAACTTCTTACTTTCAACTCTGCGGTCTATACACTGTGTACGGACTATAATTTGAAAAATATGGTAGTTCTGGTTGATGGGGAACACACGACCAGCTCCGCTCACCCTTCGCGGCCAGCAGCTGGAGGTACCGGTCCAGCTTGCCGAACTTGACGGCCACCCTGGCGGCAGTCTGGCCCAGCCGGGCCCTCAGCTCACGGGATTTGGCGTCTGGGCTGAGGGCGGCCGCTCCCAGGCTGCGAGAAGAGACGTCACGCGCCCACATGTTTTACTCAAAGCACATACACTGGGAGAGGTTGGCAACCTTTAGGACGTGACCAAGCAATCCTGGCTGGGAGTGTGGAAACCAGGAAGCGGAATGTTACCTCCACCACCTTGCACTAGAAAATTTCAGACCGATCCTGATTTAGTCGTGCCTAGATTGCAGTGACCCGTCGTCGCACTGAAAATGTGTCTCGTTAAAGGGATACTACAACGAAATTTCGGCGCTCATTTTTTGGTCTATATGTGTTCAAAAAAAGCAGTATCACATCGAACATACCAATATCTTGTTAAAAAAGTCTCGAAAAGGAATTTTAAAATGAATTAAATGATTAGCAAGGAGCACCTGGTGGATGTCGCTAACGCCTCACTTGAAATGCCTGTCTAAGAACCTTGACAGCTAGTGACGGTGAGTGTCACACCTCCGGCCACGGTGAGAGGAGAGGGGAAGGAGGAACTCCCCTCTTCCCGAGAACACCTTTTGTGTGTCGCAGAAGTTGCTATTGTCCCCCTCGAAGATTATAGAAGATTAACCCGTCACTCAAAATTCGTACAAAAGCAGCCGCTTCGGTGGCTGGAATGACTAGGCCGTCCTCTCGACGTCAGCCTCGCCATAGACTTGCTCGTCCTGAGACGACCTACGTCACGATTGCGTCGGATGTCACGTGCTCTAAGCTGGGCCTTCTCCGAGCGCTTGCCAGAGTGGGCCATTTATAACAAACAATACAGCCATCAGGCTCAAAATACAAACATGCTATTGTCATTTACGGATATTGTGGATCATATTCAACCTATTTTTGAACACGACGGGAATACTTCAAATTTCGTTGAAGTATCTCTTTAAGGTAAGCGTATTTGACTCTGCACACACAATAAACGCAAACCTCCTCATCTCAAAATCAAATTTGGGGTGTTTTACATGCCAAACCAACGACAGACATCTGGCATGCCCCAGCGGAGGACTGAGGGTTAATTTTGACCACCTGGATATTGCTTGACGTGCAACTGAAAGCCCAGTTAGACGGTGCCTTCTCCGCAATAAGCTTCCGACAGATTGTGGCACCTCGACCGGAATTCGAACCCGCCACCTGGGGATCTGTAGGCCAGCGCTTAGCCTTGGAGCCACCGAGGCGGCTTAATTTCCTTATCTGACACCGTCGCCTAAAACAATCTAGCCTTTCATTCCTTTTTGTTGTCTTAAAGATGGTTTTCCAATACCGCCACCACTAAAATTAACACCGTGGGTGGCAGCACCTGGCGGGGTCACTGCAAACCTGTTCGCTCATTTGCTTGGGACATGGCCCGGGGAGTCACCTTTTTAACCGTTCCCTCAAATTGATTCAAACTCTCAGGTTCAATTGAACCCCATTAGGATTGATGACATCTAACGTTTCAATCTTTTAGGCCAATTCTATAACATACTATGCTTAACAAGCTCCAGCATTATCTTGCATGACATAAGCGACCATTTACCTATCTTCTGCATTGCAACTCTTTCAACCGCGAAAAGTAATCTGAATAAAGAAAAACGTCACCGCAAAATAAACGAAGAAACGCTAAGAATTTTCGGTTACTTAATAGATCAAGAAAAGTGTGAAGATGTTTATAATGAACATGATCCGACAAAATCCTATAATTACTTCCTGTCTAAATTTGAACACTGTTATTATATAGCATTTCCTCTATGTGAAACAAAAACCAAGCCTAAAAAAATGAGAAAACCGTGGATAAAAAATGATTTATATAAAAGAATAAAAATAAAAGACCGCAAGTACCATGCCTTCATACATCATCGCGATCTAAGTTTACTGTCAGAGTTTAAACAATTTAGAAACAAGTTGAACTCTGACTTAAAACAAGCAAAATGTGAGTATTATAAAAATAAATTTCAGCATATTCACAATGACCATCGAAAAGTTTGGAATACAGTAAACAACTTAACAAACAAAAAGCAAAAGCGCTGTAGTGTCACGGAACTGATAATCAATAACGCAAGTGTGGCAGGGAAAGAGCTCGCAGGCGCAATAAATTCGCATTTTATCAATATTGGCACGTGCGCGGCTAAAAATACAACTAAAGATGCCTGTGTAAGATCAAAAAATACACAAAATTTGATTATGATTGCTCCAACGACTTATGAAGAAATTTATAAAATAATAAATAGTTTAGATAACAATGTGGTTGCAGGTGAGGATGGAATTAAAGCTTTACCAATTAAATGCACCGCTTGCATAATAAGTCCAGTATTATCGAATATAATAAACAAGATGCTAGAGACTGGTGAGTTCCCCGATGAGCTAAAAGTTGCAAAACTAATCCCTGTGTATAAGGGCGGAGGAGAAACTGAAGTTAATAATTACAGGCCGATATCTGTTCTCTCTTTGTTTTCAAAGATATTTGAACGCATTATCAATGAGAGGCTAAATATTTTTTTAGAATTATTTCTAAATTCCAGTATGGATTCCAGAAAAACAGGTCTGCCGAATCAGCCCTGATTGAAATAAAAGATAAAATAGTTAAGAATATTGAGAGAAAACTTGTCACTCTTGGTTTATTTTTAGACCTAAAGAAAGCTTTCGACACCGTACAACACGGTATCTTACTTAAAAAACTTGAAATGTACGGAGTACGTGGAGTGGCGTTAAAATTAATTAAAACTTATCTCACAAATTGGTACCAATACGTGTGCATAAATGATACGATACTATCTAGTAAAATGGAAATAAGTTACGGAGTTCTTCAGAGCTCTATTTTGGGGCCGACGCTATTTCCAGTGTATGTAAATGATACAACGGATATGCCAGGTTGCCCCGAGATGACAATGTGTGCAGATGTTTTTTCCAGGTTTAACAAAAAAGAGCGTAGAAAAATTAGCCAGTGAATATCTTACAAAACTATCCAAATGGTTACAAATAAATAGTTTAAGCCTCAATACCAATAAAACTAAGTATCTGATTTTTAGGCCAACGGGGAACCGAGATGACAGCATTATAAACATCAAATTTGAAGGCACGGTACTTGAGCAGGTGGTTGAACAAACATTTCTAGGTGTTTGGTTCACTGAGGACTTTTCTTGGAATACGCACGTCAGCAAACTCAGAGCCGACTTGTCCTGAGTTACCGGCATTATTTATAAAATTCAAAATCTAATTCCTGCCTGGCTTAAACTAACGTGATATTACTCCCTATTTGATTCTAGGATCAGTTATGGCATCATGGTGTGGGGTACAACAACAGCTACAAAATACAATAAACTAATCATTTTACCAAAAAAGAGATACTACGGATATGTGAAAATTATAAAGACGACATAAGGATTTTAAGAACGCAGCCACTTTTTATCGAGTATAATATTCTTAAGGCAAATCAAATTTATTATTTCAAACTCTCAAATCCGCAAAACAAATAAAAAAAAGAAAAAAAAAAAGTTACTTTATTAAGTGATGTGACTTGTTTAAGAGTGACAGTGGCTGAGTCAAGTTGCGGTTAACTGTGTTTATTATAGCGAAATAAAAGCGTCTAGTCAAAACCAGCAGAGAGCATCTTCTGCGTGCGGGGGAGTGATCCGCCGCTGCTTATGTTTCAGTATTAAGGTGGCGATGCAAGCGAGTTGGTTCATGACTTCTGAAATTGGAAAACAGCGCGCAAAAAGACGAAGACGACGAGAGAAGAGCACAGGACAAGCACTGACTATCAACTGAAGTTTCAGCCAGGAGAGAGACACGAGAGGGAAACTCTGCCGGGCCCCGCTCGTGTAATCGGGGGTGTCGGGTTGCTCTCCGTTGGTTGGGGAACATGGCTCGTACCGCTGGCTCGTACGACGCGTACGTAGCATTAGGAAATGTGTTTAAAAAAATAATTGGAATCCACAAAATGTTTGGTTTAATGTGAAGTAGAATACCCATAGTGCAAGTTAAGGCAAAAATTAATTGTAGAAAATGCAATTCTAAAGGAAAACAATAACACCCAAAAAGAGCAAAACATTTTAACAAATTTCTGAGTTTAAAAATATTCAGTTTTTGTCATGAAGAATTTAGCTTTTTCAGATAATGAGTACCTTAACTTGTTCCTCAGGAAATTTCAGGCCAGGATACCACTGAATGAAATCTTTACACTTTCAAAATGTCCAATGATACATTTCCTCATACCACCATTTCCTGCCAAAAAGTGAAACTGAGAAAAATGCATTTAAAGTTTCAACTTTAGGTTTCTTCCTTTTCCGAGGTAGGCAAAATTCACCTGTAGCATTGTTAGCACCTTCCTCTTTGAGACTTCGTTGCTCCCCTGGCCATAGCTACAAGTTTGCGTCGTTTATAGATAGACTGGCAAGAAGAGGCAAATCATACTAAGGAACAGCAGCAAAGCAGGAATAGGATCTGAAGATACTGTGAAAGGGTGTTACTGAAGATGACACAATATCATGTCACCGGGCAGGGCCACTTGTAAACCCTGTTTCGGGTCTCAACCAATTAGATTGCTCACACTAAATTTTCAGGATTTTTTTCTGTTTGGATGTATTCGCAACTTCAATTCACTATAGAGGGCGCCACTCGTTTTCCAATACGGCCGGTAAAGTGAGGGTCGGAGATGCGTGCTGCTGCTGAGCCTGTCTAGTGTGCTGGCTTCAGTGAGCGACACAAAGTATTTCTGCTTATACGAAGAGGCTAGGGTGTTACGAGTGCAGGTCACCTATTTTTTCTGAAAACAAAAACGGTGTTCAGCGTAATACTTACACCAGGAGGCACGTTTTAATTCTGGAGCGAAACCGAAACTAACCTCTATTGTGGATTTAACTTCTTGGTATACATCTTAATTTCAAATTCTTTCACAACACAAGATGTGTCTCACATCGTAATTATTTAGTTAAATAAGTTGTTCGCGGAAACTTTATTTTGTGACATACGTTTTCGGTCCAGGCCCTTCAAAATATCGTGGAGATTTTAGTGTCCCTTTAATGATAGGGTCTTTCATACACCTTAGAAGTAACAGAATAATGCATTTGTTGAAAAAATTGCTGCTTATAATAGTGCATTCTTACTGCCTTTTCTCGCTAAGGTCTTTGTCATGTGAAATAATGAACTGCGGGCCTTTTAATTAATTTTTGGATATTTAGATGATTAACTGCATTCAAATTCCCAGCACAAGAATAACGGAATAAATCCAATTTTCAGAATATGTGCACAAAACGTATAAATTAAGAAATTCTGTTCTCACTACAAAAACACAGATGGAATACCTGTCAGACAACTGAAGTGTGTGTGTCTTTTAAAGCAACGCGTGAAGCATAGCACTTTATATTGCATAAGTGTTTAACTGTTTGTCTACCTTGATAACTATGTCAGAGTTTTTCATATGCTAAAAAGAAAACAGAATGATACCTTTCTGGAAAGACTATTATGGTTAAATAGAGTATTCTCGTGATTGTGGCATTAATTGAGGGCATACATTTTGCGATGTGTGTTAATATTATTATTAAAAATAAGATATTTTAATATATAATTTTTAAAGCATGAATATAATTTGTTGCTTATGATCTAATTTCAAACGTGCGAACAAGTATGACAATCAAAAGTGTGCTAATTATCATCACTGGTTCAAATTGCTGCATTTTTAATTACCGAGTTATAAAATAAAAATAGTCTAATATCAATTAAAACATTCTAGCTAATGTGAGAAATCATGTAAACTTGCATTAATTGTGGGTAAAGCATATGGTGCTATCAAAGTCGCGATTTTTGACAATCAGCAAAACGAAAAGTTGCAGCCAGTAACTCCCTAAACTAAATGCCCTCCCTAAAAAGAATTACCAATCTTTTTATAACATTTAGTTACTCTCATCTTTGCGCGCCGTCTTATTGCTGACCTCAGCCTTTCCAGTTCGAAGAAACGCCTACCTGCTTGCATGTTTGCTCACTGCAGCATGTTTCGTTGGCGTCGGAAGCCGGTGAAACAGTAGTGACTTTTAGTATTCCGTATACGAGCGAACGCAAGCTGTGTGTTTGCGTGAGTTTTACGAGTTCCACACTGCGCATGCTCGGAGCCTAAAATTGCAGTCTTGGACTGGCGCATGGCGATGACGCGCATGCATAACGTAGAGCATGCAACTCTAACGGAAACGCACTACGATTGCGTTTGCTTCTAAACACCATACTAAATCTCTCTAATAAAGTTTAATCCCATACCGGCTGCAGCACTACGTCGGGACAGTGAAGAGTGTTGTTTGCATTCAGAAATGACATTTCGCGAGCCATGATCACGAATAGTTCCGCCGTGCCCGCTGAGCAGGAGAATCGGAGGACCCTCACTGGACCGCTTCCCGTTTCCGCCACAGGAGGGCGAGCAAAGAGCTGGAGACGCGAATAGGGTTCTCCTGGCCATTGATACTTTTAAACTTTGAAAACTTCTACAGGCTAAACCCAGAGTAAATGGCATTTCCAATGAGGGTGAGATGTTCTGGCTATGTCAAATGAGTATGAAGCAGTGCTCAATAAAAAACGCAAAAGACTAGCTCCCTGCGGACTCCGAGTGCTGCCGACATGTAGAAAATAATTTATTGTAAGATAAATCCTGCATGTTTATAAATGAAAGTTTTTGAAACCATTCTTTGGAAAATAATAAATATAAACAGATCAATTCTGAAGAAAACATTTTTTCTAAAAATTTTAATTTCGAGGCCATATCCACCCATAAAAAAGCATCTTTTGCTTGAGAACAAATGGAAAAAGCTCTTCTGTACGTTCAGTTGCTAGATATTAATTAAAGGATGACGGGTGCTTGGATCAAATAATCAACTGCAGGCGTAACAAAACGTTCTTGTATGAGAAATTTATCTATATAAAACCATTTGTCACTGCAGAGTGGAAAGGCCAAAAACAAAGACATCCGTCTTGTGATGTCGTGAAGTTGGCCTTTTCTAGCAGGCCACAAGCTCCACCCATTGGCCTAACTCTCGCGGTATAAATTGCTCCCTCTCAGAGGAGCACGCCCACCTGAGTGCAACGTACGGCAGCAGTTTGTTGAGGTAGCACGCATACTTGGAGACCGCCAGGGATAGCTGCTCCAGGGCCGGGCCTCCGTCCTTTACCGTTCGACGAACCGGAAAGAATGTTTGGGGTCGGACAATGTTAAAAGCCAATGAGGTGAACCGCACATTAAAATGAACCACCTTTCAGTAACGCGAAAAATAAAACAGCCTAAAAAAGACAGAGGGACAGGCGTAAGGAATATACAGGCACAGTGCTGTCCTCCTACTAATCACTGTGTCCATGTAGTTTGTTGCAGATAGACCAAAAGGAGCATGCTTGCTAATGGCAGCGCGTCACCGGCAGCAACAGCAGGCCAATAGGAGCGTGCACATCTGTATGTGGGATGCGCCATGAGCCAAAAATGGCGACGTGTTGCAGCTATCCAATAGGAGCGGCCGTGGTACAATCAAATGATGGCGGTACTTGGATGAGTGAGGGTATACACAGCACTTTAATCAAGACTACTCGCAATGACCGGGGTCTATTAAAATGAACATAACGTTTTTGTAATGTACCTCTCGTTTAAAAAAAAAAGGCGGAAAATGATGGCAATAGTTTAAGTAACAAAAATAAAAGAAAATGAGGCTGCATAACAACAGCGCCAACGGCGCTCTTGCTCCAAACAGGTTTCATCTGCATGTCATCTGCTTTCTTTCACTGATTGGCTACACCTTTTGGCGCTGCCCCTGACGCCATCTATGAATAGGTCTGCCAAACGCGCCGCATCACTCGACTCTGTCGTCTGCGTCGCCATTCGCCATTGACCCTAGAAAGCCTTTTGGCCCTGTTTTTTACAGAAAGGAAACAATGCTTTGTTATTTTATAAGATAAAACCGATCTGTGAAATACACCTTAGACGTAAAGTTTTGATAGAAACGTGCAGGTGCTGACTTTTACGGTCCATTTTAGATCGAGCCTTGGTATTTCAGGCACCCTATACATTAATGCGAAAGCATTATTTGTCCCATGGAGCGAGCCAACATCATCAGTCTGAAGTGAGAAAAGGGCACCTTAAATCCTTTCTCCAAGTGAAGCCAGCTCCCAGCTATGAAACCACGCGAAAAGCTAGCCAATGGCACCGAAATTCCCCGCGCAGTAAAGCTGATGGATTTTCGGCTTCAATCCCATTAGCTGGCACGCGTCGACGAGGCTCCCATTCGCCGGTAAGAGACACAGCACAAGCGCTACTTTCAACTGACTTTTATTAAGACAACACAGACCATTTATACACCCAATCGGGCTTCTTGAGAAGGCATTCAAATTCTCTGTCTGTTAAATGAACAGTCTCGGCACTTATGCATCTGTCGCCCCCTTGCATTCTGATGTTGAATGACTCTACAATTGTCTCGAGATCTTGTTTCTTAACTTCCCCAGAAGTTTTGTTCCTTCCAGTTCAGGGGCACAAGGGCATCTATCACAATGAATAGCCGAATTGCCCGAGGGGGAATTCCTACCTTACAGCGCGTGCTCTCATGCCCTGTCGTTGACGCACCTGCCCGTTTGACCTACGTACGCATTAGCACAGGGTTGTGGAAATGTCATACACGACCGAGGATTTTATTCTTAGAATTCAAAGGAACAATGCAGGCAAGTTGATTCATTCTTACAAACAGGGGAAACAGCACACAATAAACAAGGACAGAGAAGTGAGTATGCAAAGAAGAAAACACCCACACACGTGTTGACGCGATCATGACGTAATTGTTTTCTTCATTGCATGTCATTTCAATAAATGTTTAGTTGAAGTTCAGCACTTGTCCTGTCTAGTCTCCTTCTCTGTCCTTGTCTATTGCGTGCTGTTTTACCAATTTGTACTTTTATTATTTCAGATATTTTATTTATTTACTTCCATTTATTTTCTTTTTATTTCTTTATTATTATTTTATGTCTATTGTTTCCATCCAAAACCCGCCGCTCTCGCCGGCACGTATGCATTCAAATGATATTGTTTACCATTTCAGACCAGCCGTGCTAGCAACTCAGTGGCTACAGTATCCGACCGCCACCGCACCGACCCTGGTTCGAGCCCCGTGGGCCCAAACTTCATATATAGCCCTAACGCCTGCAATTCTCCTAGCGTGTCACTCACTATGAAACTTGTTTGTGCCAATTTTTTCATAAAAAGACTACTCCTAAGACACATTTTGTGTATAAATGTTGTTTGATAGTTCAGCGTCAGCCCAGGCAGGCGAGAGATCTCACCAGAAGGTAGAGTCCGTCCCTGCAGACGGCATCAAAGTAGCTCTGGTAGGCCTCCTCTATGGGCTGCAAATGGGACACGTTGCTGTGCAGGTGTTCCGCAAACTGAAAAGGAACAAAAATCCACGCTAGGACTTAACTACCTTGTCAACTGATACACATCGTAGAAAACTGAGCAAGCACCCACCCAATAGTTCAAGATGAAAAAAAAATGTGTGTAGGCACCCATTAGGTTTTGAGAGCAAAAGCAGATGGGGCACATGGTAGGGTAGGTTCTTCTTTGGTCCCAGGAAACACTATAGCAGTACAGGGATCTGGCGGAAACCCTCATATGTAAAGCAGTCAAGCCACTCTCAAAGGCTGCTTCACGCCGGTGCTTCCGCACCAAGGTTTGTACCGGCGCACGCATGTAAAGCTTCACGCGCTCACTTTACCTGTACAAAAGCTTCCGAGTAAATAATCAAAACGATGCAATGAAAAATGTTGTGCAAAGAGACGTTTGTTTTAGCTTTTCGTTTTATGGCATATTTGGAAAAGCAGCAGATGTGGAAGAGCATCTCGGTGGGCTCGAAAGATTGTCGGTGTTGGGACCTCGATACAGACCCGTCACGTTAACAGGGACCCCATCAGAGGGACACTGATGGGGTATTTATGCTTGCCAAGGCTTTTATTTGTACATGACATACCACCCATGACATACCACCCAACCACCCAGAACACAAGTTGCAGCTCGAAATTCGTTTCTTTCCGCACGCAAACCGACGATCGAGAACTGGCCAATTTAAGTCACGCTCACTCTCTTCTCCATGGTCACGTGCCGTTTTCTATGGTTGAGACAAAACCACCAAATACCGCAAATATGCGTGTAATGGCCGCACTCATGTAATAGCCGCACCCCTAACTTTAAATAAAAAAAGTCGAAAAAATATATTTAAGAATTACCCGTGTATAGGCCGCACCTACAATTTTAGAATCGTAAGTGCAACCATTTTTTTTTTCTTCAAGTATTGCTGGCAGATGGCGCCCCCTTGGCTGCGGCAGCCAACAACATTGAGGCACTTTATCCTGTCTGTTTGCGCCTCTCTCTTTATCTCGAACAATCTCAAACCAGACGCAGTGTATCTCTCTGTGTTTGCGAGTACCCCCGGTTTCCCGCTGTCACCCAGTTCAGGCTTTTGGATGGGGAAGTACACCAGTTACACGGCCGGCTTTAAACTCAAAGTTATTGCCTTTGCTCAAGACAACAGCAAAAGAGCAGCCGGGTGAAAGTTCGGCGTCGACAACGCCGAGACCCCGGATGCCGAGACGACGAGATAGGTTCCGAAGATGAGTGATCTACTACGGACGACTGAAAAGGACTTTGCACGCCTGTGTATGCAATACCCATAAACGTTTTCCTGTTCTACCAAGGTGTGTGAGTACTTCCATTTAATGAAGGCAAGTAGTGAAACTTTTGGCGAAAAAAAAAAAATGATTTCCAAAAAACTTTTTTATGTTTCTCCGTGTAATGGCCGCACCCCTAGTTCTCGCCCGAAATCATAAAAAAATACTTGCGGCCATTACACGCATACATACGGTATAATCAAAGTCGTGGGTCATCGAAGGCATGCACTCAATACTAAAAATAGAAAAGAAATATGATACCCAGTTGTTTGCGGCTTCTAAAAAGCCACAAAAATGTTGATCGAAAAAAGAAAAGAAAAGTTGCACAGCTACGTGATTTTTGCCAACTTTCTCCCCCTCTATTATTTCTTCTTTTCCCCAGTTCAGTTTCGGTTTCGAGCAGTGGCGTTTTTATTTTTTTTACTTTATTAAAAATATATGCGGTGCTATAGCAAAATATTGATTGGGTAGTCTTCTAACGCTATAATAAAGCGCCTGGAAAAAAAATTGTAGAGCCCTTTCACTTCATGTGGAGATGGAGGACCAGCGAAGCTCTCATTTGTTTTTATGTCTAGGACAACCTCAAGGACGACCTTAAGGTCGACGCCTAGAAGACGACATTTAGGACAACCTCAAGGACGACTTCTAGGACAACCTCGAGGATGACGCCTAGGGGGCAATGTCTAGAACGATTTCTAGGACGACCTCAAGGAAGACTTCTAGGACGACCTTGAGAATGACGCCTCGAGGACGACGCCTATGATGACCTCTCGGACAACCTTGAGGACGACTTCTAGGACCTTGAGGAAGACGTTTAGGACGACCTCAAGGACGACGCCTAGAGGACGACCTCTCTGACGACCTTGAGGACGACCTCAAGGACGGCTTCTAGAATGACCTCGAGGACGACGCGTAGGACGACCTCAAGGACGGCTTCTGGAATGACCTCGAGGACGACGCGTAGGACGACCTCAAGGACGATGCGTAGGACAACCTCTAGGACAATGCTTAGAGATGATAACAAGGGATCAGGACCTCACTATCTAATAATGCCAAGGAAGGCTGACTCACGCAAGTTGCCCCCTCTTTTTATTTTTATTTATTCATACTTGCCACGACCAATGGGGAGTTTCCTGTTACTTGCGGACACATTTTTTCCCAGATCCTAGCGCTTAACAGCTTCGCTGTAAAAATTTGAGGAGGTGTCAGTGTCCCTTGAATATGTACTCCCTGCTATATATTCAATTTTCAGGGCCAAACAGGATAAATAGATGCATCTATGTCACATCATTTGGGTCAACGCATATTATGAACAAGTTTTGGGGAAAGGAGTTGTCTACATTAACGAGACACGACTGCATCCACCGCAGCTGAAATGTTTCCGAAGTAGTCGGTAGGTGCCTATTAATGCTGCAGAATCGTGCAACACAGTGAGGGCGTTATGTTCTCCCAACACTCTCGCAATGTGCCTTCCAGTGGCCGCCTTACCGTGCCCGCAAAAGGAAGTGTGTGAAGAAGGCCTATATAAATGGTATGCAAATGCCGAAGAAACAGCCAATCACACTCGGTACTTCACGGTAGCAGTGGAGGGATGGCAGGATGTTGATTAAATACTGATGCACACTTCACATTCCCATTTGCTTCGTCCTTCACAAAGTGTCCTGCCCTCCCCTCTACACTATTTGTCATACAAGCAGAGAGCACGCACAAGCCTGTCCTCTCATCATCTCTCGTTTTCCCTCAGCCCTCACAAGTCGGGGGAAGAGGACGTCAAAAACAATTATCTTCCTCACTAGAAACAGAGATGGCACCTTAGCCCTTAGAGTGTCTCAGTTAAAGAACACATGCAAAGGAAAAAAATTCTTTTTTTAACATCCTGGTGGGAAAAGGAAGTCATTACACGAATTTACAACGAAAAAGAAAAATATTTAGAGCTATATTTACGGTGCGATACGAATTTGTAGTGTGCGCATGCGGGTGCCGTGGAAAAGTGGTCTCTATGTGTCATGTGACTGGTACATATTTGTCACGTAGTGCTTGCAATTTTTAGGAAGCTTCCTATGGCCTCTAAAAGTAATCTTATTTATCTTTGTTTGGAGTCTAACGGAAAAACTAAGATTAATAAGTAACTTTTAGAGCCCAAAGGAAACTCCTGAAAAAGCGCAAGCAGATGTGATAGACCTGTGCACCGGTCAGATGACGGCAGCGGCGCCCCGAAGCAGACGAACTTGTGCGGCGGCGGCGACGCAGCGCGGGCACAGCGGTGCACAGGCCTATTACGTGACCAGTGGCGGCTCCCGTGGGTGCCAACTACAAATTCGTTTTGGCCGTAAATATAGCTCAAAACGTTTTTTTCTTGGTTGTATATTCGATTTATAATATTCTTTTTCCATCTAGCCTGTTTAAAAAAAAAGTTTATTTCCTTTGCATGTTTCCTTTAAGCACTTTTGCATGTATATCTTAACTGAAACAACCAATCCTCTACAATTCAGTTTTATTTGACTAAGGCAAATAAGTTTTCCTCGAAAACATAGTTTGCATTCACTCAGTCCTCCTTTCTAGACAAACAGTCAACATTCGAAGAAAGTATAAAGTTTTAGGAAAGCCAGCTACTACGTTAAAAGAAAAATCCCAGTGCATTTACACTACTGCCTAACGTGTGCCACAGCGGCAGCGGCTAGGCACTAGCGTAATCCGACATCATTGTGGTATCATTGCCGTTTCTGTGCGTCCTCCTGAGCGGGAATCCAAGAATTTTTACCTCAGTTTAGTTTCCACTCTCAATTCCACTCCCAAGCGTATCCGTACTCCATCTACGACAACCCTCCTCAGCGTGCCGTATCTGGAAGCTTTGGACTCGATACCAACTTTTCGAGATCTAGCCATACAGCATGCAAGTTTGTCTGCTCAGTGCGCCGGCACATTGGGGTTTACGTTGCACCTCCTGTCAAAGTGAGAATGGCCTCTCTTTCGAGTGCCTGGCCTCCACCCCTCTCTCGCCGCTTTTTTTCGAACGCCTGACCTTTTGCCCACGCTCTTTGCTTTTTGACGCATACTTTTGCTATTTATGCATGCTCGAGGTACGGGGAGCTTTCGCGAAGAACGACCACGTAACTGCTCGGGGAGGTTCTCACTAACAGTTGTCATTGTAAAAGCAGATCATACCGTAGTCTTATCTTTCCGATAAAAAAAAACCAAAAACAAGACACAATATAAAAATTCTCTAACTCACGAGGCTGGGCACTGGACAGCCGATTGACAGTACATCTCTTGATGCCATATATAAAGACTACTTATTGTCTTGTGCCAACAGAACGGGAAAAAGGCAGACAAAGGACAAACACAAATCTCCAAACAGCGCTAGGTGACTGGTGCATGCTGAAAAAACCCACCTGGTCCTGGTATCGAACCAGAGACCTCTCCATTTCCAGTGGAGCGCTCTACCAGCTAACCAGGAGTTAGATGTCAGTAGAGCAGACGGCTTTTATCAGCTGCCACCAAACTAACACCAACAAGGGTGAACGGCCTGCATTTTTTAAGGTTATGATTTTAACGCAATAAATGCAAAGGTGCAGGCAAGCTGTACAGAATAAACAATGATAATCCCTGAAGAAGGAGAACAAAGGGGACAAAGGACAAACGGAAATCTCCAAACACCGCTAGGTGACTGGTGCGTGCTCAAAAATCGAATCCCTGGTTCGACACCAAGACCAGGCAGATTTTTTCAGTGCGCACCAGTCACCTTAAAGGAGCTGTGCAACGATATTCAATTGGAATGTTTTTCTCTCTACACGAGCTTACTGGCACACCTGGGGCTCAAGGATGCTCACACGCAACGCCATTGGCCAAGAAACTCCTTTGTTGCGGTGTAATTTCAAGGACAAAATCGATCATTTTCATTCAATCTCTCCTTTGCAAAATTTGATGACGTCACTCGGGGATCGCAGTACACCCAAGTGACGATATTTGAATGCGGCTCATAGATTGGACCCGAGCATTGCGTGGGCACTCGATTTGGGCTCGTGACAATTGCTAGCTCGAGAAGCATTCGGGTTGTGACCCGTGTCCAATCGCTGCAACGACGACAACAGCCGAGCCATAACAATGTCTGGAACTCAGCGCGTGTCCTGCGCTTTGCCAACCCCAGCGCGTGGCTATGATCAACACTGGCGGCATATAATCGGCTCCAGATCACGTGGCCGCTTGTTCTGGCTGCGAGTTGAGGGGGTGAACGCTGCTCGTTTTTCTTAAATTTTTTTTCTGGGACTTCTGTTGCGTGGGGTGAAAAACGAACGCGTGTTTCATAGGTCATTAACGTTAGGGATCCGTTTTAAGCGGTATTTGCGCAAAGTACAAAAATTGTTGCATAGCTCCTTTAATTGCATTAAAATGAAGAAAAGGGGTACTTGGCCATTTTTTTGTGATCTCATATTTCCGTCAAATTTGGCGGAACCATACCAACAAACACGGCCCAGTTTGTAATACAAATATTATGAAATAGTAACTGCATTTTCACAAAGTTATTTAGTCTCCAATTTTGGTCCTCACCATTTTTCAAACAGGAAGAATCTGCTGGCAACACCAATACAGTGACTACAGGTGACTGTATTTAGACAGTAGAGCCTAATCTCAACCGACTGCAGAAAGCTTGAGGGTGCGAAACGAACGTGTGACATACCATCTTGTAGACTGCCTGTCTGCCAGTGACGTAACTTTTTTGCCGGCATTTTTTACTCGTATTCAACCGTACTCTGTTTCGCAATTCGGCAACTTCTGGCTTTGATGCTGATTTGGTCAACCCAGTCAAGTTAAAAAAACATCCAAGCTACCGACCAAATTCCGGCAACCGTACCGTCCCTGGAACGCGTCTTCCACCGGCATGTCTACCGTCGTATTACGTGGCAACAAATCATGTTAGCCGCCGCATCACGCCGCCAGGCATCGAGATCCCAATGAAATAGGCAAGACGATGCAAGGGCCGCCATCATTGCAGCGTCCGCCGGGCACCGGTACTCGCCTCTGCTTTGACTTCTGTCGACTGTCGAGCCGACAGCAACCTACGGCAAATGGGCATCTACCAGCATTCACCTCCGCTGTTGTGCCACAGTCATAGTGAAATTAAAACTTCCGAGGACATCTAAGCACTTCTTACGAGTTGTGAATGCGAAAGCATTAATGTCCAATTTAAAGCTGCTGAGTGCTGGCGTGGACAGCCACGTTTCGCTACTGCTGAGGTTGCGGCCGCCGCCGATAAAATGCCTCAGCCGCAACGATGTTCCTCGGCGTCGAGAGGAGCAGAAGAGGACACAGTGCCGGCAGGGAGTGTGGCGTCGCGCCTAGCAGACAGCAAGATGGAGCGAAGCATAATCATGGCGGGCAAACACGCAACACTTTTACGATGTCATCGGGCGAAGGCTGGGGGACCACTATCGAGGAGAAGGTAAACGCACCGGCTGAAGACTCGGCCCGGCCGCCGAGGCATTAGCAATGCTGCTGCTCACCCTGAGGAGGGGGCCCTGCGGCCCCGACGTGGTGGCCAGGAGGAGCCGTACCCGCTGCTCGGAGTACGTGTGCAGGCTGGACAGGGCCTGGCCGGCCTCCGGCAGCAGCTCGGCCAGCTGGCACAGCAGTGCCCGCACCCCGCTCTCCTGGGCCCCCGTCGTTACGGGGACGTCCAGGCCACACGCGCGGCCATCCCCTGGGCAGACGCGCCGCCCCTCGGTTTTAGACACACTAAAATGGAAGTGGGCAGCGGGTAACCGGATGACCCGTTACCCGCTTCATGTTATGCCGGGGGTTCTCAAATTTTTTAATCCCGAGGAGCCCCCGGTTTGACTCAAATGGCAGCTGAGGAGTCCCTCCCGGTCTCGGTATTGACCCGTTAAAGCGGTGCGGGAGATTACGGACCTTGTAAACAATGATACGCACACTAGGCAGTGTTGGGCCTCTAGCTATGCATTGGTGGGTGGCTCAGGCCATCTAAAACGGTGTTTAAACTGGGAAAGGGCTTTGTTTAGAAGCGAGACAGTTGAGAAAATTCGGGACCTCCGGAAAGCCACGAAGGTACACTGGGGAGCGATCCTAAAACCCGGTTCGAGAACCCACGCATTACACATTCGTGTATCGTTGATATGGACCCCCTTTCTATGGACAATGCTGCCAAAGCCATGCCTCAATAATATGGACACCTCCATTCACTATAAAGTTTGTTCCAAATGTGAGTTGTCGATAATAATGAAACAAAAATTTATGTACAGTAAAACCTCGTTATAACAAAACGGGATATAACAAACTAATGGATATAACAAAGCAATCATAATTCCCCTTGCTTGCTAATAGTGGGGAGAAATGGACATTGGCTATAACAAACTAATGGTTATAACGAAATAATTACGACCGCTCCTTCAACTTTGTTATAACGAGGTTTTACTGTATTTACTCATTCGTCCACGAACAATTTCTATATACAGTCAAACCTGATTATATCGAAAATGGGTACAGTGAAACTCGTTTAGAACGAACCCACATACAGCGAGTTATTGTCGATATCGAACTCACAAAAAATTTAAATCAAAACGTATGTAAAAAGTACTTTTTATAACGAACAACATATTGGCTATATCGAACTTTTTTCCCCTGGGAAGGCTTCCAAAAACGCGCAAACAATCGTCTTTCAGCCAATGCCTTCACCCGAAAAAGTGTAGGAAAGAAAAAAAATTCCAAAAGCTTGAGCTGTTAACAAAGATAAGCGAAGAAAAGCGATTCCGAAGGGGCACAGAAAAAAAAAATCTTTTAAGTGCAAAGCAGTTGCTTACCAAGAAAAGCAATTAAAAAACGGAGATAAGCTAAAAAAAAATATCTTTCTAGCGCGTTGTTTCAAGGCGGAAGCGAAGAGATGAGAAAGAAAGAGAAGTTCTCGCCTCCTCTCCCTTCGCCCTGTTTCACTTAAAGACCGACGACCAGTTCGCGCTTTCCACTTTTCGCCGGCTTCCTCCTCTCCCTCCTACCCTTTCCACCCACGCCCGCCCCTCTTGGTCCCTTCTTTCCATCCTTCGCTTCCCTCGCCCGAAGGCGTGGAGAGGAGGGTTTTGTGGCTTGCAGAATCTTGAGTCCGGTCGTCGGCCTTTAAAGTCACTTTAGTTTGACCTAGGGGGCTTTCATGTCCCGCCGAGGAGAACTTGAAGGCACTCTAGTTTGACCCTCCTCACCTTGCGCATTCACTTGGGGCTTGACACGCCACGCCCCAAGAGGCAATAAGCCTATCGCGTTTCAAATTCCATAGCATTGTCACATCCCGTTGAAAGCGTCAACCACCAGGCAAAGCTCTCTCTCTCTCGTTCCCTCCTTTCTTCTCAATAATTTAGTCGTCGTTTGTTGTCGTCTTTCTTGTCCCCATTGCACTTTTTGTTCACTGTGTGGGCCAGCTAGTTCGCGCCCGAAATGACGACAAAGCAGCAGCAAGCTTTGCCACTTTCCGACAAGGTCGACATCATAAGTCGTGTGGAGCACGGCGAAAGAAATCGGACATTGCCGCCGCCTACAAGATCCCCAGAAGTATGCTGAGTACAATTCTTAAAAACAAGTCTGCCATCCGAGACAAGGCCAGTGAACGGCCAAGTGCGGACAGCAGGCGCATCCGCAAGCCAGCGTACGACAAGGTGGAAAAAGCGCTGTACCAATGGTTTTTGGACATTGTGCGTGGAACCTGCCGGTCTCCGGACCGATGTTGCAAAGCAAGGCTAGAGATTTTGCACCCCTCCTGAACGTTGAGAACTTCACCGCTGGATCTTGGTGGCTGCAGCGATTTAAAGATCAATGTTTAATCGTCGGGAAAGTCGTAGCTGGGTTTTGTAAATGGGTTTTGCTATATCGAACTACTTGCTATATTGAACTGATCGTAGCGTTTCCTGCTGTTCGTTATAAACGGGTTTTACTGTATATAAAATTATTGCCTATATCGAACCTTCATAAAATTCTGATGAAAATTCCCTGCATTTTAAGCTTTTTACATTCAACGTTATTGGACTCGTACAGTTGAACCCGGATATATTGAATTCAGAGGGGATCGTAAAATAGTTCGATGTATCGATAATTTGATATACAAAAATATGTATACCAAAGGCCGCGAGGAACTCGACCTTACCAAATAGAGCCTCTATAAGAGCCACTAAATAGTACAGCAGAGCTTAGTTGGTGAAGATCACAAACACCGCCACGTTTAGACGATGGTATTTGCGATCGTTTACACCTGGTCACGACCTCCACACAGCGCCAGCAACAAAACATGAAAATAATTTTAAAAAATGGAAGAACGGAAAAAGCAAGCCGCATAAAAAAATTTCTTGATCCATAAAATAAAGTTAAGCAAGAAACGAAGAAACCTCATAAAATCAGGCAAAAAAGGAAATGCTAAAAAAAAGAAAGAACGGGCAAAGCAAAAACAGCGAAAGAAAAAGGTAAACAAAGATAAGGCATCCAAAGTGTGACTGTTCAACCGTTGTTGTCAACACACTCAATTTAACGAAGATTTTTTTTTTGTTGCTTATTTCATTTAGGGGTTAAGGAGTCGCGCAGCGGCAGTGGTGTTCGGGGAAAGAGCGCACGCTGCAGTTCAAACAGCAGGCCCTCCCTGTCCTCCCTATGCATGCTCGTGCACCCCTTAATTTTGCCATCCTCCACTTTTTCTTTTTCCTTTTTACAGCCGTTTTTTTTGCTGCGTATCCTCGTGCTCGTATGCTGGCTTGGCGGTCAGCCTGCCCCACAATGCAAACTATGTGCTCGCCGCCAGCGCAATCCGACTGCGGGAGAAGCGACGGACTGCCCTGCTTTGTTCGCTATATAGAGCGTCCCCGCCATGGGAGTTCAATACAGAAAAGGGGATGTTTGGACTGTTCAATATAAACAATAATTCCAAATACCCGGGAGATATATAACCAAGCTTGACTGTAATGAATATATCAAACTCTTATACGCCGTTTTAGCCCCGTTGTGTGCTCTTCTTACCGAGCACCGGTGCACTGCGGAGAAGCAACGCCCGCGGAAGCAAGCTCCGCGGGTGTTGTTTCTCCGCAACGTGCTGGTGCTCGTAACAAAACACACTCAACGGGGCTAAAACACCACGATCAACACTTGGAAGAATATGAATATCGCAGTGAAGCTCGAAGCAAATATTGAATAGCATATTATTCGAAACTACTAATAGAAAATTCAAATATTCGCACAACCCGAGTCCATATTAATAGGATGTGACTGTACAGACAGTTACATGTTTTTGGTAAATAACAACAAACTGCCAGAATTAGCCCCCCAAGATGGTTTTCTCACCAGTTGGGGAAACCCAAAAAGCTCCTAATAGGAGCTATCCTCAAATAAAAGAACTTAAGCTGCATGGAAAGAAATATTTATCTACAGATTTAATTTGTCATAACTGAGCTGTATACCAGGCTGCTGCTTTCTTCAGAAATCACATCCCTTGTCTTGACATCTTGTCCTGCCTGTGCCGGGACGTCTTCCAAGTGTACACAAGCTTAATATTTAACTCAAACAAAATTGTAAAAAAAAAGAATGGGATGAGGGCTACATTGGCACTGTCTTTTGATAAGAAAATAACATTCATGATAAGTTGGATAGTTAACTAAAAATCTGTTATTTTACTTTTTTTATTACTGGATTTATGAGTAATGTTGAAGCTGTACTAATCATGGCAATTATCATTTTAAAGAATATATAAAAAGGCACTTGTTTTTTATATATATATTTGCACCCCAGTTTTAGTGCATTTCCACCCATCTCCAAAAGTGCATGCCAAAAGAGGACAGCAAAAGAGTGCTCAATGATGCTTGGAAGAGTGATCTATTGGTTTCAGTCACGGTAACGTCACCACTATCACAGTGGTCTGAGGTCAATCCATTTACCTATGATCCGATGCCGGGATAGTGACAATCTGATTTAAACCATTATGTCACTCTTGACTGCAACCAGAGATAGTAATGTTCTTTTTGCACGCAATTTTGAAATCAAGCTAAAAATAGACAAACCGAATTATTATTATTTTTTAAAATAAATGCCTTTTCACAATTTTTTTTTACATTGGTCCATTCTCTAATATTAATTACCATCAATGCTGCAACAGGTGACCAGCGTTTCGCAGCAGCCGCAAAGCACTATGGTATCATTCACTTCCGGTTCGTAGCTCGCAGCCGACGCACCACCATGGCGGTTATCGAAGCGTGTGCGGGTGTTGAACCCGATCAATTTGAGCCACCTACATCTGCTGCTGGGTGAGTTACAAATTTCTGATCGTCTGAAGTTACTTCTACGGATATGTTAAAAAGGAATCAGTACACCAAAGCATCGAGAACGGCCATGAAAGCGCGGAGCGAGTGCGATTAGCGACAAGCTCCACTGACACCACGCTTTCTGGATAGTCGCATGAAAATTCAAGCTAGGTTAGCTATTTTGTTTTCCTTTTGAGCCAGCGTTTTTCATTGGGTTTTGTTTATTTCTAATGGTAACATTAAATCCCGTCACCAACTGAAATAGGTATGAACGTAAGCCGCGGGACGCGGCTAGCTGAAATGCCCGATCAGTGCTTTGACATACTTTTCTCATTTTGTTCAAACACCTGAGACTGGGGGTTAAAATCTTGAAACAACCAAAACTTGACGAGACAGGGAAAGAAGTGTGTCAGACGACGACTCAAAATCAGCTAATACAGTTTCTCGAGTGATCAAAACGCCACTTCCGTACAAAAGTTCATTCCGACGACATCGGACTACGCGAGAACCCTTGCTTTTAAACACTCAAGTGTTTTTTGTGCCTCAAAAAAAAATTGGGTTGTGTGTGTGTTTATACAGCCTAGAACTTGGTCTGCCTCATAGGGGCGACGAGTCTCCCAGCTGTAGATGAGAAATTTAGCCAGTGCGGTACAACCGCTAGCCTGGGGTCTTTAACGCGCACCACGCAGTAGTGATACACGACCGCACGCCGGTACGATGCTCATCCAGATCGAAACGGGCAGGGGTGGAGCTCGAACCCAGGATCCCTGGGTTCTGCAGCGCGAGCTTTCGCTCCACGTGCTCCGAGCTGGTGTGCGCTAGACCACTCGGCCACCGATCCCCCCCCCCTTTTTTTTTTTTTTGTGCCTCACTTAAGTTGACCATCGTGTAGTGCCATGACACACCCCCCGCACATTTTTTTAACAATGTCGAGTAAGAAAGCATGTATAAACAAACACTGATTTTGATATTTGCTACTCAGAGTCGTACTAGCGCTTTATTATCAGTCAAGATGTAGGTGCTGCCTGCTGGCTTTTATTATAGCAAGCTGAGCAGTCCTCTTGTTTATTTATATCAGTGGTTCTCAACCACTCATGTTTGGCAGACCCCTTGTGGATCGGACGAAATGAAGAAGGACCCCTTTTGTTGTGACGGGAAAGGAAGATATAGCTTAATTATGATAATGATTTAATGAATAGATATCGTCACGGATGACAAGTGACGAGGCGGCGAGTGACTGAGTAAACTGAACGTTTAATGGGGCGAACTTGTGCCCAAAAATAAAAGGAAAAAACGAAAGATAACAACAGAGCGTCGCGGACGTCGAAGGCGGTGAAGCAGCAAGATCGAACGCTGAGGCGAAACTAACTCGACAAGGTTGCGGGTGGCCTCTTATCTAGAGTGAGTCACTATCTCGAAGATTCGACGAAAAAGGTTCGAGCAAAGCGCACTCGGGTCGAGAATGAACACGCGCTTTCTAGAACAACAAAAGCAGGGATGAACGATAGAAGGTATGTCCGCAGCAAGAATAAACAAGAATCTTCTACAAGTCTGTGACCCTGCGCGCGGCAATATCACTAAAGGCTACTTTGAAGTAGACTTCTCTCACTGACATACACACGAGAAAATTCACCCGAAAATTAGAGCATTCCTTCTCAATCCAAAAAATACAACTTTTTTTGCCGGGCTTCACTGATGAGACAGGGCTTTGCGGACCCCTATTTGAGAACCGCTGATTTGTATTACAAAGTCACCCGTTCACGCCGCTTCGCTGCAACAGCCTGCAATGGCTCACTACAAAAAAAAAAGTCAATTTGAGCTGTTGATGTAATGATTCAACGGTCTGTCAATGAAACTATCTGTCGACGAAACGTCGTGCGATGAACTGACTGCCTGCGAGATCAAATCCCGCAATCTCGCGGATGCCTTGCACGACAAGCAGTGCTCACCCCTTTGCGGATTAGTCGAGGCCTTTTTCTTGGCGCCGAGAGGCTCTGTTAGACATCATTATTTCCCGCGGCCCCTACCTGAAGAAAGAGAGAACACGTTGTGCTGGCTTGTAACAAAATTGGCCGTGCATAAACGGTCACCGATGCTTGGCTGCTGCAGGTCACCTCGCTCCGTCACTCACTTAACAGCAATGGCCCATCGCTGCTTCCATACTATGTTCCACAAGAACCGGAACCTCTTGTGCCCTTCATGGCTTGCATTAGAACGACGCACCGCGGAGCAGTGAACCATTTTCATTGTGAATACAGTACGGCTATCACGCATAAAAGGGTTCTCGATGCAGATGGACGAACCACGGCCGGCACCGGACGAACCGGAAGCATCAAGTCACGTGTCGCCTCGCTTTGGATGACGGAACTTCTGACTCAAACGCCGGTCACCTATTGCAAATTTGTATATAAATCCAATAGTTATAAAGCTAATTCATATATTTTGGTTATTTAGCCAACTTATTGTGAAGATAATTCTTTTATTTAATGTCTGTTGAGCTTCATAAATACATAATAAAGACGCCACTCATGTAACTCTCGCCCCCTTCTTTTAAAGAATCTGTTCAAATTAAAATCAAACACCCTGTACACTTGGGTCATGGGCATGTTCCTTGGAGGTTGGTCAATTCTATTCACACGCCCTATTTTCCTTGACAAACAGTCTCGATGAACGGCAATTTTTTGTTAGACACCTAAACTTCACAACACCAGAAAACAGTAAATCTTAAGGAAAAAAAACAAAAATTTTAATAAAAAAAAATCCCCAAAACATTGAAGCTCAATTACACAAAGGGCTCCATGTTTTTAGCAGATGGCCCCCTTATCCTGATTCCATTATTGGGTGACTCCAAGGTGTTTCCTCGCTTTATCTTCATTAGCAGACAACGTTTTGTAAAGAATAAAAACCAATTTTTCACCCGTGTTGGCAGACGGAAGTGTCGACCAAAAACATCTTCGCTCGCTCCTAATTAGATCTCGCTCTAGCTCTTCTGGTGACCATAATCAGATTTTGGATGAAGCAGCACTGCAGATGACGTCACCCCAGACATCGATCCTCAAGCCTGCCTCAAGTTGATCCCGGGTACGAGTAGGGCGGGAGTCCTCAAACTTTTTTTATCTCGGGGAACGCCTATCTGCGCCGAACAGCCGCTGAGGATCCTCTCCCGCCCTCGGTGTTGATGAAGTAAAGCAGTGCAGATGCCTACAGACCTTGTAAGCAAGAACCCAAACACAGGAGTGTTTGGCTCATAGCTACGCATCAATGGGTGGCTTAGATCTGCTAAAAAGGCGCTTAAACTCGGAAAACACTTCACTTCAGAGCAGGGACGGTTGAAGGAAGGTTTGGGGTTTGGGGAACCCAAGAGTCTGGGAAATCCTCGTGTTCCTAGGAGTCCGAAGGTATGACCCACCCGAGTCCTTGAAGAGCACCGTCTGCTCGATGGTCCGGGTGGCAGCTCTCAGCCTGGTGCCCAGGTTCTGCTTCACGTCCCTCAGCTCCGCCTCGCTGCAATTGAGAGCGGCCGTGACCCTCTCCACTGCAGTGCCCACAACGCATCCCCAACCGGTGTGTTCGGTGCCCCTCATGTGGAATAGGAAGCCTAGTTCAGGTGGTCCCCAACTGGCAACAAATGACGTCGCGCAAGCCGTGGTGTCATGCCGTCGGATGTCGCGATCTCGACGGTTGGGTGTAGGAGTCCCGGCAAAAAGCATGAGCAAATGCGAGTGCCCCTGTCGTCATGGCTGCCAAAGCTTCCGTGAACTGTCGTGACACCACCAGGATCGCGGCCAGCACCAGCGTGACACTTTTATGACACCATCATGCGGAAATCAAGGGACCACCTTTTGGACACGGTAAACACTCCAGTTGGGGACGCGATCCACTCACCGTACCCCCGTCACCTGCCGCGCACCCGGTTGCATGCACCCACCTCATCTCATTCCTCAGCGACACGTCCTTCAGCTCCTTCTCGCAAGACTTGAGCTTCAGCTGCCCAGAGAAAAAGAGGGAGGCATTCAGCGAGCGTTCAGCACGGTCCAGCAAAATGTAATTGAGAAATGTAGAGGAAAGACGCACGAAAGCATTAAACCTAATTTAGCGGCGGTGGTACGGCTTAGCGGGTGTTTAGCATTCTTTGCCTAACATTTGTCGAGGCTGAAGCATCCCTTAGCGAGTTTTGTGATGGCTTAACAAATGTCTAACACTATTTACTTAACCATTTTGCAGTTGGGTTTTTTTCCCAAAGGATAGAACAAAGAAAGAATCAATGCACAGGGTTTCTTCCAATTATTTAATAGTAGCACGGACATTACTCGCAAACTGTCCAGATTCAGAAGCACCAAATGGAAATATTTAGGGGGAATTGTTGTCGCCTTTCTTCTATTCAGTTTCGTTCTGACAAGCATGCTTCAGCGACATTCTGGCAGTCTGTCTCCAAGCCGGGGGTGCTTTATGAAGCACTTAACTCGAATAATGAGCTCTCATCTTTCGAGTTAAATACTGGGAAGCGTTGGAAGTCCGGATCGGAAGAGCCAGCACTCCGATTGCCACTACCGCAAGACCAGCCGACACACAAAGCGACCATTTTGCGCACATTCTATGCACGAGGCGTCTAATTTCAAAACCATAAATAGCCCCAGCAAGGCGAAACAGGGTGTGAAAACAATACGAAATACCGTTTTCATGTGGGAAGGTGTATCTGGGACAATCTAGAAGGTGCATCAATGTGAGACTCAGGGAACATGCACTTTCTCTAAACTCAACGCCAGCGGGCCATCTTGCTGTGCATGTGAGAGATTGCGGGTGCACACCAAGGTTTTCTGAGACCAAGGTACTTAAACATTTTAAGGAACAAAAAACTAGAGAGGTGTACGAGGCGTGCAAGATCGCAAATAAGGGCCTAGCCTGTATAAGTACGCCTTCGATTGCTCTGACGGCGAAAGAACTCCAATTTTTGAATTTTAGTCCCTAAATTATTTTTTTCTTCCTGTTTTCTTCTTCTCTTTTTTTCCTTCTTCTCAATTTTCATTTCTGTGGAAGCCAACTCCCTTGGGATCACCGTCGACATTGTGGTTCTCCTTCTCTTTCACTACATCATTATTAAAACCTCAGTTGTGAGTCAGCGCTCTTTCCTTCCTGTTGTCTCTTCCTTACGTAACTTATTTGCGCTGTTTAAGTCAAGGTGTTTATAGTTGCACAGAGACATAACAAATAGCAGCACCTCCGGAAATGTGCAGTTTCGCGTTTAGGCGAGAACTTTCACCATACAAGTATGGCAGCGACTGTCAGTGATTTAGTGTGGAATAGGAAGTGTTTAGAAAGGTCTAGGCCAAGGGTCGGCAACCTTTTCCAGTGACAGGCCAAGTCGTCACAAAGATGTGGAGGGCCCGGACGGCAAGTCGAGAAGACCGGGGGGGGGGGGGGGGGGTGAAGATGTTCTCTGCACATGCAGGGGAATGCTGGACAATGCCAATGGGAAACACTCCTTGGTCATGTCGAATCCCATTTGTGGTCCTAAGTTCCTTGTGATTCTTCGGTCTGTGAGGAAGCTGCAGGGGGGAAGGGGGAGGCCTTTTTCTGGGGTCACACTGGGGGCTGCATGAAACTGCTCCATGTGTTGACGACCCCTGGTCTAGGCTGTTGGTGTCAAGAAAACACGTACAAAGCCTTTAACGTAATTTAGCGGTGGCAGTGCAGCGTAGCAGGTGCTTGGCAATCTTTAATTAGCCTTTAACGAGCTCGAAGCATCCTTTAGCAGGTTCATGTGATGGCTTAATTAACAAAATTTTAACATAACTTAACATCCAGCATGGTTTAGCAGTTGTTGAACACAGTTTAAGCTGTTTAAGTGACCTAGAATGGTGCAAGAATAGTTTTTAGGCTATGTATAGCAAGCATTGAATATGGCTTATAGGATTGTGCAGATTATTCTAATTTTCAAATAGAATAGTAGTTTCAAATAGCAGGCTATGCACTTCAAGGTTAACTGAGATATTTATATTCTTGTGCCATCTTCTTTTTAGTTTAGGTGCTTTAAGGCCTGTTCACACACTCTGAACCGAGTCTGACCGAGAGAGACAAGACCTGCTGAAACCTCTTAAAATTTTTTGGGACGAGAGAACACACTGGCATGCTGTTCCAAGAGGTCGCAAGTGTGGGAACAAGCCTTTATTGTGTCAAGTTAGCCCTGTTGAGAGCGCTTCTTATAGAGCACCGGTGCACTGCGGTGAAGCAACACCTGCTGAGTAGGCAGGGGCGAATAGAAGATTTTGGGTCCAAATCAAATTTGAAGCAAATAGGGATTTTGGCCGAATAATTTTGAATTGAATAGTTCGAATAGTGTGAACAACAAATACCACAAGATATGTTTAAACTATAGTTTTATATTTTTCCTTATTAGGTATTAGAAGTACTGTAATTGTTAATTTCAAGTGCACTGATTTCGGGAGTACGAAATGGTCAAAATGGTCGGAAGCTTGCGCCACCCGGCCGGAAATCCAAGCCAGAGTAAGTCAAACCCGTTTCTATCGAACTCACAAAAAAACATCTACCAGTTCATATAGCTGGTAATTTGATATGGAAGTTTTAATGAATATGACTCTCAAAAATCCACTTTCTGCTGAAATATTACACAATGAAGTAGTCTTGCATCTTCTGCTGCTTTTTCTTCATTGCATCCGCGATAACAATATTTTTCTGCGCTATCGACGGACTCCAAAATGCTGAGGCCACTGCCTTCTATATTCGCGTATCGATATTGTCGAATACTTAAATTCGATTCGAAGCGAATGACGAATAGAAAAGAATTCGATTGGCTATTCGTAATAACCGAATATTCGCCCATCTTTACTGCTGAGCTCACTTCTGCAGGTGTTGCTCCCTTGCAGTGGACCAGTGCTAGGTAAGAAGTGCACTCAATGTGGCTAAGACACTGTGATCAACGCTTCAAAAAGTACTAATATTGCAGCCGTGTGCTTAGGAGGATAGCTCACAACTGAGAGGTGCAAGTGCACTCCTGGTGTATTTAAATAGAAACGGGAACTTTGGGAATGTTGACATCCACATTGCAGTAAAATTTTCAAAATTAATTAAGGGGGGACATGGGTCTTCGGAGCCAAAAACGTCCTAGAACTGAATTCTTTTGAAAATGGCGATGGCTGTTGTTCTTCTGAATTTACCAGGCTTCTAATTTTGTGGATGAATATCTGGGCTATAAATCAATTAATAATGCCTATCTGGGCTGAATGTGTATTGAAGTTGATTCTGAAACATTGTTTTCAGAAGACACAATTTTTGGACTCGTTGAAAACTTGCAGGAGGGATATCTAAGCATCCAGAGCAGATAGAAATATAACCTTTCCTGAAATGTGTAGCTAAGTGTGTGAAGCATACAATGTTGAGAGCAGATTTTCTAATATAAGTCTAGAAGTTTTTCTATTTGATTTTTTGTTTTATTAATTGTTAGCTATGCATTGAGTCCTGAACTTTAATGTGAGGTAAAATCACTAATAGTGGCTTTATCTTAAAAGTACTTCCAACATTGTATGTTGTGCACTTTGTAGTATCTAGCCATGTGTTAGAAAGGATATATTGTTGAGCAGTTTTTTTCCTATCATTCCTCTAAACAAAGGCAGGCAAGTTTTAATTACCTTGAGGACAATCCTACGTACTGAGGAAATGACCAGATATATGAAATCAGCACAAAATGCTGAACAAGCTTGTGCAGTTTCGTTGGGTTTGGTCATAGAATAAGAAAAAAAGCTCCAAGACCAGGTATTATGCGTGAGTATATGTTAGGCAAAGATTTCCTGACAACCTGCATTGATCGTTCATGGCTGAAGGAAAGATATTTGGACATAGAATGAATATTTATAAATCCCCTCGATTAGGTGCAGCTAGGCTTCCTTGCAGGCTCAATTTTGTATAAAATGTGCGTTGACTTGCCATCCCAATGTAGGCAATGGGCTCTCCGAGACAACAGTCGATAAATACAGTTATTTATCTATTGCTGGCATGGTGCAATCGTGAAAGGTTCAAAGAAATTATCCTATATTTGATTTGAAAATATTCGGGCAAAACCACCGTTCGCTCGGAATTCGGTTCGAACTCGAAATCTACTCTTCGCATGTGTCTACCAAGTGCGAAACAAGATTTCATATAAATTCGGGATTATTTATAAGTATGTCTTTGCTACGTTTAGAATGATTCAGCAAACGACGAACCAGATATGGCAAGTTTCCAAAAAAAGTTCAGAAAATGCTCGGCAAGTCTGCGGCATGGTTTACAGGGTGTCTAGCATGACAAAGCAAGTACTACGGTCGGAGAGAGAAGGAACGCACCTCCAGCCTTGCCCGCTCCTGGGTGAGCCTGGAGATGGTCTCTTCCTGGAGCGACAGGGTCTGGCTCAGTTGTCCCTCCCGGGCATTCACTGCCCGTCTCGCCTGCTCCAGCTCCTCCTCCAGACGCTCCACCGTCCGACGGTGCTCAAACTCCGCAGACGACACCTGCGTGGAGGGCCGCCCTTCAATTCAGTTTTATTTCCAACACGGTGTCGGGGGTCCCCAGTGAAAAGCAGACGGCAAGAGTGTCCAGAAACTGTGCGAGCAGCACGCAGCTTAAGCTCCTAGGCTGTCCTACACAGCACCAACTATTTTGTGCTACACTGTCAAGGCCAGCGTCGCTTCCAGAGTGCTCTTGCCCCAAAGCGCTGCAGCCCCACGCTGAAGCAAGAGCATGAGCTCCCTTTTGAAATTGATTTGCACATGCGGGAATGAGATGCCAAACGAAGTCGCATGCTCGCACGAGTTGCTTTGGCAGCGCTGGAACAATTTAGCGGGGAAACAGAATTGTCGTGTTGCTCACGTGACATGGGGTGACGTGACATCGATTTCCCCCGCCATATTTAGCGGGGAAACGAAACTGGTGTATAGGTCACGTGACGTCAGTCTCCCCGCTAAATTTAGCAGAAAATGCAGACGGATGGACGGACAAATATTTGGGATTAGGGGTTGTGTTAAAAAGCATTTCATGCCTCAAAAACAGGAAAAGCGAGCATTCTGCAGAGAGTGAGTTCACAACAACAAAAAAAGAATCAATGCAAGTAGTGTGCCCTTTCCCGACATCCCCTGTAGACCCTAAGGCCTTGAGTCTCAGGGCGGTGGTATTGTCACGAATACAATGACCAGACAAATGTAAAACTAAAAACAAAAGCTTAATCAGGCAATCTTGCTGACAAGATTAGAATAAGAAAGGTACCGAGCAAACTGCGACAGTTTCTTTTGTACAGGTTTTGTTGTCAAGAACGACAGCAAAAAATAAAATGAAAAACTGCCCATCTCTCTGGTACCCTATATCCAAAAGGCACTCTAAATGATTATCAGTTATAAATCCTCTGTGATGTCAAGGTGTCACATGACGTCAAAGTGTCACATGACACAACAGCTTCCCAGGACGTCAATGTCACATGATGCCATGTTGTTACCCGTCAACTGTTAAAGGGGCACTGACACCATAAAAGGTTGCATCTTTTTTTAATGTCTAAAACAATGCAAGCAGTCGTCGTAGACACGCAAAGAAATACTGAAACAACAAAAAAATCTTTTCGCACATGCACCCTTTTATTTTTGTTGTTTTTCTCTCCCGCTCCTGAACTCCTCGCTTCTTTTGATTTGTGACGTCAAATATCATGAAATTTAGAAACTTTGTAGGCGACATTTCTATAACATTTAATAACGGCATTCGTAAAACATCTTTTTTAAAGCAATTGTGAACGCACTACGACCCTTCTTTTTGAAATACCGAAAATTGGAGTATGGTGGTGTGTCGCCTCCTGGATTTTTATCCTCCCTCAAAAAACATGGTGATGCACGACGCATGTATAGAAGGGGATGGCCGATGAGTCGGGGAATTGGATGGAATGGTATTTTTGAGGCACCCGACAACCTCTCAGACTTCGAAGAGGAAATCAACAAAAGGGCCAAAACAACTGGGCATCATAGTTTCGGTTGTGACTGTTCTCGGGCAGCCTTTCACGCAGAACCGGCGAGACGTGGTCCCTCACGTCGCTCACAAACGTCCACTTGCGCATTCTCTTTGACCTCACATTGTTTCAAAGAAGTTGAGACCGCTGAAAGGGCCCTAAAAAAACTTCAAACTCGAAAGCCAAGAATCGTCTGCTCACAGCGATAGGTGGCATGGCACGCATGGAGAAAACAATTTGTTTGTGCGACACCGGCGAACACGACACTTCGGGTCGCAGCGGCAACGGCGGTTTAGAGTGGAAGCGTGAAAGAAACTAGACTCGCAGGACGGCTCCATATTTGGTGTCACTGTACTGGCACAGACTGCACGAGAATTTCAAATTCGGCATTTGGGAAATTGCTTTCTTTTTTACTTTACAAACACTGAATTCCCAAGTTTCCAATTTTTTAAGGTAATGTCCAGGCATCGTTTTCAATTGTTTCGGATAATAAAAAAAAAAAAAGCCCGTACTTAGATTTGCCTTTGAATATGTACGCATGGGGAACGGTGTCCTTGTGGCAGGAAGTGGTTGCTTACGGTATCAAGCGCGCAGACACACAGCGCTCCATAGTGCGATGCAATAACAAAGAAGGGAGGGTTACAAGCTCGCCCTCGCCTGTCAGCTACGCGCATCCGATTCCCCATTCAGAGATGGACTTTGCTTTAGATTTTTCGGGAGCGGCGGGGACATGAGTGCAGCCGGTTTTTCCAATGCTGCGATGGTTCAAGCTGTTCCTAAAATAGGCCACCTCGGCCAAGCTCGACGCCATCACCGGACGGCGTCATGTGGGCTGCGCTTACTTTTGGTGAGCTGTAAGCGACAATAGTGCATTCTTATTGGTTCTTGACTGCGGTTGACTGCGTGTCAAAGCAAGTGCATGTGCAAGCTTGGCACAAATGCTCTTTGCAAAGATCTGCATCTGCATGCCACAACTGAGTGCATCATGCTCCAATGCAAATGTGGGTTTACATGTGATGTCAGATGAACAATGCAATGTCCTCAGCCTGACGTCACAACCCAGGCTACATCCCATGCATGGACAGGAAAATACAAGAGCATTTAAAACTAGGTTGGCGGGGGTTCAAGCCCCGTAGGGCATCCGCATGCACTGCCAACTTGGCCAGCGTCTGGCAGTGTGGCATCCGAGCCCTCGGCTCAGGCGTTACCAACCAGGAGTGGGGGTGAAGCCAGCGCTCACCTGCAGGTGCAGCTTCTCATTCTCCTCTATCCGACTCTGAAGCTCAGCATCAATGACGCCCTGGTGCACAGGGGAAGGTGCTGCCGCTTTCTTCTTCTGCAAGGGAAAGGGGACATGAAGGGGGCAGCTATGCCCACAAGCAATCTACGCTTCTGCCAAATCTAATCTAGTGCAAATATTCAAATTTTCAAAAAGTTGTTTCGAATAATACACTATTCGATGTTCACCCCGAGCTGAACTGCAACATTCTTATTTTCCAAGTCTCGATCGTGGTAAGTTAGTCCCGTTGAGTGCGCTTCTTGGCCAGCACCGGTGCACTGCGGAGAAGCAACACCCACAAAGCTCACTTTTGCAGGCGTTGCTTTTCCCCAGTGCACCGGTGCTCTGTGAGAAGCGCACTTAAAGAGATGCTGAACCGAACATTTCAGTGTCCATAATAAGTGGCGCACAATCTTTCCATGAGTCAGCAGCCGCCGGTGTGCGCGAGCACACAGAACGAAATTGATGTCATCATATCCCCCATTCACGCTTAATAAGCTTGAATGGGGGATATGATGACGTGTTTGCGCACACCGGCGGCTGCCGGCTCATGGAAAAAGAGTGCGCCACTTATTATGGACACTGAAATGTTTGGTTCAGCATCCCTTTGATGGGGCTAAAACGCCGCGATCAACACTTTGAAAAGTACAAACACTGCAGACACATGCTTAAGAGGAAAGCACACTTTCAAATCGGGATGGTGCACATGCATGTCTGCTGTATTTAAAAGGAAACGAAAACTTTGTGAATCTTGATATTAACATTGTAGTCAATTTTTTAAGATTACACTGGCTATTACGCATGAGTACTGTATGTTAGGCAGAGGTGCGCTGACAACCTGTGTTGATCATTCGTGACTGGAGAAAAGGTATTCTTATATTGCAAGAATATTTATAAATTCCCTTAATTAGGTATAGTTGGACATCTCATGGGTTTAATTTAATGTCAAATATGTCAACCCAATGTAGGCATTCAACTTTCTGAGGTCACGGTCCATAAATATAATTATAAAATTAATTTTGCTTAGAAATGGACAAGTGAAAACTTGTCCATTTCTACCCAGGTGACCTTCACGAGATCACCTGGGTTTTTGTTTAAGCATGGTGTAGTAGTAAAATGCTTTGAGAAACTATTCAATAGGAAAATACTTGGCCAAAACCACTATTCACTTCAAATTCAATATCCAGTATTTGTGCATGACTATCCAAATCCCCTATCTAGGCCAGGGGTTTTCAAACTTTTCAGTCTTGAGGAAAGCCCATCTCTCTTGGTTCATAGCCCAGGGACCCCTCCGGTATCAGTACCGATGCTACAAGGCAGTACAGAAGCTTACAGACCACAATGATATGCTCTAGAGAGAGTTTGGCAGATAGATGTGCAACAATGGATGGCTGAGACCATCTACGTTCATGCTTAACCAGAAGAACACTTTACTTAAGAGGCTGGGACGGTCGAAGAACTTTAGAAGCTCGAGGAACCTTCGAGGGCACTCTGGGGAACCCCAGGGTTCCTATGAACACAACTTGAGAACCCATGATACAGACTAAATTTTGAAAAAAGAGGCACCCAGTAAAGAAAAGAAACAAGATGAATGGCAAGAAAACAAAAGTCCCAAGTTTCAACAATGCCCCATCTGTTTTTTGCCTCATTCATACTTTGTGGATCCTTACCAATCTTGTCAACGTTTGTTGGCACTTATTTCTTGGTAGCCCAAGGTTGGCTTTTCTTTTTTTCTAAATGCTGATTATCCACTGCCCTTGCTCTGTAAGTATTCTACACGTCAAACATCTTGATCATCGGCGATCAAGGCTGCGAGAGCTTAGGAACAAGTACTAACCATAAATAGGTAACGAGGTACCTTTATTTCTTGACAACAGTACCTTAGCTGAGTGAGATGTAACTTGAACAAGTTTGTTCTGTGCAATTATTATTCTGGCACCTACAGTAAAAGGAGAAGCGTGTTATGAAGTTGAATTTATTACGTAATATCCCGAGTCATCGCCCACCTTCCTGCCGCCTGAAATTCATAAAACAAAAAGTGGGGTGGGCCATGTCTGGGTGGGTGAACACAAAAAGTTGAAAAAAGCGGAGAAAACTGCCCATCTTTCTCTGCGTATCTAGCGCTGCTGCACAAGAGATACATTAAACTCAGAACTCGATTTAGTTTTATCGTTTTATAGAAAAAATGCTCATGAAAGAATGTTTTACTATCGCAAAGTCTGTCGCTTGCATACGCGCTAGGAACACCACCGATCTGCAAACAGCGCGAACGTTTGTTCAGCGAGAGCACATCACCAATATGTTCTCCTAGTTAGTGAAAAAAAAAGAAAAAAGTCCACAAGAAAATAGAAAAACCAACCAGGCACAACAAGCGAGCGGACCAATGAAGCGACAAAGAGCGATGCTGGGAAAGCACAAAAGCCGGCGATCGCGTTGGCACATACTCTGGCATTGGGCTACGTGAGGCGCCTTATCAATCGCAAACGCAACTTTCTTGTTTGGTGCGTACATGCGTGGATCCGCGCCTGGTGTGCTATCAATGGGGGTTTTTAAACGCTCTACAAACGTCTGCGTTCCAGCAAAGCTTTATTTACTTGTCGGCTTTGCCTGAAACATTGCACAATTGCGGTCGCGACAGGAGGAGTGGGTTTGCGGCATACCTCAGCAAATTCATTCATGAACTCGCTCATTCACCTTCATTCACATTCACGACGTCAATCTGAATGGCTCTGAATGAATTCTTGAATTTGAAAAAAATCATGATGTGATGGTGAATGACTGAATTTTAATGAATTTGTGATGTGATGATGAATGACTTCGTGAATTTGAATGAATTTGTGATGTGATGGTGAATGAATTCGTGAATTTGAATGAATTCGTGATGTGGTGGTGATTGAAGTCGTGATGTGATGGTGAATGACTTCGTGAATTTGAATGAATTCGTGATGTGATGGAGAATGAAGTCGTGATGGTGAATGACTTTGTGAATTTGGATGAATTCGTGATGTGATGTTGAATGAAGTCGTGATGTGATGGTGAATGACTTTGTGAATTTGAATGAATTCGTGATGTGATGTTGAATGAAGTCGTTATGTGATGGTGAATGACTTCGTGAATTTGAATCAACTCGTGATGTGTTGTGATTGTGCAGGACTTTGTGAAGTAAATACAATTCATTGTGATGTAAACGACTCCATGAATTTATGACGTGATGGTGAAGGGCTCGTGAACACAATGAATTTGTGATGTGCGTGGCTTGCGAACTTGATAAATTTGTGATGGGAAGTAATACGGTGAAATTAATTCTCGACGTGATAGTGAATGCAGAATAGACGGAGAACATGTTACGCAGGTGCTTGCTTGCTTGCTGGTTGTTTTCATCATTCACCGCAAACCACAGGAACCCATTTTACTTTAGCGGTTTGGGCATCAGTCTCGCTGCGTAGTTGTGCGCGCTTCAGCGCAATGGCCCTTTGTCGAGCACTTTCGTAGTAACAGCTGTTTATAAGGGAAGTGCGGTGGCAGTGGCAATGGAGGCGAGGGGGCGGGGGGGGCTAGGGTCCGGAATCCCTGAAGGCTCTCGCTGTGCCGTTTTGCTCGTGAGTCGTGCGTGGTGCAGCCACGCTGTCCACGGGCACTAGTAGCACCAGGTGCTGCTTTGTCTACTCGGCGCAGCCGTATATCGTTTCAAAAGAGACGAAGCCGCAGCTGAGGTTTCACGAGCAGGCGCACCTAATCTTGCACCGAGACCATATCACGTGACCTGTCGGTTCCGCACGGGGGCGCACGGAGCACATTCACGTGACACGATCGCAGCACGGCATTGGCTGGGTTGGCGCTCTATCAATGTGGTTTGTGTTTCGCGCACTCGAAATACCCCACTCCCCCGACAAAGTCGGGTCCTGGTTTCAAGTGGCTGACACAAAAAGGCAGCACAGTCCTATTCTGAAAGAACTGCGAACTCCTGAAGGGCTGCCAGCCGTGAAGTCGAATTTAGTCAGAATAAACCTGAATGACTTCGTGAATTATTCGGAATTCATGATGTGATGGTGAATTCCGGTGAATCCGTGTTGACCGCGATGGTGAATAACTTCGTGAAGTGATGGTGAATTCGGATGAATTCATGATGTGATGGTGAATTCGGATGAATTTGTGATGTGATGGTGAATTCGGATGAATTCATGATGTGATGGTGAATTCGGATGACTTCGTGAAGTGATGCTGAATTCGGATGAATTCTTGAAGTCATGGTGAATTCCAATGAATTCATGATGTGATGGTGAGTTCCGATGATTTTGTGATGATGGGTGAATGACCTCGGGAATTGGTGATGTGATGGTGAATGACTTCGTGAATTCAGAGGCGGCGGTGATGTGAAGGGCATGAATTCTCGGCGGAGTTTCAAAGCCGTGATGTGAAGGGGATGAAGTTTTGGCGCGGTTGAACGCTGGGATGTGAAGGCCGGGACTTTGGGAGGTTGGAGTACCTTGTGACGTGAAGGCGAATGAATTTGGAGATGTGAGTTTGTTCGTGCGTGATGTGATCGTGAATGAAGGGGCTCCAAAATGCCGACCTATGGTTCGCGGCGACCTTACGTTAGCGGAGACAGACTTTGACCTTACACTCCGCAGTTACATTCCGGGATATGAGGCGTTTGGTTACCTCGCGATCCCCGACTGGGGTACTGCTTGTGCTATCTTTCAATTTTTTTTTTTTTTTTTTTTTTGTCAAGACACTTTTTTTGTAATCAAGACAAACTTTTATTTTGTTATCTCTATCGTTTTCTTTTCGCACCGATACACTACCGCTTCGGAGTTGCTCATGGAGGAAATGCGTAAATAAAGAGAAGAAGTGTCTTTCCCTCCTTCATTTTACTTTGTCACGGGTGTCCTCCAACCTGTAAGGTCCGCGGCCGCGTCGTTCGGGCAGGATGAGTGTTTGCGGAGGGGCATTTTAAGGGGCGGACGATGACTCTGTGCTTTTTCGGAAATCGATATTGGCCCAAAAAATTGGTTGGGCAATGACTCGGGGATGGGCGATGACTCGGGATATTACGGTAGGTGTTGTCGATGGCCAAATTAGAACAGATTGTGAGTTGGCCCCGTGCCATCTGCGTGCGCTTTGTTGTCCTCCTCGGCAAGCTCTGGCACGCGCCTCAGCCGCATATGGCGGGATCAACGGACACAACAGTTCGGATGCACTTTAATCACAATGTGAATACTAACTAGTCCCGAGAAAGGCACAGTGTCACAAACAAGAAGTTACAATTCAAATGCTTCAGATAAGGTGCCCATCGCTATACGAAGTATCTTGAGATTAGGTAAACCCCTTGGGGGGGGGGCTTGGGTTAATACATTACCACCGATCAAAAAGGCAGTTTACAAAAAGCGTTTATAGGACGATGTCCTCTCTGGCATAATCCGCAGATCTGTTGGACGTAGATAGATTTCAATTTCTAAAAACCACACGAGGTCAGAATACACGTCGGAACAAGTTAATTACACGCGAAAGAGGAGCGTCGCCCAGCCCGTCTTTGCCAGCTTCCAATTCAGAGTTCCTTTAATTAAAACTAGAATGAAGTGACAAAATTCTGCCGAGACTAGGAATGAAATTAATGATGCCGACGGGCTCTTTGCATTTATCGGCATCAACGACATCACCCATGTCCGGGGGATTGTGTTATAGTCTGTCGCAGGTTAAGAACAGTGGGACAAGCTACTCCCAAAAAGCACCCCCCCCGCCCTCCACATTGTAAGAATGGGGAGGTGGCTGAAGGTGCGCTGTGCAAGTGGCAGAAACCTGAGCACTGTTCGCCAGGCGACCGTCAGATGGTGCGGCACCTTCCGGGTCGTCAAAGGCGGCGCGCGGGCTTATGCGGGAGAGCAGAAGAGCACAATTTTCTCACAATATCGGAAGTTTGTTTCTGGTGCAGACGTGTTCCGTCGCGACAAGCCAGGCTCCTGTTTTCAACCTTTCATGGGTCTTTCCCCACTTTTTATTTTCTACGTCTTCCGCTCTAATATCCCTCATCGAGGTGGCATCGATAGATTGGGGTGCCTTTTCACGAGAGAGAGCTATATGTCGTGCCATTTCCCTTCTTTTTTTCCAAAATAATCACCACTGATATATTACTCTCGTGATATTGAGCTTGCCAATGACAGCTCAGGCAGGCAATCATTTTCATGCGACAGGCAAAACATTGTCGTATAGATCCGGTCGTACGTGCAGCGCATTCCAAGAGGCTATGAAGCCACACCCGGGGTCAGCACGGCTAGAAGCACTACGGTCCGCATTCGACGAGACGGGCGTTATTGGCTAGAACAAATTAGAAATGTGCATTTCGTGCCAATTTAGCCGTAATTGTGCCCTATAATGCCACTGCTACAGACATTTTGAGAAGGGCTTTTATCTTGTTGTACATAGACTGAACTACAGTCAGGTTAAAGCAAATTTAAATTCCACAGGCCAAAGCAATGTTTAACTACAAAAAAAAGTGCACAGGATATTTATGAAAACAATATTTGAAGCCATTACATTCAGAACATTGGAATGGGCAGTTTAACCTGCCTATAAAGAAATTAAGGTGCAGAGAAATCACCGACCTGACGGAACAAGAGCTAAGAACAATTATTAAGAACAAAATTTAAACATAAAAATGCCTAAAAATGCAAAAGGATTAGAAGGTATTTCAGTGCATTTGCAGACGTTTCCATTTTGTCCATTAAAATCAGTAAACCTGCACCTTCAAACAAGTTTGCAAAGCTTTTGCAGTTTTTGAGTTCGGTTGTCTCCGCTTCACTTTTTCTCCTTAGAAAACTGGCGCGTTTTCATCGCCGCATAATAATGGGGAAGCTGTGCCACAATTGCCTCTTTGCACTTGTGGCAGAGAAGCGAAAAGCTGCAACCCTGAACAATGCCATGGATCGTCTTCCTGTAGGCGTCTCTTTTGTCCGCATTTCCGCCCCACAGTAGTTCATGTCACAGTCACCGCAGCACTCCAAAAGAACGGGCTGTAGCCTGCGCTAAACACAGACTATAGTGTGTGCACTTGTTCATGCACAGCAACAATTAAAAAAACACAGCGACGCAAAAAAACGCCGAGCAAGCCACGCTTGCTAAGTGCAGTCGGTTGAAGCCGGCACGGTTCTACAAGAGACGATGGAGTTGCGGACGGCCCGCATCACCCGTGCTGCCATCTCTCGCATGACGACGGAAGTGCACCGACCCTTTTTGTCATCTGCTTTGCATTGGAGGAATGGGGCGTTCAGCCACCTCTCCCTATTCTTACATTCTGGTCCCCCCACAACTCTTCCCACTTTAGCGGAGCAAACGCTTAAGAGGATACGAGGGGAACGAAGAAAGCTGCCAATTATGGCAGCTTCCTGCCATAATTGGCAAACCAACGAAGGGCATCTGGCATTTTCCAGCGGAGGACCAAGGGTTAATTTCGACCACGCAGGTATCTTTCAACGCGCAACCGCTATCTCGGTTTCGCTGCCCCTTCTCCGCAACGAGCCTCCGTCAGATCACAAGCACCTGGAGAATGTGCGAACCGTCGTCGTGACTGCTGATGAATTCGGCAGGGAGGCCGTACCTTGTCCTTCTTGGAGCGGTCCCCTTCCAGTTCTTCCTGGAGGAAGCCCACCCGCTTGGTCAGCTGCTGGTTGCAGAAGTTGAGGCTCTCCACCTCCTGCTCCAGCTTGCGCACGCCCTGCTCCTTGTCCTTGAGTGCATCCTGGAAAGAGCCCGGGAAAGAGCTAGGTGAAGCGTGGGACGGCGCGAATCCCTCGGCTACGCTACCCCGAACGAGTCTTCCGTTGGTATGTTTACCATCCCATCCTGCCCGGTCATCGAAAGCGGTCCCAAAGTGGCAACACATTAGGTTGCAGCAATCGGCGCGTCGTGCTGTCGGATGTCACAACCCCAGCGGTCAGTCGTAGAAACGTCGACAAAAAAGGTGAGCGGGCGCGAGGGTCGCCGTCATTGCGGCGTTTCAACTTGCATCTGCTTTGGTTTCTGCCGACTGTCCAAATTCAGAGCGACTGCGACGGAACAGGTTTTTGATGCATCTACCTCTGCTACCGAGCCACCGCCGGAATCATGGCAGGAAACGGCTTAATGCTTTTATGATATCATCCAAGGACCCCTTTTTGTGACGCAGTAGACACGCCAGTTGGAGACGTGCTACGGGCAACGTAACTACACCTCACCTTGAGCTCTGCGTTCCTGGACTGTTCTTCCGAGACTGCCTTCTTGAGCACCTGGGCTTGGGCACGGAGCTGCGCAATAGTCAAAGGGTGGCAAGAAGATTAATACGCTGACGAGATGCACAACAAAAAGACCAGCAAAAAAAATATATATAATAATACTTTTTTGTACTCAGTTAATGGGAATAAGGGAATGCATGGAGCACAGTCGAAGCACTGTAAAGGCTAGGTGTGCAACTGTAGCGATGCAGATGCGCTGCAGTTGTGCACCAGACTGTTAGAGTGATCTGACAGTACACAACGCCACACGCTTTCAAGTTCCTGCCAACTGTGATTCCAAGGAAAAACCCGAAGGAAAATTTCAGCATGGGGTTTTGCTGTAGGGCTCTCTCAGTGCAATCACTTTTAGATCTTGGCGACTCGAAAGAAACTCTCGATAAGCCATGTGATGCTGTTCCAAGGTCTCTAGAAAAATCGCTTGGCAAGCACGAGTTTACTGAACAAAACACCAGGTTGCACATAAGGGCAACAAGTTTTGCTAACAGCTGAAAACTACTCGGCACGAGGAATTCGAGATATGAAGACATCCTGCATGGCATACAGACACACGAGGAAAACAAAGAACAATACCCTTCCCGAAACTTTTGTCTATATATAAAGACCGAACTAGCACGCCTAGCTGTTGTATTCTTTTTTTTTTTTTTTTTGAAGTGCAATAAAGTATGATCTATTATAGTCATAAATAAGGGAAGAACATAAAAGACAAGGCTGGACAATACGTTTCGCATCCGTCCTCGTCTTTTATGTTCTCCCCTTTATTTATACTAGCCTTACCAGCACGCTCCTCATTCCAAGAAGTCCCTACTGCTCTTTTCACTTTCCTCCGTTTCCGACTCCCCCGGGGAAAAATAGATTTACCGGTAAATAAAGTTAGCGAGAGTTAGCCTAGCTTATTAGCTAACAAGGCGGCACCCGATCGGGTGCTCATAAACACAGGAAATGAGGTTCGATGATCGCGCCTTCAGATGACGCGGAGCGACATGTTTCGGCTGTGCAGAGGAGCCAGCAGTCGGCGACGCCTCCCCAAGTCGCGGGACTACGATGGCAGACCTTGGGCTTGCACAAGGGTGCGTGGTTCCCCTCACGGGTGGCCCCAAGTACCTCCAAAGACTCCATGAAAACCCCGAGAAGGGGTCAGCAAGCCCCGAAGTGGCTGCTGTCCTCGCACGGCCCGACAGCGACGAGCCAGCGAGCTCATGACAGCCCAGCGGAGCGAGCAAAGTACCTTTGAGTACTCGTACGCGAGCTTCTGGTACTTGGCCGGGAGTGCTCCTTCGGGGGAAGAGCCCTCGTCCATCGGGGCAGGCTCGGGACCGCTTTTACCTCACTGCGGCGTCGTTCATTCACGCCCCACGCACGGCACAGGTGACCGCCGCTGGCTCGGTGGATAAGCGGGATAAGTGCGAAAGCGATCGACCCGCCCTCCGCCGGAAATTGTCTACCCCCCTCCTCCGAGATAGTTTTCGTTTCAAATAGACAAAGTCGAAGCCCATGGTGAAGCCACTAAGTGAAGGCATGGTTATGGTAGTTATGGTGTACTACACATAGCATGGTTGAGGAAGGCAGTTGTTCACAAACGCAGCAAACACGTGACATGACACGATAACACCATGAATGAAAGGATAAACTGGGATCAACTAAGCAGATATAAACTGTATTCTTTTTTAATTTCTTTTATTATTATAAAAATAATTTGACATAAAAATGTTTTTCTTACAAACGAACATGAGCGATTGATATTCGCTTTGCGTACTCGAGAACTTCGAGATATCTCAGATAGCTCTACAAATTTCCTGTGTTACACAGGTTTCCTGATAATAATGCGATCGCGCCGCTTCCGTCAATTCCCACAATTTTTTGTTCCTGCTTCTTTTTTTTTTTTTTTATGTAAGATAGCGTGAGAAGTGAGTGCCTATTCGCATATAGGCCGCAATTCTGGCATAAGATACAATATTTTTTTACCGTTCGTTCTGTCCCCCCAGTGACACTCCTCCAGTCGCGACGGTGACAATGTACATGGTATTCTGTATATAAATTAATCGAGCTGCAGGTGCTGAACGATCCGGTACCGAGAGGGACTTCTTGTAATTGCTCGAAATCCGGTTGTTCCGAGCGTAATTTTGGGTTTCGGTAACTTAAAGTGCAGCTGTTGCACTCAACGTTGGTGGCGCCCATTATGCCGCTAAAGGTAGAGCATCGATTGTAGGTGCTGTTTTGTTTACCACGAACAGGGGAGAGTCGCGTGGTCTTCGATCGTTGGATGGAAATGACACGGGGCCCCTGCGTGACCCCTTCCCCGCACGTCTGCGGGGCTGTGCGGGACAACTCGCTTTGGCGAGCGATTGCCTCTGGGCTAGGAAAAGAGTTCCCGCTTGACGAGCGGCCCCAGACGAGTCCGTGACACGGACAACGCCGGCGGGGCCGCACCGTAACCATTCTCGGGGGCATCCGGGAAGGGTCGGCCGCGATCTGGGCGGCTGACCGCGAGCGGCCGGACGCTCGCGCAAGGCTGGCGTCTCGCTCGCCCTCGGGTCCCCGCGGTCGCGCTCGGTCAGCCGGTTTCCGGCGGAGGGAGCGCGTGAGCGGCGCGCCGACGTCACATCCTGGGCGCGCAGCGCGTCCGCCCGCGAGCAGTCCGTGGTCGTCGGTGCGTCGTCGAGCGACGGAAGGCGCCCGAGGACTGCGGCTCCGCGGAGAGAACGCGCGTGCGCCTCGGGCCCTGCGAGCATTGTGGGATCGCGGTGCTCGAGCCGCATAATTAGTCCTGGGTGCGAGTCCTGTCGGCCCGGGTTCGAGCCAGCCAAGCAGCGAGCGGGCGGAACGACGCGGAGGATGCGCGGAGCGGTGCGGGCCTGAGCGGGCGAGCGCGGAGCCGACATGCCCACCTTCACGGGCACCGTCAAGCTCAAGATTTGCGAAGCCGTGGAACTCAAGCCGACGGACCTCACCACTCGGCATGTGAATGTGGTCGGCTCGAAGCCTCAACTGATGCTGATAGACCCCTACGTGTCCATCAATGTCGATGATATCCTCATCAGCCGATCCAGCACCAAGCAGCGGACGTTCAAGCCCGTCTGGAACGAGTACTTCACGGCAGAGGTCCACGGCGCCCAGAACCTCGGCTTCACCGTCTTCCACGCAGCCATTCCGTCGGATGACTTCGTCGCAAACTGCACCGTCTCCTTCGACGAGCTGGTCAACTCGGCCAAGGAGCAAGGCAGCAACGAGAACGACATTTGGGTGAGCCCCCTTCAGACCCGCTACTCAAGTCGGACGCGCGCGCCGAGGGGGGAGGCCCACCCAGCTCGGGTCCGAGCGGATAAATTAAGAGCCCGCCTAGGCCTACCCCGCGCCTCCGGGGTCCGAACCCCGGCGCGGTCCTCGAATTCCACGCGCCGCGCTGGTCAAGGAGTCACCCGTGCCCGATCCAGCGAGCGAGAATCCTCGGGCAGCTCGGCTTGAAGGCACGCGCTCGCGGTGCAAAAACCGTGTTGATGGGGCGGACGGCCGCTTCGGGGCCTTCTCTTTGGCTGGCCGTGCGCTGGCGGGCGAGGAGAAATTCCCTAAAGATGCCCCGCAAAAGTGCTCAGATATCGGGTTTGTTTTCACCAGTAGGAGACGGGTTGTTTGTGTTTTGCAGAGGTGCGGCGCCGTTCCGACAGCGAGAGCGCGCCTGTCACGCTCTTTAGGGGCGACCGGCGCCCCGCTCCCAAGCGAAGCTAATTGGCGCTACTTTGTCGGCACGGTCTGGAGCCGATGGAGCGTGCCGAGCGCGTCTTGCACCCCGATTGCGGTACGCGGAAGACTCCCCGCGCGATTCCCGCGCCCGATTTTTTCCTCCTCGGCGAACGTTGCGTGGGAGTATGTTGATGCAGGGGAGATGTGTCGTTGTGTTCCCCCGCAGATCGACCTGGAGCCCGGAGGCAAGATTCATGTGGTCATTGAACTCGTCTCAGGTGAGCACCCGCCCGATCCAGCACCCAGGAAATGGTGATGTGTGTGCAGCTCTAAAGCACTGAACACAATCTCTAAAGGCCATGCGCCTCTAATTTCACTGAAAGTAATTATAGGTTATTTTTCCCTAAACAGTCGGCGAGAGGGCATGCATAAAGATATCTACTTTTTCACAGAGGAAATCGAATGCATTTATTGTCAATTTAAATAGGTTAAATTAGCAAATCTACCAGTCATGTCTGCATGGGCAGATGCAGGAATTTCCTGAGGGGGGGGTCAGGTGTTGGTCAGCGTACCATATTTTCAGGGACCCCCTCTCCTTCGTTTTACGCCCTAAAATTTACACAAGCAGAAATCAAGAGGGGGGTCAGGACATCCAGAACCCCCCCTCTAAATCTGCCCCTGCATGTCTGAGTTTTCAAAGAAACTAAATGGGTATGGGATGAAAGGGAGATAGGCTTTGTCACTCATCTGGTCAAAACTCAATGAGACTTCCCATTATTTGAGGAAAGGACAGTTCACACAAGGCACAAATTTGTACTTGCGAGTAAAAAAATGAGCAACTCAACGGGGTACTTTATTCGGTATTTCGATCGGGCGGAGACCATCGCTTGTTCCTGCTCAAAGGCGGATTTAGAGGGGGGGGGGTCTGGATGTCCGGACCTCCCTCTTGATTTCTGCATGTGTAAAATTTAGGGCATGAAAGGAGGGAGAGGGGGAGGGGGTTCCTAAACATATGCTACGCTGACCAACACCTGACCCCCCCCCTTCCTCAGGGAATTCCTGCATCCGCCCCTGATCCTGCTTAGTATTAGTAGTGCCACTTTTGTGCGTCCCCCTGATTTTGTTTGAGGCTGCTCGAAGCAGATCATTGTATTGTCAGGCGTGTCTGACTTTTGAGTAAAATAGGAGTCCTGAAGAAAGCACTCTCTTTAGAGGGACCACACTCTGCAGCGCTTACGAACATATTTACAGCAATGCAAAAATCAACGAAAAAGCTGGAAAGAGTTGCAAGCACACACCATGGGCTGCACATCCTTTGGCATTTATTTCTTTTATCAATTTTATAGATTTTTTTTAGAATTTATTTTCTGAAAAGTCTGACGCAGCTCAGTGGCTTTCCTGCTTAAGTTCATTCGAGAAGCCGGTATTCGGCACTATTTTTAAACATTTCATCCTCATCGTATTCCCCATCTCTCAGCCCTCATCTTCCCCACAAATGACGTAAGGTCAAGGTGGTGGAATAATCATTAAAATATATCTTAAACAAACAAACTAATTACCTTTATTCCAACCAGTGAAAAATATATTTGCTTATAATATCATGAGAGTAGTAATATATGAAAGAAAGTGGCGCAGTGCACCCTTATTCGTTCTGTGGAGCATCTAGTAATTATTAGGCATCGTGTGTATAGAATCCTGCCCTCCCTTGGGTCATCTGCAAAGAAACTGTCAAGTGCAGAAGTTTGATCAAATTTTGTGGATCACATATTCAGTGCAGGTGTATCGTGCATAACATACCCTGCTTAGATACGACCTCCTGTGTTTGTGCCGTGGGAGCATTAAACACTTTGAATATACACCACTTCATGAAAGCCAGATTCTCCAATGGTTAGGTCCCTTATACCAGGCTGCCTGTGCTTGCCTCGCTGCTCTGAAGCAAAATGTATTTTTGCATGGACTGCTTTGTCTATATGGATTGTGAGCCCCCAAATCTTTAATCTTTACAGCACGCAAGTCTTTGCAAAGCCTATTCTATCATTGGTTTGACTTGCACGGTTTTTGTAGGATCTGGCTACTCTACGTTAATTACCACTGTTTTCGTTTCTGAAAGTTAAAATCGGGAGATGTTTTGCTTTGGGCAGAATATTTTTTCGCAAATGCGTATGTGCACCTAAAGCCTGAAATATAGCATGTAAAAAAATTGCGCCTTGTGGGTCAGGTGTGGACACAACCATGTCGGCATCTGACCCGTAATCTGCATCACAATTTGTTGCTGGTTGCAGATGATAGATTCACTACCTGTGCAGTCTTAAGTGCGAGGACATGCGTCGGTCACATCTGGTCGTAATAAGAGTTAAAACGTTTTCAGCTGTGAGCTGCCAAGCTTGAACGTAAATCTCCCCAATACCACGGGCTTTGATCTGACCGCTCACAGCATGTAAAGATGAGATTGTTGCTACAGCATGGTCACTGCTGTGTAATGCATGTAAAAAACCCCAGGTTAGTGGTTGTTGCAAAAAGCAAAAATATGCAAGAACGTTGAGGAAGCATCATAATCAAAACCCTGAGACAAGGTCCGATAAAGTAATGAACGAGACATCTTCTTCATTATTTTATTCGTCTGTGTCTCGGGGTTTAGATAAGATGAATGGTCATGCTGCACTGCACTGACTAATCCACGCAGCCAGTTCGACATGGCTAAATTATGGTGGCTTTTTCTTTTGGCCTGTACACATCGCGACACTGTTAGTGCGAACACGACATTGGCGCCTTTTCGCATTTTATTACGAAAAAGTATTAGTGGTCACACATTTTTACCCCCCCATATTAGAGCCCTAAATGAGCTCTTTCTATAACAATGATACCTTTGATGACAACCTTTCGGTTCTAAGAGAAAAACACAGAAAATTTTTAAGTGGCAATCGCTTGTTCGTGCTAACAGTGTCGGGCTCTGTACCTCTCTCTGAGCGAAGATTCCTTACTTCCTGGTGCATTTGTTGGAAACTTTAGGACGCTCATTCACTTGAAAGCCTTCCAGCCATGTGGCATGTGTCTTGGCTTCAAATGTTCATATCATGTTCATCCATCCATTTATCCATTTGGCTATTCATCATTAGGTGCAAAAAATCATTAAAGGAGCTGTGCAACAATTTCAGGGCTTTGCCTAAATAATAGTGTAAGTTTATGCCTGACACTTCTGAAGTGAACTACAGAAAACAGATTTTGCCTGGATACCCTATTTTCATTTAAAAAAAAAAATGAAAAGGATCCAGGTTTTTGCCGCCTCTCAACTCGTACGTCGTCTTCTGGGTCACGTGTGTAGTGACGTTGATGGGGTAGGCGCGGGGTTCCGGAAAAGTTCTCTCTTTAGAGCCATCAGTGAGCAGCGAGAACTCATCCGCTCGCGACCACGTGACCACGTGCTGGCGGGTGCCGCGCGAACAATATGGTGCAAGGAGGAAAGTCTCATCCGGGTCCGGCCATACCCGTCCGGCCCTGTCCCCCTGCAGCTTCTGGCGGCTGTTCGTGGTAGCAGAGACAGCTGACGGTTTTGTGGACTTAGGATAGATGGCTCCACTAAAACTCAGTATAATAAAAGTTTTGTCGATGATACCAAGTTTTTGACGCATTTATATATATGTTGGAACGACAAGATTTATAGGAAAGTTACCTTTGTATTCGCACAACTTGCTATCTTTCTACAAGATTCCCCATCGACGTCATGCCGCATGTTTTTCATGGCCGCCGCTCGCGGCTGCAGGTCGGGGAATATTCTAAGTTTTGCCTCGGTATTACGCGGCGGAATCGCAACATTCTGTCATTTGTGACAAGGTGAACAATATCAAAAGCAGAAGAGGCCAATTCTTTCAACGTTAAAATCGTTGCACAGCTCCTTTAAAATATGGATACATACAATACTGTTGTAAGGGAACTAACTATTAGGGACACACATGTGCACATCGTCCTAGCCAAAATATAGCAAGCGTCGTTAAAATACCACATGTTAGCTGGTGAAATTTCCACAATTTTAGGTTGCTATAGAAATTTGTAGAAATTTATGTTGCTATAGAAAATCGTCATGTAGCAACAGGACGTCAAGTGCCGTTGTGGGAAAATAGCCATAATGGGATGCTAAGTGGAAGGTAACATCTCAAGCTCTAGGGCTCTGGATAGTCAACAAATGAAGAGTGTGGCTTAGAGGAATGACCTGTGGAGATTATGGCACTTCCCTGGGCTTGAGCAAATTTTATGAATAGCATAAACTTTCAAGTTCTCCTCAGTGGGTAAACAAATAAATAAAATTGGCCACCTGCCTGGCTGTGTTTCTTTTTGTGTGCGAGTAAAAGATAAACTTTTTTCTTAATATTACACAGAAGAAAGAGCCACATTGAATATTATTTGGCTGATATACTGTGTGTGCAGTGGATTTATAAAATGAGCTTAAAAATATTGAAGAAAACAAAATATTATAAACCTGCTAATCTGTTGACTAGACCATACCGCAGAGAACTTGAAGCATTGATTGATTGCTTGATTTTTTAATTTTGATGCCCAGCTAGCAGTCATAACTAGGAATGTGGAGGACTTTTACCAAGCTTAAAGTTTAACGTCGAATCTCGAGGTTGAGCTTGTTCGGCGAACCTTAAAACTTTTGTAAAAATTAAACAAAGCCTGACTTTTCAATTTCAGCACAAAAATCTAATATTTGGTGTATATATATATATATACAGTAGTTTATTTTTGTTTTTTTTTTATTTAAGAAATAACTGGCAATGTTTACACAATACAAAAGAAAAACTTTTTATTGTTTAGTTTGTTATCCTCCCTCTTCAGGTGGTGTTGACTTCATAACGAAGAAACGGAGCATGCAAATTCATTTTCATTATGACTCAGTACCGAATGGCCAGGTTTTATACATTTCTGGTGTTAGCTTGTTTGAAGTTTTTGCACATGCGCATAATAGATGAGATTCAGTTAAACTTTTGTTGAACTGCTTTATTTATTTGAAAAAGTCGAATCTATTCGAACTGCAACTTCGGCAGGTTTGCAGCATCTCTCTTTATAGCCTCTTTTGTAGTGTACTCAATGACGACAGCATGGTGTGGGGCAACAGAAAAAAGAAAAATGCAACAAAAATATTTGTGGTTGTGTTTGTTCCTCTTTCATTGTCTCCAGTCTTAAAATTTTTGCCGAATTGGGGAAATTAAACTTTTTGTGCATGCTGTTTTTTCAGCATATAGGACAGGCTTCAAGTTAAACCGCTTACAAGTGCAAATGC